GAAGTGCAAGGCAAGTTGGAAGACATGCTACTCTGAAGAGGAGATGCTGTTGGGTCCAGCTTGCAATGGATTCTAAGCTGAGGGGGTGTGTCAGATGGTAAGCCAGTTTATGGACATCCTATCTAGGACTGGAAAGGAGGACTGAGAGAAACTGTCTGTACTAGTACTGTCTGAGGATATGTGGCTAGTGATTCTGCAGTGGCTAGTGCCCTGCATAGCCTTGGTGCCTAGAGAAGGAACATCAAAACCGGTGTCAGGCCCTAGCCTCACCCACACACACACATCAGAATACAATCAGTCAACCCATCTTCATTCAATCTTTCTATCACTGTGACATCTTCAGATACCATCAAATCTGACAGTCTGTTACTGCTGTTCGCTTGTTGTGGAAGTGGATAAGCTCTGCCTTTTCAATATCGAAGGCAATAGCAGAGTGCTTAGCTACTGTAACTAGCTCACCAGCTATCTTTTATAGAATTCGGCAGTTTTTCTGTGCAGAGTTTGAGGCAATAGAGAAGGAAAAGTCATCAATGTAGCTTACTTTAAAAGCTACATTCCCTTCCTTTTTACAAAGTTCACTTATATAAATATGGAACAGGATAGAGGAGATAGGAGAGCCTTGTGGGATTCCTGTATTTCTCTCCTCTTTATCTTGTATTTGCCCATTAAACTGTAGCTGTAGTTCTCTATCTTCTACAAAGGAAGCAATCTACTTTATTAGGCTAAGGGGTAAACCTAGCCGAATGCAAACAGATAGAAGTTGGTTTTTAGAGACATGGTCGAAGGCTCTCTTTATATCTAATAGGAGGGTAGAGACTATCTTCTTTTTCTGCTATTTGCTCTTCTCAATGTAGTTGAGAAGTAACAAGATAGCATCGATTGAAGACCTCTGTTGTCATCCCCCTATTTGGCTATTGTCTAGCAAGTCTGTTGTATTTGCTAGGTAGCCTAAGCGAGTAGCGATTATCTTCTCTAATATCTTGCCAAGGCAATTAATAAGAGAGATAACCCTATAAGACTTAGGGGGAGAGTAATCCTTTTTGTTTGGCTTTGCAAGGATAACCTCTATCGCACCTTTCCACACCTTAGGGTAGTGTCCTAGGTTAAATAAAGCCTTATAGAGACGGTAAAGCAAGCTTCCTATAGCAGCAAGGATCTCCCTAAGGACTAGGAAGGATAATTGATCTAGCCCTGGTGCTTTCTTAAGAGAGCTAGTCTCAATAGCTTATTTAACCTCAGCTTCTTCAAGCGGTGGCCATTCCCAATCTCTAGGCTTGTAGTCTCTCCACCTAGATGGAGGGGTAACAGGAGGCAAAGGAAATAGCATTTCTCTTAGAGTTTTACATTGTTCCTTAAACTCTTCCGCTATACCTTCTTTGTCTTTGTATACTAAAGGAGGAATACGTCTTGTAGTTCTCTCCTTAGTATAGTGAAGGGCAGTGAATATTTCCTTATCTTTTACCTTTTCTAGGAAAGAATTCCAGCAATTTATCTTAGCTTCTTTAATACTGGAGAAATAGAAGTTTTTAGCATTTTTATAGGCTATTATCCAGCTCTTTGCTGTAGGCTGTAGTTGTAGTTATTTTAAGCAACTCACCATCTTCTTTCTGGCTTGAGAAAGTGCTTCTGTCTACCAGGGTTTCGAATGTTCAGATTGCCTAGCTAAAGGAATAGCTATATTCGCTGCTTCTTAGATATAAGCTGTAAGTGTAACAGCTACCTCCTCTGCCTGTTCTATTGCAGTATTGCTAGAGGAAGATACTTGCTCTTCTAGTGTAGTAATCTTAGCCTCTAAGCCTTCTGTCTCTGTTGCTATAAGCAGGTGTTCTTTAAAAAGCTTCCAGTTAGCCTTTTTAAAGTTAAACCTGCTAAGCAATGGATGGAGAAATTTATCTACCTCCTTGGTAAATAAGGAAAAGCCTATTGTAGCATGGTCAGAGCCTGTAGCCTCTAGCACTACCCAGTTATCAAGCTCGCTCTCCTTAAAGGAAGGGGTGTAGAAGGCTAGATCTATAATAGATTGCTTAGTAAGGTTAGAGCAGAAATAGGTAGACTTTTCTTCCTTATTAAGCAATTGGCAATTATAGCCCTGCAGCTATTCTACCAAGTCCTGGCTCTCTCGGGTGACATTCTGAGCTGTGGAGTTCCACCAAGGATGGTGGCAATTGAAATCTCCTAAAAGGACAAAAGGAAACTCTAGATTAAGCGGCAAAAGAGCTCTCCTAATAGTAGTAGCCCCTAGAGGTTGTGTTGTGGAATCTTTTTTTAATTCTTTCTTATTGTAAATATTGAAAAGAAGGAACCTTTCAGTAGGGCTGTAGATCTCTAGGGCCAAAAAGTCTCTATTCTCTAAGTTCCTTAGCTGAATAAACTGAAAATTTGTAGCTTTTCGAAGATAAAAAACTACCCTTGGCCGTAAACTAGTACTAGGAAGTACTAATTCATATGCAGAATAGGAGATAGTAAAGTAACTATCTTTTTTCTTGTCTTTCTATATGCAGAGTTCTTGTACAGCTAAGATATCTGTCTGTTTCTTAACTGCAATTTCAAGGAGTATTTGTTGTACTTCTTGTCTTTTCCCTATATTGTATTGAATAATAGACAATTCACCTTTAAGTTTCCTAGGCTTATTGTCCAAAATTATATAGGGATCTCCTCGAAGGTGTTCTGTCATTAATGTGGAAGGTTTTTGGCAGTCTTCCATACTGGACAGTCTTTGCTGTTAGCAAAGTGGCCTCCCTTGCAATTAACACACTTTGGGATGGTGTGTTTATAGGGCCTGCCTTTAGAAGAACATTCTAGGCAGTTATGCTCCTATGTTTTGTGGGCTTCTCCACACAGCCTACAAGCTAGCTTGTAGCAGCTATCCGTAGGGTGGCCAAATCTCTGGCATTTGCCACATTGGTGGGAAGGAGAGGCAGTAAGATATTTAACTATCTTAACTGTCTTGCCAGCAATTATAATCCTATTGTGACATAGGATAACACTGCGGGTTTCTTCATCTTTTACAGCAAAAACAATAGATCCTGTTTGCTATCCCTCTATTGTTTCCCTAGTAAGCCATCTAGGATAGCTCACTATAGAGATAGAGGAATTGAAAGTCTCTATCTCTTCCTTTAGGGCAGTGCTAGCCCTTTCTCCTAAAAATTCAAGGGCTAAGGGAATCCTATGGGCAACAATTTGTGCCCAAGTCTCAACCCTTTGCTCACAGTTAAATCGAAATAGATTCTGCCATTTTTCTTTATGTTTAATAAGAAAATCTGCATTGTAGTCCTCTGTGGTGGTAAGGACAATATTTTGCTTGCCTCTAGACTTAGAAACAGCAGCAACAACAGGCTTTTTAGCTGCAGAAACAGCCAGGAGACAGTGGTTTATCTTGTTTCTTAGAGATAGAGAATCTATCTCCTATCCCTCATCTTCCTTGCTAGTAACAAGTACTGGTTTTCTCTTAAGGAAGAGTTCTTTTCTTTCCTTTTTCTTTGCTATCTTACTTTGGATAAGGGTAAATGGTTGTTCCTTAGCCACTGGTTTAGTAGTTTGGGCAGTAGTATTTGCCTTAGAGGGTAAAGAAAAGGTGTTAGTAGCTTTAGCAGCTACTTGTGCAAAGGTAAAGCCTTGTGTTTGCCCCTTATTTGTCTTTGGAGCAGCAGGGTGTTGTGGCTTAATAGCAGTAGCTAAAGCCTTTGTGTTGTTGCTAATCACAGTGATAAGCTCTTGCATTTGTTTTTCTTTCTTATTAAGCAAGATAGGAGCAGAAGATTGCCCTTTGTTTAGCATCTGTTGTAGTGCTATGGCGATTTCTTGTACATTGTCCTTCTTTTGCCCTTCTAGCTATAGAATAGCTAGTTGAATTTGAGAAAGGGCCTGCTTAAGGCATGCCTCAGCAGAGGAAGTCGAATTGGCTTGAAAAAGCAAAGAGAGAGCTCGAAATTTGCCTATAGCAATATGTTTAGGCCTGGGTTTCTCTGGGGATAGGTCTGGGTGATCTCTCTTCTGAGTAGAGGGGGTGAAAGGGGCAAAACTAGCAAGATTGCTAGTAGAAGCAAAGCTGCTAGCTGCTAGGCTGCTAGTAGGCTTAGCAGCAGCTCGAATAACAACTTTAGGAGAGTTGTTTTCTCCCATTTCAATGTCTGAGTCCTCACTTTCAGAAGAAGAAGATGAACAGGTAGAGGAGATAGCTATCTTCTCTTGTTGTTTCTCCTTCTATTTCTTTTTCCTTCTCTTATCTCGGTCCATGGGAAAGAAACAAAGGAAAGATAAGAAAACCTGGTACAGGTGGTGGTAGGCAGCTAATTTTTAGTAGCAAGAGACAACAGATTCCCACCCAAAGAGTCTTTAATAACCTCCTCTAGGACTTTATACCCCCTGGCTAGGAGTAAAGGGACCGCTGTTCCCTAGCTGTTACAGTAGGTAGTAAGGGTCTCTATCTAAATCTCAAGTGGTCTGCGAATGTAGTGTTCTTAGTTCAAGGAGACTCCTCTTGCATAGAGCTTTCAATTCCAAGTTAACTCTATTGCTCCTAGTTGCCTAGATAGGGTGAGCAGGGACTAACAGAATAGCACCTTGGTCTATACTGTCACTTGGCCTCTTCCTAGAAGCTGTGACTATAGCCCTTTCCCTAGAAAAGATAGGTACCTTGCTGAAAAAAAGATCTAACCCTTTTCTAGTATAGAAAATCCAGAGAAAATCATATGGTCTCGTCCTTGCAGGGACAAGAGCAGCAGGATGTGATGAAAAATATGACGGTGGCCGATTTCTTTTGTGATTTTTTGTTGAATTGTTTTGGTTGTTTTTGTGGGTAGATAATCGGTGTTGGTCTGGTTTGGGTGGGTATGGCTGATGTCTATGGCTAGTGTGGTCAAGCCACAGGCTGCAGGTGTGGCTGGTGCGGCCTGCAGTGGCTGGAGGAGGCTGCCGAGGCTGCCAAGCCTTTGGGAAAACTCAGATACCGGACCAGAGAGATAGATTTCAGGTCTTCCTCAGTGAATAACTCTTGCTGTACAGCCTGCAGAAGGCTGCAAATTGAACTGTAGGTGCATTTTGTTGCAATGAAACAGTATTTCGAGTTTGGAGCCATAATTCTGAGCGGAAAATTTGGTCCAATGTTGGTATTTTTTTTTATACTATAGATATAGATATAGTAGATGCTAATAAAATAAATAAACTTCTCTTTATATCTAATACCTTTAGATATCTGCAGCGCGACCCCCTAAAAACACCTAGTAAACAGAAGGGAAAGGCTACTTTAAAGATACTGTTAGGTTCTCTAATAAAGGTTACAAAGACTATATCAAAAAAAAGATACCTTTCCTAAACTCTTTTAAAAGACTTTGCTAATACCTCTTCTACAAGTTTACTTTCTATAATTAGAACTCCTAGAATGCCTTCTAAGTATCTTATACCCCTTCTAAATACCTTAGTTGCTCTTTCTAATAGTATTAGTACTATACTTGTAATAGAGTTAGATCTTAAGCAGCAGAAAGAGAATAATTAGTTATTAGATAAACAACTTTAGAAGATATAGGAAATAGATAAGTTATAAAAATAGCTAGAAAATATAAACTAGGACTATTTTCTCTAGTGCTCCTGTATACTAAGGGAATAAATAGTATTTAGCAGGTATTAGAAGACCTATCTAGATAAGTCTAGATAGGTCTATATTAAACTTATTGTTCTAGTCTATTATATATAGTCTATATATTTAAATTGTACCTTGTTTCTATTAGGTAACACCCTCTAAGCTTGTAGTAACCTCTAGGAAAGCCTTTAAAAGGCGTTTTAAAAGTTATTATATACTATATTGCTAAGGTTTCTGTATTTTAACCTAGAAGGGTTGCCAAGCTGCACTAATAGCAAGCAGATCCCCTGCATTAGTGCAGCCAACGACTAGCGATGGTGCAGTTTAGCGGTTCCCACGTCGCGTCTCACGTCGGTCGCGTGGCGCGTGACTTCCCCAACCGCTCATTGGCTGGGCTAAGAGATGTCTTCTTGGGTAAGCCGCCAAGGCTTGCTTGGTGGGACAATGACGCAGAGCAAGAGCCACTAAATTACACGCTTAACCGAAAAAAGCAGAGCAGCTGCTAAACAAAGGGCATTCCATGCAGGCTGCCCCTGACAGCGGCGATGCTAGCGCCTTCTACAGAATCAACAGGCCCTTATGAGCGGGCCTGCCCCCGGATTTTCCTGACCTTCTCACCGAGCCAGTTTCCTCACAGCCTTCGAGTCGTCCCATCGCTAGAGTCGCTTTTTTGGCTTCTGACATTCGCTACGCAGTACCGTTTACGCTTAATCAATCCTTTCGTTCTTGCAGAAAAAGGAGGATTCCTATACGCCCCTAATTACAACAAACAACAACCGAAACAACCACAACAACAATCACAATGAAGTACACGACCGCCATCCTCGCCCTCGCCGTCGGCGCCCTCGCCCTTCCTCAGGAAGCCTCCACCATCACTAGCGCCCCAGTCTCCGCCGCCAGCGTCACCTTCACCCCCCAGCAGTCCTGCGCCATGCAGTGCGATCCCGCGGACGTGACCTGCCGCGCCCAGTGCTTCGGCGTCGCCCGTCCTAATACCTCGCAGGTCCTCGAGACCAACGAGTGCGCCTCCAAGTGTGACCAGGGCAGCGGAAGCCCCGAGGACACAAAGAAGTATGGCGAGTGCTTGCTGGATTGCTATGCCAAGTACTTCCCCAGCACCCAGACGCTCACGCCGGGTGGGAACGGGAATGCTGCGCCCACGACTACGGGCACTGGAGCGAACAGTGGTAAGTAATGGTTTTGTCTCGTGTCCGGAGGAAATATCGTCTTAGTAGAGCTTATACTGACTGGGGACTACAGCGCCCACCGGCACCAACGGTCAGCCCACTGGCTCCGGATCTGCCGCCGGTTCTAAGCCAACTGGAGCGGCCAACGTCAACGGCGTCCAGCTTGCTGGTGTGGGCTTCGCCGGCTTCGCCGGCTTTGTCATGGCTCTTTTCGCTCTGTAAACGGCTTGGTTCTGTCATGCACAATGTCAACAGGGGCCTTGTATCATGGACATTTGTTCCGCTATTTTTGTACGGATATTCTACGGCCAAGTAATGTAATATCCATTGTGGGAGTTAATCGGTGACGGTTTGTAGGGAGTGTGGTTTAGGTGCTTTGGGGGTGTAGCGTTGTACTCGAATGCGAAAAGACAGCTTTTTGTTGTCACAAAAGGTGTGCAGGAGTGCTTTCTTCACGCTTCAAGTCTCTTTCCGATCTGCCTGTTTGCTCTGTAGCCTTTGTGACATCCAAGCCGTGGCGTCCCTACACTGGAAAGATCCAGTGGAAAGATTCCTCATTGTGGGGGGAAAAAGAGAGGAAGGAACGGGCTCTCACAGTCGGCATTCGTAATCGGCCTAGCTAAGAGTAAGTTCAAATCTAGAAGAGTAAGTTGGCAGAGTTACATTATGTAGTTATCTTGCCGACTGAGTTCCAAGGTTTTCTTGCTCCTAGGTTAGATCCTGCGTATATTCTGTCAAGCCTGCGGATGCCTACGGAGTACTTCAAAGCGAGCGAGAACATTGCAGGCGCATGAGAGGATTTGATATCGAAGATATTGAGACGCCGTCAGAATCGCTGTTCCCTGCTGTCGGTTGAAAGTGACGGCGTAAATGCACACATGCTCGGTGGTGGCCGACGACATTGGGCTGGAAGGGAGTAAAGTCGCCCACTTGAGGAATCCGAAGCAACTCGGTGTTGATATCTCGCTCACAGCAACGAGGAAGTATCGATCTGTTACAGAGCCCCATCCCGACAATCTCTCGGAGAAGAAATGCGTAGATTCTTCTCCAGTACGATTCAGAGTCGGTGTCCCTCATGTCATTCCCATTTCGGATCGGGGGGGTGGGTTTACGGGGGGTTGCCCACCGGGAACAGCTCGGCCGGGCGCGCACGCTCTTGTTGCATCATAGGCAGAAAAATTATTAGAGCGGAACATCGCATTGTCTCATCGGGCATGAGTTTGTAAATTATCTCGATACCCTGTCTCTTCTCTCCTATGAGCGACGCTTTCATCATTTTCACTTGCCAGCACAAATACACCTAGGAGCCCACATGGAGTGTCGTGCGCAATCCGGTCGATGCGCATTCACAACCAGACAAAAAAATATCCTCAAAAAGGGCAGCAGCAAGATCAGTGCAAAGGAGCATCCGCTGAAGCTCGAACTTTGGGTGGATATCTTGTTTGCGCAGTGCGTGGTCGCCCCAAGGCCTACCATACCTAGGTACATGGATCCATGGAGGTCAAGTTTGTGCGGGATGGTTGTTCGACGAAGCTTTCGCAAAAGCGGCTAGCGTAAGTAATGTGCCGCTAGCATAGCCAATCAGTCGGGAGGGAGATCGGCCCACGCGACGGCAGCGAATGGAGACGGCGTGTGCCGCTGAACGACGCCCGGACGACGTCCCAAGGTCCATTTCTCACTGCTCTCAGTTATCCGGTTTTGGCATGGAAAATGGCTCCATTCGGCACAGCAGCGCATCAGTGGGTTCCAAGTTTCAACTTCCAGCCTCGCCGACCTCATAGTCTACTCTTTGTTAATGAGCACAAAAGGGGACAGACACCCACGCTCCATGTTCGTTACAGTGGATTCAACTGCCGCAGAACTGTGAGATAGTCTTCGCACAAGGAGAAAATCCGGAGAGCGTAGCCCTATGTTGGTACGGACGGTGAGGTCAGCTCCAAAGGCTGGGCCCAGGCAACGAAAGCCGTCCCCCGGGCAGAGCTGTTGGGACTGCGGCTGATGTGGCCACGCCCGGAGGTGGTGGAAGCGGGTGAGCCCGAGATAGAAGCGAGGGAGGGTGCGCGTTTGCGCCACCAGGAGATTCTGCTGTAGCACCTCCCCAACAGATGCACAGCGCAGGATCTCCCACCTTTGACGTAACGTACGTCGTGCTGCGTTGATGTGCGTTGATGTGGGCGTTGGGCCAGCCAGTGTTCGCCTTGCAATGCGGCATGTTATTACCGTTGGGTCCCTGGCCACCCTTCCGTGGCTCGAGACATGAGGTCGCCCGTGGAGGCTTGGCAAGGGACCTCACTCATCGTGCCATGTCTTCGCCGCGCACCCATCCTCACCCCTCACACAAGATGTCGTCCGAGAGGCGGGTGCGGCATCATGTTCTCGGGGTTGAGTTCTGATTCGGCCAAATCGATTTCGAGTAGCTCGAAATATTGCAGCCATTCTACTATTTCCGTTTGCCGTGCACCAGTACTAAGTGATTAGTGTGTGAACGAGTTACTATAAAATTCATCCATTTCAGTGCGTCTTCTCCAAGGAATGGGCCAGGGCCGCTGCGGTTGTGTTTGTGGGACTGGTGATGCGGCCCTTGTTGAACGACACGGACGGTGCTGGAAAACCAGCAACATCAAAACAGGGACCGCATCTAAAAGTCCCGAAGGGTCGAACCTTGCCCGGTAACTGAAGCCTCTCCAAACAATGAGGACCACCGCGGCGATGCAAGACCTACCATATAGCCCAACGTGCGGCCTCGGACGAGGAGATGAATGAATGAACCAAGTCTGCTTGCCATCGTGTCGTTTCTTGCGGAGATGCCAAGGGCCAGCTCGAGCTCGAGTCAACGTCACGGGCTTGAGCCAACAAAATCAGTCTGAAGAAAGAGGGCACCATACTTCACAATGCCGGGTCCCCCCTCGCCATCCGCCTCCCACGCTCTGCCGCCTGACAGGATAGCAGCAGGAGGGGGGAAGTGGTTGCACCGGGCGGTGCAGCGGGCGGCAGTACATAGATGGTTGTTGTAGGGCACGACTCCTGGTTGGGCGAGATGGAACATGGCTCGCTCTGGTATTTCTCATTACTGGAAGAAGGCCCGCACCCAGCAGACCCTGGTCTAGGTCATCATCAGCGCCCACAAGCGTGGGTACGGAGCCGACATCTGCGAGCCCTTGGCGTCCTCAGTCCATAGCCCATCTTAGTCCTCTCCCCCCAATCCTTTCCTCGCATCCTGTCCACCTCCACGCTCCTTCACTCCCCACGCCCATCAGTCCTTTTTTCCATCAAGGCCTCGTGCCTTGCACCTTTCGCACCTCCTGCATTCCTCGAGCATACCCAAGACTACTCTCCCTGGCCATTATTTCGGCGCCTCGCCTTCTTCCTCCCTTTTATCATTTGGTGTGTATGCGCTGTCCGCGCCTCCCATGCTGCCTTGATACATCTTTCCTCAGAACTGGCTTTCTCACTCACCGGCTGCGCTGACGACGGCTCACGTCCGCCTGCCCTTTTGAGGGTCGTCTGCCACTTCCCTTGCTTGTCACTTGGGTTCGGGAGACCTCCCCAGCAGGCACATTGGGACCATGGTTGATGTGCGGAATGGCGGAGGCGAGACTGGCTCCCCTCGAGCAGCCAGTCCCTCCCACTCTGGCCCGGTGCGCGTCGAGGGCACCACGCAGACCGTCAGTGCAAAACCCGGGAAGTCTCGAGAAGATAAAACACCTTCGAAAGCAACCAGCAAAACATCTTCCAGGAGAAACTCACCCCAGGCTGCCGGATCCAACCTTCGCCCACCTCCCCAACCCCAACCGTCGGCCAGCACCTCCTCTGGGATGGAGCAGCCGCCGCAGTCCCAGGCTATGACGGCGACCGAGACTGCGTCGTCTCAGGCCTCGGAGAAGGAGAGCACCAAGGAGCCTACGCCTGCGCCTTATGGGACGCGGTCGCGCAACCGCCTAGGCGCTTCACGCATCAACTACGCCGAGGATGTGGAGATGGATTTTGAAATGGCCCAGCCGCCAGCAAGCGCAACGACCTCAGGCCCTCCATCTCGCGCGTCTCTGGCCACCGAAGGTGGACAGCCTTCAGCTGCAGGTGGGAAGAAAGGTGCCAGTGCGGCCCAGGGTCATGCATCGTGGGGCACCCACGCCGCCACCCCCAAGGAACAACCACCAAACGCCAATATTCCAGGTACCTCAACCTTCACTGCTGTCCCTCATTCCCACTCGGCACCTCCACCCAAGCGGCGAAAAAATGCAGCAAGTCACGCTACGAACGGCAGTCACGCGAGTGCCACGGCGCCAAGCCAGGGTGCTGGTGGTGGTGGTGCAGGGAAACGCGCCTATCCTGCCAGCAACGCCATGTCGGTCGCCAACGCCTCAAGGGAGTCCACCATGATGACCTTCGAGAAGACGAAGGGTCTTCTTGTCAACGGCAGACTGGAAGCAGACGACGGCCAGACCGTTTCTGTCAATGGTATGTGTTTACCCAAGCCGGGTATCCTAGATCGCTACATCCCGTGATTTCTTTATTCCTCTTTGTGCGCTTCGCCAGCCACCGCTCGACCATTGGCAGCTAACCAAGCGCTTAGATCAAGTCTATCTCGTCTGTGAACCTCCAGGGGAGCCGTACTACCTATGCAGGATCATGGAATTCATCCATGCTAATGGCGACCCCAAGTCACGTGTCGAGTCGCTGAGGGTGAACTGGTACTACCGACCCCGGGACGTGCAACGCTACAACAACGACTCTCGTCTTGTCTATGCCACGATGCACTCTGATGTTTGCCCCATCACGTCCCTTCGAGGCCGATGCCGAATCTTGCACCGCAGCGAGATCGAGGACCTCGACCAGTATCGCAAGCAAAGGGACAGCTTCTGGTTCAACCAATGTTTTGATCGCTTCATCCACCGCTGGTACGAGGTTATTCCCACATCTCAGGTCATCAACGTCCCGGAGAAGGTGAAGAAGGCTCTGGACGAGAGATGGAAGTACATCTGTCTGGAGACGAGCCGCGTCAAGGAACTCACGAGTGCGGTCAAGACCTGCAAACGCTGCGTAGGATTCTGCGCGTCCTCGGACTCGGTGCAATGCGCCGTGTGCAAAAACACCTACCACATGGGTTGCGTTCGGCCACCGCTGCAAAAGAAGCCTTCTCGAGGCTTTGCTTGGGCATGCGGACCTTGCAGCCGAGCCCAGGAAAGGAAGCTGGAGGCCCGCCGCACTCCCCAAATAGGTTCTAATAATGAAGACGGCGATGAGGAGGAACATGTCGATGAAGAAGAGGAAGAACCGGCAGCCGAGACCACTGCACCAAGCCCCAACGATTCAGAACCGGAAATTGACCTGCATCCAGCAACTCAGGCCGAAATCGCTCTGGCGAAGATGTGGCCAATGCGCTATCTCGGGATCCATTGCCGCGTTGAGGACGCGCTTCAGTACGATGATCGCGCTATCTATCCGCGTGCTAGTTCACGGCTAGGCCCTAGACATCAGGCTAACGTGAATGTCTGGCATGGTCACCCGGTGGAGTTTGTGAAACCTGCCGAAATCAAGAAACGTTATGTCAAGACGAACAGCCATAAAAAAGACGCAAAACTTCACAAAGACACACTCGCTGCGATTGAAGCGGACAAGGCCGAGAAGGCGAAGAGGCCGAAATGGGTGATGGATGAACCACCCGGTTACGTTCACCGGGGCGAGGACTACCCCAACAAAGACCCCAGATGCACGGCCGAACTCCTGTTCAAGATGCCTCCGCTCGGCGTGCATTCGACACGCGGCGAGGACGATGCGCCCACTGTGACCGAGGAGCAGGTGGAAGCTTATATGACCCGGGCCAAGGCCCTTGCAAAGGATGTGGGAGTGCAGCCATGGTCGACGAACTTTCTCGACAAATGCTTGGCGCTGTTCACAAAGTGCCAGTATGACGCTGACGCAGCGTTGAAACAAGTGAAGAAGCTCGACAAACGAAAGGATCTTCACGAACCGGAGTTGACCAAAGAGGAGGAGAAGAAGTGGAACGAGGGCGTGGCCAAGTACGGCTCAGAAATCAGAAGTGTCAGGCTACACGTCAAGACCATTAGTCACGCAGACGCGGTGCGATACTATTACATGTGGAAGAAGACTACCAAGGGGAAGGAGATTTGGGGATCGTATAGCAACCGCAAAGGACGGAATAAGAAGGCGGCCGAGACGGAGACTCGTCTGGTGGACGACGTGGCTGACGACCAAGACGATTCCGCCTTCGACAACGAGAAAGCCACACAACGAAAACGCGGTTTCCAATGCAAGTTCTGCAACACACGACACTCGCGACAATGGAGGCGGGCCCCCGGCGTCACCCCTGGGCAGACGGTTGCTGCAGATGGGAGAGCAAGCAAGAGCAACTCTACTAATGGTTTTCTTCTGGCTCTTTGTACCCGATGCGCAAACCTTTGGCGCAAGTATGCTGTCAAGTGGGAAAACATTGAGGAAATCTCCAAGAAGGTGGCCCAAGGTGGAAGCAAAGCTTGGAAGCGAAGGATTGACGAAGAATTGCTCCGGGAGGTGTATGCAGCCACTGCTGAAGCCGGTGCCATCCACAATGGCCCAGATTATGGAGAACCAGTGCACGTGACTCCTACACCTGCAGTGGAACCTCCCAAGAAGAGGCAAAAGACGGCGGCCGGAGCTGTTGACAGCGGAACCTCGACACCGGTCAGTGAACCTGCCCCCAAGAAGAAGGAGAAAGAGAAACCACCGCCACCGCCAAAGGCTCCTACACCGCCTCCAGTTCCTGCTCAACCACGACTAAAGGTCTTGCCATGCGCGGTGTGCCGGCAATTAGAAGGAGAGCGACTCCAGTGCGTGGCTTGCCGGATGACGGTGCACAAGTCCTGTTATGGCGTGGAAGAGGTTCGGCACGGGAAGTTCTATTGTGATACTTGCAAGAATGACAAGAAGGAGAGCGCGTCATATGTAAGTTCCGAGACCTGTTCGGCCATCTTTCAGCTAACATCCCCGCAGCGCTATGACTGCGTGCTTTGTCCTCACAAGGTCACAGAACAGGAACTCTGGGAGCCACCAAAAGTTTCGCACAAGAAGAAGACTGATCGAGAAAGGGAAAAGGAACGGATGGAGAAAGAACTGGTTGACAAGGCTCGGGAGGACTACCGCCGGTCGCAACTCGAGAAAGGCCGGCCTATATACCCGCGCGAACCGCTCAAACGGACGGCTGATAACAACTGGGTGCATGTTCAGTGCGCTCTGTGGATACCGGAGACCAAGTTCACGAATCCCAATCGGCTAGAGCTCGTCGAAGGTGTTGGAGCGCCCACCCTACGATATGATGCAGTCTGCAAGATCTGTAAGACGAACAACGGCGCGTGCGTTTCGTGTCTACAGTGTCATGCCAATTTTCATGTCGGATGTGCGCATAGTGCAGGGTACCTATTCGGCTTCGATATCACGCCCGTGAAAGCGACCCGGCGGGATGCGGTCCCGACAGTCACTATCAATGGCGAGACTGGCTCAATGACGGCCGCAATCTGGTGCAAGGAACATTCTCCCAAGACGATCGTGCATCGGGTCAACGAAGAGGTGGAAGGCACGGGATTGGTTGCATTACAGCTGTTTGCACGGGAGTTCAAGCGAGCAGATCTGACGCTTACCGGCACAGCTCGCAAAGCAAATCTCGTAGACCTGTCCACTCGGGCTGTACCCCAAGCAACCGCTGGCCACCCGGCAAACCGGCGGACATCCACTGCCACAAGCCAAACGACTGCAAAGGGCAGGCCATCTGTTGTTGGACTCGCTGCGAGGCCGGAAGAGCTTGCTGAGGGCGCTGCTGTCAAGCCACCTCGGGCCTGCGTCCGATGCAATATCGACGTGAGTCCAAGGTGGTGGAAGATGGACGATAAACCGAAGAGGCCCGCCATGGGTGTCAACGAACCCGCGGTTTCCACAAACGGCGTCCATGTGAATGGCGACAGCAATGTCGAGCACCCGCTGCATCCTCAAGCTTTGGGTGAAAAGAAGGAGAGGGACTCCTCGCCCTCGGACGCCTTCCTTTGCCAGAAATGCCACTGGAAGAAGCTCAACGTGCCGGAAGAAACGCCTGAGCGAGAGAAGTCGCAATCTGTCCTTCCAGAACCACAGAAGCTTCCCGTGCGATCACCTCCAGTCCAATCTCACTCACTCCCACCGCCACCGGCTCTGGCAGCGCCTTGGATTGGAGGCGGACTGCCGCCCCCGCCTGTTCACCATCCCCGCGGTCCGCCACCGCCCGTAGGTATATGGCATACCAACGGCCATCCGCCTCCCAGTGGCCCTCTACACAGTGGCATGGGCCATGCAGCGCTCACAGGCCCGCCTGTTGCACATCATCCTCCGCAGTTCCATACGCCATTCCTCCCCCAGCCGAACGGCTATTCACTTCACTCTGGTGGCCCTGTGCACCCTCCCGTCCAAGCTCCGATGCGGCCGCACTTCCCACACCAAACTCTGCCCCCTCCATCACACGCTGGCGGTGCACCGGCGCCGCCTCACCACCTGAGCAATGGGCTCCTAGCCAATGGTGTGCACTCGCCGCATCTTCCCTATCCGCCGGTCCATCCTCATGGACATGGAGCGCCTCGATCGTCAGAGAGCCCATTCACCGGAGCACCACCTCCGATTGGACCGTATTCTGTTCATCACGGTAGTCCTGGAGCTGCGCCACTCCGCAGAAGGCCGTCTACTCCAAGGGACGTGGTGATGAGGGACGCGCCAAGTGTCACTGCGCCGCCTCCCGAACCCCCGCGGGCCACGACGGGTGCCAGTGCCAGTCCGTCTCTGCGGAATCTCCTGCATTAGATTTTGGTTCTTTTGTACTTTTTATTCTTTGTATTCTGTTACTTTATGGTTGATGGGGGAAGCGAGGGACGTCGACGCTTTGCATGGCATATGGAGAAATCAGTTGGTTGTTCAGCGAGCAACTGGTCAAAAGTAGCGAGGGCATCTTGGGTCTGGATATGGGGAGGAGTTTTTTACAGGCACGATACCACCTTTTTCACTGGCTTTCCTAGTTCTGTATGCAAGGTGGGGATGACGGACGCCTGTCCCGCCAAGCTGTCGAGGTATTTGTTGCCTGTCATTCAGTGGACATTAGCTAGAAGCAACGCATAATTGCCAAAGTTAGCTGAACAGACGAAGTTCTGATATGCGAGTATACGTAGAAGTCGTGTCTGTGATGTATCTCACTCCTCGTCCCAAAATGAAAGGGGCTAAGCTTTCCTGCAAGGGCACCAAGCCGGGTTGTCATTGATTCTTCCGGGCCGGGCGGGAACGCTTGGGGCATGCAAGGGCCACGAGGCCAACGGTCAGCCCCTGGCTTCCCGCACGGCTTGCCCAACCTCATCTCTCGCCCTCCTCCCCAGACTCCGCATTTGCAGCCACTCGTTTTCCCCCACCTTCGTTTTCTACGCTACTTTGGTACTTCTGAATATCATCGTCTACCTGAATTTCTTTCCTTCTCTTCTTTCCTTCTTGCCTGTCTGCGAATCACGAGGTTCCTCTCCGGAGATAAAGATCCGACCGAGCGACGACATCAGCCCCAAGTGAAACCGAAACAGTTGTCGTCGCGCCACACGTACGTTGCAAACTTGCAACACGTAGCGCCAGAAAAGGGTGCGGCGACGCGCAAACGCTGAGGAACGAACAAACAAGCGACGGAGAGAGAGAGGAGGAGAGGGCTTCCTATTATCGTGATTCCACTAAGCGGCAGAGTCCATCACCACCTCGTGAATACATCTGGAAACGTCAGTCTCCCTCTGCCTCTCACACCATGATTTCCAAACGCGACAACGGCCGCGAGTACTGCTACGTCAATGCCGATGGGAGCCTCGACTGCTACAACTACGGCTTCTGGTACTCTGATGTAAGTGTATTAGCATTCAACAAGACGTTGGGATTCGGAAAGCACTCTGGGGTTATTGTTTGATGTTAAAGAGGAAGCTGACTGAATACCATGACAGACGGGCACGATTGTCAAGTACTCGATCCTCGGCGCCATCTTCGTCTTCTTCCTGGCCTGGTTCGTCGGCGGCTACCTGCATGCGAGGAGCCGGATGAGGAAGGGGAAGAAGTTGTTGCTGTATCATCGGGTATGTCTTTCTCCTTCTCCTCGCCGGTGTCTTTTCCTCCCTTGTCAACAGCCATCCATCTACATCAACAAACATCTAACAAGTCCACACAGTGGCTCGTCTCCTACGCGGACAAACGCAGATACGGCCAACTGCCCCATCAGCAACAGCAGCACCACCAGAACCACTTCACCTTCTACTCCGCCGCCGGCCAACAACCCTCGCAACCGTATACCCAGCGCAACGACTCGGCCTGGCCCGATGCTCCGCCCGTATATGCCGGCAACGACGCCCCGCCGAGCTACTACGCTCCGGCCAGTCCCAAGCCGCCGTTTTATCCGATGCAGAATGTGGCGCCGCTGGGGAATGCGGGTGTGGGAGGGCAGCAGCAGCAGCAGCAGCAGCAGCAGGAATCTGGTGTTGTTGGTGCGGGAGCGTCGCTGGGTCAGAGTCAGCAGCAGCAGCAGCAGGGAGTTCAGGGGCAAGGGCAAGGGCAGAATGGGACGACGTTGCCGACCAGGCCGGAGCAGGCGAAGGTGGTGATTTCGAAGCTGGTTTCGCGGTTGAGGAGATGAGATGAGAGGAGCGTCACTACGGATGAAGTGAATTGGTTGATTGATGGTTGGGTGGATCAGTTGGGTTTTTTTTGCATGGCCTGGGGCGTTGGAGGAGTGTGGGATATCACTTGACCACTTTCATTCCCTTTTTTTTATTTCTTAGTTTTCCACAGTCACAAGAAGGGCGTTGGATTGGTTGTTTGCACCTGTTGCATTATTGGACTTTCCATTGGCATGACTGGATTCATGCGGATAGGTTAATATACCAGTTATTCATATCGTGATAAGTATAACTCCATTGCACCCACCCCTTTCCCGGTATCTCAACGCCGTTTGTGTCCGTGTTCGTCATAAGTGGAATCAGACGGGAATGAGAATCATCCGTCTGGACTGAACTGAAGGAAAACGTGCGGTTCCCTAGTAATATGGGAAAGAGACATGTCTCCCGGTACGGCATGCCGCGCGCCGTGTGTCTCGGAGTGAGAGCAGGCCCTTCTTCTTCCTCTCCTTCTTTTTCTTCTTCGTCTTCTTCTTCGTCATCATCTTGTGCTGCGCTGATGGCCGTGCTTCCTCTCTGGTATGAAGCGCAGCCATTGGCGGTCGTTCATTTCCACGGCATCCCATTTGCTTCTTCTCATGGACTAGGCATTTCACTCCTCGCTTTTTTCTTTCTCTTTCCTTCTTTCGTTTAGAAGAGGATGCCTTTGTCACTGATGATGTGGGTGCGAGGGACAGTAGTACGGTAGTAGCCTGCGATCACCCATCAATCTCCATGGCATCAGGATCGTCCTCCTCTTCCACTGCCATCTCGTCTTCCTCCTTCTCCACCTCAGAAGGTGTCAAAGCACTCGCGATGCCATTCCCAAGCCCATTCCCCGCCCCAACCACGGCAGCCGGCTCCCCCAGCGGACTCGCCTGCCTCTCCCTGACCCTCTGCCTGGCCTCGAGAATCGCCTTGCGCACCTTATCCTGCTCCTCGGGCACCGTCAGACTCGACGGCACGCTATACAGCACCAACTGGTTATCCTTGGTGGGCTTCAGTTCGGGGGGCTGCAGGATGTATTTGGGGATCTTGGAGATGTGCTTCTCGATGTCTGGCAGGAAGATGGGGGATTCCTCGTCGGACGAGAGGTCGGCGAGTTCGTCGGCGAGGGACCAGATGTAGACGCGGTGCGGGGTGTCTTCTACGAGCATGGTGTCTTCGGCGGGTGGGGGTGGGGGGCGGCGTTTTTGTTTGTGAGAAGAGGAGGAGGAGAGGGGGGTTGGTGAGATGGGGGAGATGGGTGGGGAGGTGGGAGAGATGGGGGATTTGGAGGATGGGTTTGTTGAAATGGAGGAGGAGGAGGAGGGATCGACGGGGATGTAGAGGCGTGTGGAATTGCCATTGCTGTCTGTGTTTACTGTTAGCCCATCTATCACGACATAGCACAGCTCAACCTGAAATGCCCTACCCAGATGCAGCAGGTCCAACCTCTTGCTCAACCGCTGCTCGCTCTCCAACGAGGCATCGGCAGGCCGTTTCCTCCCCGCACGGTACAAGGGCGAGCTCCTGGGCGGCGCAGTGGCAGCCATTATGGTGATGCTCTCTCACTCTAGGATTGCGATGGAGGTTGAGTCTTGGCCGAGGACGCCGGCCGATGGGATCCGTGCTCCGTAGTGAGCTTCCTCAGCGCTATCTCTCTCTCCTCCAAGATGTAAATATCGATATCGATGCGCTCGCTGCTGAGATAAGCGGCATTCGGCCTCTTTGAACTTCGGCCAAGTCGCGTGGTCCGGTTTTCGAGATATCGTAAAGGAGGGTTGGAGGTTGGCCATTGGAGATATACGCAGTAATCGCGCTGTGGACGATCCGCGAACTTTCTCGAAAGAAGGGCCTCGCCGAAGCAACGCAGACGAGTCGCAAACGAGGGCGCAACACGCGCATCTCAATTGATCCAGCCACTTGGAGCGATCCGAGATCTCAGGGTCTTTTACTGATTCATTCTTGGATGCGGCGCTCCAGGGCGGCTGTTGCAGGCCTTTCGTCCTGTCTGAGTCACCCGTCGCCTCAGTGTTATCTTTCGCCGTCCGCCGCCGTGCCTTTCCCGCGCTGCCTCTGCGCCTGCGGAGCCCCACTCGCCTCCTCTGTCGCTGCGCCAAAGTTGCCCCGCCTACACTCGGCTTGCACACTCAACTTCTACAACCACCAACTCAACCACTACACCCGCCACCACTCCTCCAATCCCTCCCACCTTCGACAGGCACACCATTTGCGACGAATTACGCCCGCACGTACTACTACGAGGCAGACTGCGATTGAGTCTCCACCACGAAGAGTTGTGAGCGGCGTGAGAGCGTTGCATACGCACATCGAGAAAGGGAAAGAGACGATGGGATCGCTCGTCGATGAACAGCATGAGTGGGGGGCGGTTCGCGTGAGGGAGACGTTTCTGAATTACTTCAAAGAGAGGGGTCATACCTTTGGTAGGTGCTCTCATACTCTTTGCACGGTCTTTATAACTCTTATCTTTCCTCCCGTTCTCAATCGCCTCACTTGAATTTTGGAATGCTAATACCGCCCAGTCCCCTCGTCCTCCGTTGTCCCCCTCTCCGACCCCACCCTCCTCTTCACCAATGCCGGCATGAACCAGTACAAGTCCATCTTCCTCGGCACCGTCGATCCCGCATCTGATCTCGCCTCCCTCAAACGTGCCGTCAACAGCCAGAAGTGTATCCGCGCGGGTGGCAAGCACAATGATCTCGACGACGTCGGCAAGGACAGCTACCACCACACCTTCTTCGAGATGCTGGGCAACTGGAGTTTTGGCGATTACTTCAAGGCAGAGGCCATCGAGTACAGCTGGGAACTGCTAACCAAGGTGTACGGCATCGATCCCAAGAGACTCTATGTCACATATTTCGAAGGAGCGGATGGCCTGGAGCCCGACCTCGAAGCCAAGGAGCTCTGGAAGAAGGTCGGCGTCCCCGAAGACCACATCCTAGGCGGCAACATGAAGGACAACTTCTGGGAAATGGGTGATCAAGGCCCCTGCGGCCCTTGCTCGGAAATCCACTACGATCTCAGCGAGGACGGCCACAACCGCAATGCCGCGCACCTCGTTAACATGGACGATCCGGAGGTCATTGAGATCTGGAACAACGTCTTCATGCAGTATAACCGCGAGGCGGATCGGAGTTTGAGACCCCTGCCGAATAAGCACATTGATACCGGAATGGGGTTTGAGCGATTGGTGTGCGTGTTGCAGAAGAAGAAGAGTAATTACGATACCGATGTTTTCACGCCGCTGTTCAAGCGCATCCAGGAGGTCACCGGCGCGAGAGAGTACCGTGGCAAATTCGGAAAGGAGGACCCCGACGGCATCGATACTGCATACCGCGTCGTCGCTGACCACGTCCGCACGCTCGCCTTCGCCATCGCAGACGGTGGCGTCCCTAACAACGTGGGAAGAGGCTACGTAGTGCGCCGCGTGCTGAGGCGGGGTGCTCGTTATGCGCGCAAGTACTTTGAAGTCGACATCGGCGACTTCTTCAGCAAAATCGTGCCCAGCCTCGTCGAGCAAATGGGCGACATGTTCCCCGAGATCCGCAAGAAGCAAGAAGACATCAAGGAGATTCTCGACGAGGAGGAGAAGAGCTTCGCCAAGTCGTTGGATAGGGGTGAGATCATGTTTGAGAAGTATGCGCAGAAGGCAAAGGTCAAAGGGTCGAACGACTTGCCCGGTGACGATGTCTGGAGGCTGTATGATACGTATGGTTTCCCTGTCGATCTGACGAGGTTGATGGCCGAGGAGCGCGGGCTCATCATCAATGACAAGGAGGTGGAGGAGGCACAGGAGAGGGCGAGGGAAGCAAGTAAAGGTGATAAGAAGGCCGCGGCTGCGCTCGTCAAGCTCGATGTGCACGATCTCGGTGCACTGGAGATGATGAAGCATGTGCCCAAGACGGACGACTCGCACAAGTACGGCAGGGAGAATATCACCTCGGTCGTCAAGGCCATCTACCACAACAAGCGGTTCCTTGAAAGCACGACTGAGCTGCCCAAGGGCGAGCAGTTTGGCGTGATCCTCGATAGGACCAACTTCTATGCCGAGCAGGGTGGACAAGAGTACGATACGGGACGGCTGTTGGTGGATGATGAGGCTCATTTTGAGGTGGAAAATGTGCAGGTGTATGCAGGGTACGTGCTGCATACGGGTTATCTGAAATACGGCAACCTGAAGGTCGACCACGAGGTCATCGCCGAGTACGACGAGGTACGTATATCTTCCTGATTTCACTAAGAAGGAAAAGATCATGTTAACAATATCCTCTAGCTCCGACGCAACCCCATCCGCTCCAACCACACCGGCACCCACGTCCTCAACTACGCCCTCCGCGAAGTTCTAGGCGACGAAGTCGACCAGAAAGGCTCTCTCGTTGCCCCGGAAAAGCTGCGCTTTGACTTCTCCCACAAGACCGGCGTCGAGCTGGCCCAACTTGAGAAGATTGAAGAGATTTCCACCCAGTACATCCGCCAGAACAGCGAAGTCTTCGCTCAAGACGTCCCGCTCGCGACCGCGAGGCAGATCCGCGGTGTGAGGGCAGTGTTTGGCGAGACGTACCCCGACCCCGTGCGTGTGGTTAGCGTTGGTGTTCCCGTCGATGATCTCCTCCAAGACGTCAAGAATCCGAAGTGGCAGCACGTCTCGGTCGAGTTCTGCGGCGGCACGCACGTGCGGCACACGGGCGAGATCAAGGAACTCGTTATTTTGGAGGAATCCGGCATTGCGAAGGGCATCCGACGCATTGTCGCCGTGACCGGCCAGGAGGCGTACGATGTGCAACGCCAGGCAAAGGAGTTCGAGCAAGAGCTGTCAAGACTCGAACGCATGTCTTTCAGCCCCGAGAAGGAAGCCGAGGCGAAGAAGTTGCAAGTCCAGTTGAACCAGCTCTCCATCTCCGCCATCACCAAGGCGCGCTTCCGAGATCGGTTTGCGGCGATCAGCAAGGGGATCTTGGACGAGCAGAAGAAGGCTGCAAAGGCGGAAAATAAGCGTATCATGGACTCCATCACGTCTTTCTTCAAGGAGCAGCCAGATGCGCCTGCTCTAGTGCAGAAGCTGGAGTGGAGCAGCAATGTGAATAAGGCGATTAGTGAGGCGATCAAGGCGGTGAGCAGCGGCAAGGGAGAGGTCAAGGGAAAGAGTGTGTATCTTTTGGCGGCGAGTGGGGACGAGGGCAAGGTGGTGCATGGGTGCTATGTTGCTGATGTGAGTGCTATTGCCCTTTTCCCAATGTGCTGTTATTGCTGGATGGCTTTGCTAACGTGTCTCTCCAACAGCCTCTCAAGTCCCAAGGAGCATCTGGGCCCGAGTGGGCAAGCCATGTCGCCAAAGTCGTCGGCGGGAAAGCTGGCGGCAAAGCCGGCGCGCCCACGGCCATTGGTCAGGGGACCAATGCGGAGAAGGTGGATGAGGGCGTCGAGGAGGCGAGGCGGTATATTGAGAGTTTCAAGCTTTCGAATTAGAGGTTTGGGCTACGATAGAATGGGGGCACGGATGAGGAGGTTTCTACGGGGAACATCTTCCTGGTCTGGCGATTTCCTGTCGCTGGTGGAGTATGGCTTGTGAGCATTGTCGTATGTGTAAAGAGATGTATAGATTACCTATTGAGCGATTTTTGCATTCAGGGGTGTGGAATTGGTTTTTGTGATGGGTAGGTACCTTCTGGGAGGATACTATTGACAGAGCAGAGGCAACGGAGCCCGTCTGTTATGCAACCCGTTCTGTGCGAGTGAGTGGATATTCATCTGTCAACGAGGAAGGTGAGGAAGCCTAAGCTTGGGCCTGACGAACCAACTGCTTGTGGAAATCAGCCGATGGTGAAAGGAGCGATTTCTCATCATCGCAGCTTCGCCACATAGTAGGAGCTTTTATCAGAGTAAAGGAAGTGTTGGGTCAGGCTAGCTGGAGGAGTATAGTGGTTTATGAAAGGGCAAGTCATCCATCAATCGTGCGATACGTGCAGGGTAATCACCGAGGCCGCCGCGATTTATACAGGAGGCGCTCTTCGGGTTCGAAATGGGCATTTCTTGCATGACGAGGAAGGTTACGACTTGCTGTAGAGACTCACTGTTGGATGAAGGAAGAGGTTGGATTATCATTTCAGTCCTTCCCTCATGGTCCGTCCGGCCAATGATAGATGGTGTAACATGTGGGGGCTGACATGGTGCGTCTATCTCATATGTAGCTGCACCTCTGCACTTTGGCTACAGCTTACTGGGAGCGTTGAAAGCTCCAGTCGAAGATACTGCCCACAGATGTACAAGTATGTCCCCTCCTGCGGGAGATGCTTGATTCCCAACCTGAACATCCGCTTACTTTATAACCACAGCAAGTTGCACGAGTAAGCTGGGTAAGCTTCGCAGCTTCGCCGCATCTCCCCCTGAGTTTTCCTATCACCAGCTCTCCAGCCCGACGGAACTAAGACGCTTCCACGGTTCCTAGACCGCAGTCATGTTCTCCGCTATTGCGTTTTCGCCGGGGAGTATCGTGGCCTCCGTCTTGGTCTCTGGCGCAGTCTACTTTGTCATTTCGTTCGTCCAGCATCGCCGGTTCTACAAGGACTTGGTACGTGTCAACCCGCACACCTCTCCCTTTGATTAGATTCACCCGTCCTTCACATCCCTTCCATCTCCACTCTCTCCTATCTCAAAAGACTCGCACCGTCTACATCCCCTGCCGGACATCCGATCAACCACTCCTAACCCACGTTCCCAGCCCAAACCACCCCACAGCTTCCTATGGGGCAATCTCAAAATCATTGGCGAAACATTCACCCTCTTTCCGCCAAAAGCCCACGCCCAACTCGTCTTCACGACGCTCTCGCAGAAATACAAACTCCCCGGCCTCTTCTACATGGACCTCTGGCCGGTCGCTCCGCCTCAGATCATCATCACCGACCCGGATCTCGCGCTCCACATCACCGTGGCGAACAACCTGCCCAAACACGAATTCGAAACCAAGTTTGCGGGCCCCGTAGTGGGCAAGGGGAGTATCCTGCTCGAAGAAGGAGCGTCCTGGAAACAACTGCATAGGATGCTAGCCCCGGCCTTCAACGCCACCAATGTACGCAACCGCACATCCATGGTAGCCGACGAAGTCATGATCTTCCGCTCCATCCTGCACAAGTACGCCGACTCGGGCGAGCCGTTCAGCCTCGAGCAGGCCATCTCCAAACTCACCTTCGACCTCATCTTCACGACGACGTTTGGCTTCTCGCAGCACGCGCAGCAGAAGGGGAGTGCGATTCTGGACCTTTTCAAGAAGCTGCTGGACCAGAATTACATCATCCAGGAGTCGTTGAACCCGATCAAGAGGCGTCTGGCGCGGTGGAGATGCGCGGCCGCCTCGCGCGAGCTGGACGGGCTCATCGAGCCCTTGGTCAAGGAGCGATATGCCCTCGTGCGCGAAAAGAACCTCGACGTGAGCCAGCGCGTCGGCCTGAGCATCATCGACCTCGTCATCCGCGAGTACCTCCAAGAAGAAGCCGGCAGGACCGACAATAAGGGAGACGCGAAAAGCGACTCCCCTTCTTCCTCGCCATCACCCGCCTTCCTCGCCACGGCCATCGCGCAAATCAAGACCCTCCTCCTCGCCGGCACCGGCACCGCAACCGACACCTTGTGCTTCGCGTACATGCTGCTCTCCAAGGAACCGGGCATCATCTCGCGCCTCATCGACGAGCACAGCCGCGCCTTCGCGCCGAGCATCGACGAAACAGTATCGCTCCTGCACTCGTCCCCCGGCCGACTCGCCGACCTGGAACTCACCACCAACGTCCTCAAGGAAACCCTCCGCCTCTACCCCATCGGTCACACGGTCCGCGCCGCCGACGCAATCGAGTACAAGGGCCGCGTGTACCCGGCAAAGGGCCACTTGATCTTCCCCCTCTCGCACACGATGCATTATGACCCGTCCGTGTTTCCAAACCCCTCGCGCTTCGATCCCGATCGCTTCACCCCTTCTTCCTCTTCTTCTTCTTCTTCTTCTCCTTCGTCATCTACCTCTTCGTATCCGGATGGCCTCACGCATCCGCGACACGCATGGCGTCCCTTTGAGCGCGGACCCCGCGCCTGCTTAGGCCAGACCATGGCCATGGAGGAGATGAAGGTCGTGCTGTTGTTGACGGTGCGGGAGTTCGAGTTCGAGGTGCTGCCGTGCGAGGGGGAGGGAGAGAAGGAGAAGGGGAAGCCGAGGCAGAGGGTCCCGTGGACGGATCTGGATACGAGGTTTGGCGATGTCGCGTTCCAGGAGATGGTGTTTGAGGCGCGGCCGAGGGGGGGGATGAGGGTGAGGGTTAGAAGGAGTGGGAAGGAGAGGGGTGGGGGGAAGGTGTGAGCGGGCGGGGGAAGAAGGGGCGTGGAATTGGATTCAGTAGGTTGTGTTGGGAGGTAATGGAGGGTGGTGGGTGAGGGAAATGGAAGGTTGTAATGGTGATGGGGATGGGAGCATGGTGGATGGGGATGGAAGATTGAATGGACCTTCAAGAAACGGACTGTAGATACACTCTCCTCCTTCTCCACTGGCTTGGGCAGCTGGACATGTAATTAATATAGACAGCAAACTTTCTCTTCTTCTCTCCACCTCCCTGCTTGATTACTGTATATAATAACGATGCATAAAGACCCTGATGGTGCATGTCTATACCGAAGGAGCAAATAATAACTAGAGGAAATGGAGAGTTACAGACGCCCTGTTTTTGCAGTAGCCGTTAGAGACTCCCATGGAACTGGGGAATGCTGGACAACTCGATGCAAGTATGAATATATATGTATATGTGTATATATATATAAAATAGTAGCCCGGCGAAAAGAGACTTGCTTTCCATGGGAGCAACACATAGGCGTTGGTGATGACGTATAGTCCTTCTACCAAGGCAAAAGCAAGAGGATAAGTGGGGATTTACGCATATTTTTAGGGGGTGAACCAAAGATGGGAATGAGGAATCAAAGTCGCATCCGAGATGTGAAGCTCAGCGGGCAAGAAGCCCAAGCAGGCAGACAGAAACCAAATGATCTCTTCTACCAGAGGCGAGGCATCGTTATCAACATAGATTCGGTGATAGAACAGTTTCTTCGCCAAGCAAGTAGAAGTCAAGAACTCGCCCCCTACATGCACGCACCACCACATGCTACACAACAACTCGGCACAAGTACCATAGCAAGACAATAGAGATTTCATTTCATCCTTTATACGAGAAACCCACCACGCTACCCAGGTATATCTCATCAAGCCTTCCATCAAGGGAGACACGGCAATATCGACCAGAGAACAAGGTGGAAAACAGAACCGATGCATCATCCATGAATGCGCCAACTCCATGCCCAAAACCCGCACATCGGACTGCACTTAGTTCCTTCGTGAGGAACTACGCCGCAACCTCATCAGTCACGTCTTCCACCACCAGCGAAGGCCCCTCCAACAGCTTTGCAAACGGTGTAGGACAGGGTCGCCCCTCAGCATCGCCCAAGTTCAAGTCCTATCTCGTGCACAACGGGGATACTAAAGCAGGATCATCGCGGGCCTATGACATCTTTTCCAGTACATCCTCGCGTCATGAATTGGTTTCGACGGGGCCTAAATGCCATCAACCTCGAAGATTCCTTCTCCCCAAGGCTCCCTCGAGGACCTCCTAGCAGCATACGTCCTCTCCATGGTCTCAAAATATTCGTCTACCGAGCACCTCTTGGTTTGTCTTAGGTCCGACAAAAGATTCCTAAGCTTCCGTCATCTCGACGTCCGTGGACTCAGCCACCGCCTCAGGCTGCTCGATGCGTTTCTTGAACGCCGCCTTCCTGGCATCTACGTCATCACGGCTGACATCTTTCATCCAGTTTGTGTTGCGGACGAGCAGCTCCTGCGCACGCTCCCGCCTGGACTCCTTCAAAGCTGTAAAGTCTTCGGCGGATTTGACGCCTTCATCGCTCAAGCCAGAGCGAACCTTGCCGGAATGCACAATGTGTTCGACACCACCCGAGCCGTAGGGTTCGCTGGAGATAAAGCGGATAGTGTAGTTGACTGGGTTGATCTGGATGGTGGTCCTGCCGAAAGAGTCGTCTGGCTCATATTCCTCATCTGCCGTGTCCCGCGCAGTGCGATATGAGCGTTTGCAGAATGGAACTTCGACCTTGCTCATATCAACGCCCTCGGTCGTTTCATTCTGGTAGTAGGCGGCGCTGTATGCACGCCAACGCCTGACTCTATCGAGCATTGTGAATTCGTAAGTAGGATCATCCTTCTTAAAGAGCCTAACGTAAGCCTCCTTCTTCTGCGAATCCTGGAAACTGTCAGTATGATGAAAAGATATTGGGGATGAAACCACATACATATGCGATCCTATAGGTATCGGCGTCTTTCGCAAACTTTGCCACGGCCTTCCTGTAAGCAATTTCGGCTTTGTGAGAGGTCGACTCGTTGACACGGTCCCTCTTGAAGAGGTTGTAGATGTCCAGAGTCCGGTCTTTGCTGTCATTGCTGACCACAGCAAGACTGAATCGGAGAAGAGACCCCATCAGCCTGTCGAACGAGTACAACTGCCACCCAACCTGCAGGTAGTACCGCCGCAAAACTTCCTCGATCTGATTCATATCAATTTCCCCTTGGATCTGCTCCTGCAACATGTCCAGGATCTGCTGATAGTAGTTGGCAGACTCCGATGTATCCCTGAAGAAATCATCAGGAGTCTTGTCAATCATCTTGAGGTCCATCGCAGGCTTGTGAGCCTTAGCACGCTGGACTGTCGTCCGAACCGTCTCTTCGTTCTCCTTCAACTTCAGAAGTCTCTCATACAAGTAGACGAACATGCGGAAGAAGCAGTAAATCGACGAGTTGGCGTACAGGTTGTACATGCTGCGGGAATATGGCTCGTCATGCTCGAACGGTCGGTCACCGAACAACTCTGGCTTATCGGAGATGTCGATCCACCGAGGCGAACGTTGTTCATCCTTCCCCGCGGAGTGGGAGCTGTCAGCGCCGGTATCTTCTTCAGCAGCAGATGTAACATCCGGAGTTGTGTCTCGGCTCGCTGAGGCGACGCTATCCTCCTTATCCTTCCTCTTCCCGCGGGGATCCAGCACACCACGACGGAGGTCGCCCTTTTTGAGTTTGTGCGACCGCTGCGAAACATCTTCGTCGGCGCTTGGCATCTCATCGGCAGACTCGTTGGTAGAGCTTTCACGCTGGCCATAATTCTGCAGGCGCTGTTCGAATTTGTTCGCATCAAGACCGAAGAACAGCGGGATAAACTCTTTGATGAAGGGGACAACTCTGGAAAAGTCGACTCCATTGTTATTATCAGCATAGGTAAGCATGAGCTTTGCGATATCGTAAAGGATCTCTTCGTCATTGAAGGAGTAAGCGAATTGATGATCCGGCTGCTGTATTTCCTGAATTTCCTGCAGACGCTTTTGCTCCTCATATCTGACCTGGATTTCATTCAGAAGTGACTTCGGCTGGAATTGTCGCTTGTCGTTCTGCTTGACTGACAAGCTCTGGTGGTCTAGCGAGCGCCAGAAGATCTTTTGGGTTTGCTCCCGCCAAACCTTCTCCCACTCGCGCTGAGCAGCCTTCCAGTCCTCCAGCTTGGATTTCAGCCGGTGAAGTAGGACAGGTACAACACTCCAAGGCGTGTTGAAGAGTTCCTTGGCAACCTGGGCACCCTTCTCGCGGCCATAGATTTTCATGATGACTCGCTTGTAAATCGTCTGACTTTGTCCGCCTAGACCCGGTGGAACGGTAAAGTTGAGCCTATCTTCGCCTTTCAGGGAATAGAGCTGCTGGGCAATGGGTTCGAGCTGTTGGATGGTGCGAGCGCAAGCCTCAATGTTAAAGTCATAGTCATGTCGTTCTTCTTCGATGCGATGCAGTCCTTCCTCGAAAGTGTTCTTGCGATGAGCTACGAAGCCGCTGTCTTCAGAAGCCCAGGTTGGGTGAGAGGCCCATTCATCATTGAGCACGGAGCGACACAGCTCGTCACGACCGCTGCAGAGTCGTTCACGCTCCTATCACGCGATTAGCAAAGGACACAACAAGGGAGTCTCGTTCACTTACTCGTTTGGGTAACAGCCTATAGCTAGGTCCAAAGCTGCGGCAGTTAGACAGGGAGACACGGGAGTTGACGGCCTTGGGTCGTATATGCTTGGCTTCATCGTCATCTCCGCCGATGAAGTTCTTGAACCAGTTGTACAGTTCTTGATTCCCGCCGATGAAGGCTTGGGCACGGAAGAGCAGTAGTTGTTTGTCAATCAGATCCTGGCTAAAGAGGTTGATGAGCTTGAGGAATTCGTTCATAGCGTTCTTATTCGCAAGGAACTTTTTGACGCGATCAAAAAACGCAAGCTCATCTTGAGTAGGAGTGGTCGTAGTCGAAGGTGGGAGAGGTACAGGTAACGCAGGAGTCAGCGTCGGTGAGATGGGTGGTCCCTCTGGCACGACCGTTTGCTTCGCGGGATGCCCTGTCTTTGCGCGCTTCAATCTGTTAGCCTTTGCTGCATGCTCGTCGTGGTCATTCGCAATGTCGCTGAACCGCAGTCGCTTGCGAAGACGCCCCATAGTAAACCAAGAGTGTAGGTGAACGGGGAAGAATGGGGAACAAATGAATAGGTTGAACGGAAAAGAATAGTTACAAAGAAGAGAAAGAGAGAGCGAGACGGAAAATGCAAAAAAATAGTGGAAATCGAAGGGGCTGGGCCAGATTCCCCCTCACAAGCCAGGGGCTTTGGAGGTGAAGGTGAAGCACTGGGTGAGTGGATTGAGAATTCACTTACCTTGTTCACGTTTCCAGGCCCTCCGTACGTACCCCTCATGCTTGAAGTCTGGATCTCCTGTTGCATCTGGGTAGGTATTGGCGCAGCAGCCGGTCCAGGTCCTTGCCTGTCGCCCCGCTTCCGCTTGTTGTCCCGATTTGCGGTAGGCGTTGGCGCAAAGTTACCCATGGGCGGTAGCCTCGATGTATCTGCGCGTGGCGTCTGCTGATGGGGCGGCGCTTGACTATATGATGGTTCCCCACGGACGCTGTCTAGCATTGCTGCGCCTTCAGCGTGACGTGCAGCTTGCTGCTGAGCCCTATGTTGAGCGGCAGATTCGGGGAGAAACTGCTTGAAGTCTTCTAGGAGATCGGGTGCACTGCTGAACAGACTGGTGACCTGAGCGTACACATCTTGAATCGGCTTAGACTCTCGTTGATAGGTTTGCAAGATCTCGAGGAACTGCTTATATATATCTGGCTGCTGCGCAAAGCGGTTCTATAGTGGTACAGGATTAGCCTTGCGCATAGACCAATACGATTCAAGAGAAACTTACCTTTATCTTGTTAACGTAGCTGATAGCATGATTGAACTCGACAGGGCCTCGCTTCTCGCCTACCATACCGCCCACTTGGCCACCTTGAGCAGTACTGGTGAGAGGCTGCCCAGCCAACGCCGCGGGATCTCCACTAGGCGACAAGATGGACCGTCCAGTCGCTGCAGAAACAGCATTCTGGAGCTGTGAAACACCTCTCTGTTCTTGTTGATGTGCGAGAGCTGCCGCCGAAGCTTCCGCATGCTGCCGATGTGCAACTTCGGGTGACAATGGATGCGGACCTGGCTGGCCCTGTTGAGCAAACAGAGACAGGCCTTGGGCGCGGTTATCGGGGGAGAATACGCCTTCCTGAGCGTCCGGCCGGCCCTGTTGCCACTGACGACCATGGGCCCCATCGTAGTATGGGCTCTCGTTCACCTGGGATGCTCCGCCATTGACAGCGGCACTCCGAGGTGGAGAGAGTGGGCGGGCTGTGGGTATCGTTGAAACCATTGTCCCCATCGGCGTCGTCACCCGAATATTATTTGGGTCTCCATTCGTTCCGCACTCTATCTTGTATCCAGGTGGGAGGAAAGTGTTAAACCCTTGGATGAGGTCCGGGTTACCCGCAAATAGTGTTGAGACTCTCTCAATCACACCCGGGGTATCAATGGCGCTGCTCTTGAAGTCCTTCATGATATCGAGGAACCGGTTGTAGACGTCGGGATGGTCGGCAAACTGAACTTTGACTTGGTCAAGGTAGCTGAGCGCGTCATTCAAAATCGGCTGCTGGCCCTGACCGATAGCCATCGGCGCCCCAGGCGGACCACCGAAAGGCACCAGCATAGAGGTCTGATGAGGGGGCTGCACGGCATGTTGCATTCGCGGAGTCGTATCGCCCGGCTGGCCTGGAGCATTGCCAAACATTGCCGCAGGTGCGTTTGGTCCACCCAAAGGGCCACCCAGCGGGCCCGAGGGAGGAGGTCCCAGTGGTCCTGGTTGTCCAAGCAATCCATTGGGGCCATGTATAGAGCGTGCAGACGGGGCGACTGCCACCGGTTGATGGATCTGCATCGGGCCAGCATGATTCTCACGAGCCGCGAGTTCCTGTTGCTGTCGCTCGTGAATCTCGCGGTCCCTTTGTTCAGCTTGCCGCTTCAACTCGTCTTGATGTGCGGCATGCTGCTGAGCGGCATGTATCTCCCTCTCTCGTGCTTCGTGTTCGCGCAGCTCTCGCTCCCGCGCCATATTTGCCTGCTCTGAAGTCTGCATCTGTGGCTGATGGAGTGTTTGCGAGATACCCGGAAGTGAGTATGACGGTGCTTGCGGGGTTCCTTGCACGCTCATTGCCGCGGGTCCGGACTCTGAGGAAGGTGGTCGCTGAGCCGCTTGGTGGGTAGGAGGCTGTGGAGAGGGTCCGCCACTCATCGCCGAGAGAGCTGGCAGATTCTGATTATGTGCGGAAGCCGCGCTCGAAGAGTAGAAAGGCCCTGCGAGAATTGTGAGCGATGCGCTACCAGGACTGGTGAGGAATGCAACATACCGCCAGACGGTGGAGGAAGAACGTGTGCTGAGCCCTGAGAAGGAGAAGCTTGTGCAGATGGTTGAGAATTCGCATTTGCGTTGTTGGGCGGACTGCGGCAGAACGTGTCAGTAAACATGAAGTGTCAGAAGGTGGCAGTATGAGCTCGATTCCGACTGGAGATATGACAGCTGGTGAAGGGTAAGGGGGTTGGGGCAACGTCACATACCCAAACGCGCCCATGGGGCGTCCTGACTGTGCTTGAGCTTGCTCCGTTTGTTGTGCGCCTGAAGGGGGTGGACCTTGTGACGGCGGCCACCCTTCGCGATGTGGTGGATTCATATCGGCTTTACACCCGAGCTGTCGGCGTTAAGCCAAAGGAGAACCGCGCGACTCGGGACGTTCTTTCGTGAAAAAAGAGAGCTCCAAGAAGAAACTACAGCTCATTGAAAGCTATGTTTTTCGTCAAAGCGCCCAAAAGGTCCAGCGGCTGCTCGTGGTTGTCGTCGGGTGCGCGCGACGAGGGTAGGAGCGCGAGAGCGGACCGAGCTGTCCCTGCTGGCTCCACGAAGCAAAAGCACTCAATCAAATAGAAAAGATGCTGGCGTAGCTGCGCAATAGTGGCAGCTGTCGGCTGTACGAGTGGTGAGCGATTAGGATAAGGTAGAGAGCGCGACAGCGAGCAGGAAAGATGATGCAGAAGCGGCGCCCTGGCTGGTGACCGAAAAGGGAAAACCCGGCAGAATGATAATCCGGCAGCGGGTCACTCATTGGCCGATCACCGGTCCAGCAACGAGGAACAAGAAATACTGGCCGAGGAACAAAGACAAAGAGATGCGCACAACTCGTTTTGCAGCCACACTGACAGCATACTTGGCAGCCCTCAGTTCAAGCTACAAGCAAGTATTCCACTACGACAATGTATAACAGACACATGATTCACCCTTAGCAGGGGTGTCGATACGCCTCAAACTCCAAGCGCCCGCTCTGCAAAAAGGAATTTGAAGCAACCATCAAAAAGGCCCTAATCCCATCCAAAATTTCGCTTTTAGAAAATCCATTGGAACGATTCCTTCACCTCGAAGCTGACCTTGCATCTGCATTGCCATTAGCTGCTTTTCCTTGTCGTTCGAAAGATTCAAGTGACATACCTGATATCCGCACTGGATGCGCCAATCAACACCTCAAAGTCACCCGCTTCTGCAATCCAGGAACCAGTCTGGTTTAACGAGGTATTGAAGTATCCCACTGAATACTTGTCCAGCTTCAGAGTGACCGACTTCGTCTCTCCAGGCTTGAGCATCACCTTGCCGAATGCCTGCAATTCCTTCTCGGGTCGTGGAAGTGTAGACTTGACATCGCTGACGTAGGCTTGCACGATCTCAGGTGCAGCGACAGAGCCAGTGTTTGTAACGGGGACGGTGATTTCGATGCCTTGGCTCTCTGTGAGGACAGTGTTGCTGAGAGTAGGGGTACCATATTCGAACGTCGTGTACGTCAAGCCGTGACCGAAGGGGAACAGTGGAGCAATCCGTGCGCGCTCGTAGTGCCTGTATCCGATATAGATCCCCTCGCCGTACACTGTTTTAAGATTCTCGCCGGGCCAGTTGTGGTAGGCTGGATTGTCCTCTAACCGTTTGGGAAATGTAGCAGGGAGCTTTCCGCTAGGGCTCTGATTACCAAAGAGGACGTCTGCAAGCGCGTTTCCAGCCTCTTGTCCCTGGTACCAAGCCTGCAGAATGGCTGGTGCACGATCAACCCAAGGCATGGAAACTGGCGTGCCCGACTGGTTGACTACGACTGTACGTGGGTTGGCGGCAAGCACAGCCTCGATCAGGCGATCTTGTGAACCGTTCTTGGGAAGATCCATAGTTTGTCTGTCATAGCCTTCCGATTCCCATTCAGCATCGAGTCCAACAACCAAGACGGCTGCATCTGCGCTCTTTGCGGCATCAACAGCTTCTTTTAGCCTGTCAACCTTGTCCTCCTCTTGATATCCAATGCGGCATCCGCCATAATCGTACTGGCGACCGAGAACAGCCACCTTGGATGCAGGACGGACCTCACTGGTGCTCTCTACAAGCAACTCCACCGGCTTGCCCTCCTCCAGATGGATCGACTTCAGCACGTCTTCGGAAGCGGAGAACATGGCCTCGCCCTCTTCAGTCCAATCCCAGATATCAATAAAGAGCTCGCCGTTGATGAAGAGTCTTCCAGGTCCAACAGATGCGAAGCTGAAGGTGTGGTTGCCCGTAGAAGTAGGTGTCAGGATAGCCTTGACCTTGAAAGAGAAGGCGGGAAGCACTTCCTTCGGTGCGGAGTCCCATAGCCAGAGATCGGTACCAGCCTTGTGCTGAACAACAGCTGGCTCGCCCTCAAACTTGTCACCATGGTAGTATTCCAGCCTCACTCCGGGTTGGCCGTCTGGCGCTGTGACGTAGGGCGTTGCAAGCGGCATCCACTTGGAGCTGTCGCAGCCTTGCGCGAAAACAAGCTCTCCCTCGAACCGGGATCGGACGCCTTCCCATGGTGTCGTCGTGTAATACGGTTTCAGTCCAGCACTTCCACCGCCTCCAGCAATAGCACGCTTGACGTTTGGTCCGATCAATGCAATCTTCTTAACACCGCGAAGAGGCAGGACCTTGTGCTCGTTCTTCAGCAGGGTCAAACCCTCTATAGCAGTCTGTAGAATCAGGTTACTGGTTTCAGCATTGTTGTTCGACCTCTCTGGCGGCTCAGGGGTCATGTTGCCAAGCCCCTTGGTTCGCTCGACCAGATGTAGAACTCTTGCTGCACACTTCTCAATGTCTTCGCGTGTAATCTCACCCTTATCGAGGCAGTCTTGAATCTGCTCCATCTTTCGCCACTTGGATGGGCCGGGCATCTCGATATCAGCGCCTGCGCGGATTGACGGAGCTGTTGCATAGGTTCCAGTCCAGTCAGAAATCACGGTTCCATCCCATCCCCACTCGCCGCGAAGAATGTCTTTTAGAGTATGCTCGTACTCGTCCGCATGGATCCCATTGACCAGGTTGTAGGCACTCATCAAAGCCCACGGTGAGGCTTCGCGAACCGCGATCTCAAAAGGCCTAAGGTAGATCTCCCGAAGAGGCCGTTCCGCAATCACGGCATTATAGCCTTGTCTTTGTGTCTCCTGCTCATTTCCCACGAAATGTTTAATAGTGGCGGCAATTCCTTTGCTCTGAAGTCCGCGGATGTAGGATGCCGCAAGCTTTCCCGTCAGGTACGGATCCTCTGAGTATGACTCGAAGTTGCGTCCTCCCAGTGGCGAGCGGTGCATGCAAACAGTGGGTGCCAGGAGGACATTAGCGCCACGCGCCTTTGCCTCGTCTCCTAGATGACGACCTATCTCTTCTAGCAAATCCAGATTCCAGGTTGATGCCATGGAAATACCGCATGGGAATAATGCTGCCTTGAACGATTTCAGTCCGCCTTCCATGGTCATTTTCTCGGCAGTCACTTACGGGTGTGCCATTTGTGAAGAATTCTCCTCGAGCGCCATTAGGACCATCAGTAGTCTTGATCGACGGAATGCCCTTCTCTGGAATTGCCTTTGTCCGCCAGAAATCTGCTCCTGCAATTAAGGAGACCTAATGAAGTCAGCTGACCAGCACTCTCCAGATTGCCGTGATTGGTCACTCAGTGCCGGGATAGACTTCAGGTGTTGGGAAAAAAATTCGTCTATGCGTTTTCTTCGAGTAGGGAGATTTGATGATGCAGAGAAAGGTGGTACGAGAATGCCCGGGAAAGATCCTGCTCTTTCCACAATAACTGTTTTCGAGACATTGCAAAACCACAGACTCGATCCCCCGCATTCAGATGGCGTTTTTCACTATACGAGCTGCATTTGAACGAGGCACGTGCCGGATCGTGGGCAAGGGGCCCAAGCTCGCAGATATCAAATAGAGACTTGACACATACCTGCTCCTCCAAGGTCAACTTGGCAGCCAGCTCGCGAGCCTTGTCGAACGGCGTCTCGAGGGTGAACATCTTCTTGCTGGCCATGGCCTCGATATCGTCGTCGTCAGGCGTGAGGGCCGGAGTAAGTGACGGGGTCGCAACTTGGACGGTCTGCACTTGGATGGCTGCCTGCTTTATATCGATGCCATTCACCTCGTTCTCCCTTAGTGGGGGACTGGGGTTAGCATGATCTATATCGGCCATGGTCGTCGACGGCTGTTTAATCTTCTACAGCGGCGAGTCTGGACGGGATCCGCGTTCTCGCCACGTAGGAAGGAATGTCCTTCAGGCGAAAGGGCGAAAATGTTCAGACTTGTAGTGGGGCAGAAGGAGGAAGGGAAGATAGTGAACTCAGAAAGGCTGGTAGGGCAATTGCAGTAGATTGTCCCCTATTAGTACCCAGGCAGCAGAGGGGACTACCAACGGGCGCATAGTTGGCAACGCAATGTGGAGCCACACAGCAATTGGAATATCCGGATGTATTGCGAACAAGCCTGTACTCCCCAACGGCGGCTCGAAGGCATGTCTCACGATCGACACCCACGTGCAATTGGCCGGCGGAACGGCAGTATGCGAAGCCTTCGCGGGCCCAAGCTTGATCTGATCAGTGATAGAGAGCCGCGCTTCCTAGCGTGTTCAATCTAGATCATCTGGGGGCTGGGCTGGTTGTGTGGCGAAAAGCCAAATGGAACAGTCGCATGGGGGTTGTAGCGTCTTGTTGATAGATTTGAGAGATGCATAACATCACCACTTGCCTCCCACGGAAGGACTTCTTGTGTGCCCTAATTGCCGCCGACGACGTCTTCATGGCATTATTGAGTGGGCGCATATTGGGGTAACCATGCAGACGGCTGTCCGCTGCCGTGGGGAGCGGCCACCGCAGCCATTCAGCAGCATGCGACAGCAAGGCGTCGAGGGTCGACATTCGGTGATAGCGGTCCTGAACTGCGAGCCGGGCGACGTTGGTCCGAAGCTAGTCTGGAAGACTCTAGGATCCTTCCGAGAGCGCGTCTGCGGCGAACTGGCGGTCGGATAAAACGTTGGAAGAGTGGACAAGTGTGTGGAGTTGGCAGTGTTGGTGTCGGAGCCACGGGAGCGCTGCGGCTCGTGCGGGCCTGCGATCCGTGAAAGGCGAACGGCGGATTTGCAACGTGACCTGCGGCGGCCCGCCAAGCCCCTGTTGATAGTCAATCTATCCTGATGATGGTGTTGATGGAGGGCAGGAGAGTTCAGAAACGAGACAGATATGGAGGGCCGTTGTTTACAGTTTCTGCAGTGAAAACTCCACGGTTCTACGTCAAAGGCAGAGCAGTATGCTAAAGGAGCGATGAACGGCGAAATTCATTCAATTCATAGTTCTGTGCACATCAATACTATCAGACAGTAGGAGAGGGCCAATAGCTTGTTGTATGTTTGTTTCGACGTTCGTTTCATGATGGTGGAATCTAGAAGTGGGTCGGGCCCTCTATCTCCCGGACGGTAGAACTCTCCCATACCCGCCATCAGCGCTTCAGGGATACTTTGATAGCGACTATCTGCACGTCTCGCACATCATTCACATGTCCTAATACCAGCACTCCCAAACCAGAACATATCCGTGAAGTGCTCAGGAGTATCGTGATATATACCAGGATTCACAAATCTATCGCTGCCGACGCACTGTCTGCTCCAAACCATTGAACATGCGCACAGGTTCCCCCTCAAATGATGCACCACTTCCTCTTTGCCGATATCAATGTCCGATCGCGCTCAACAAGTGCCTCCCATTTACAGCCAGCATCATAAGATCATCTAAATCACGCCAACGGTATTTCACTAAGCCTAACAATTGCTCCGCGTTGCGGTCTGCCATGCAGTTGGAGATGAAATGACAAAGATAAGAGTGCTCAATAAGGTTTCCAGTCTACTGATCATGCCACGCTAAATCACCAGTCGTCATCGGCGGCCTTTTTACCCTGCATCGCTGCTTGACGTTGTCTCAGGGCCTCGGCTAGTCCTCCCGCAATGCTTCCGCTGCTGTCGCGAGGCCCCGCATCAAGGTTACTGCTTGCTCCGCTCCCTGAGTAACCACTATCCCGTGTGGCCAGAGCAGGGGCGGGTTTCTTTGCTGCTGGGCGTTTCGCTGGCGGAGCAGGGGGCGCGGCCTTGGCGCGTACTCCTCCGTTCGCAGCGGGACGTGCTGGAGGAGCAGGCGGAGCAGGTGGAGGAGCTGGCTTCTGAACTATTTCCTCCAAGTATGCTGACGGCGCCCATCCTGATGCGGACTTGTCCAACCGGCTTGCCAACCACCAACCTAAGCGCCTGTCAGTATCCGTCCAGAATGACCATAGTAGTGGGAGCACGAACCGTTGTTCTCCTTCTGCGTAACCAATACCACCTCATCCTTCTTTAAGCTAAGTTCGCCCGCCGACTGTCCTAAGAAGTCGTAGAGAGCGCGATAAGTCGGCTCTTTCGGTGCGGGGGGTGCTGTCGGTGGAGGGGGAGGCGGTGCGCGGACCGAAGATGACGATGCGTTGCGTGCGTGACCAGTGCCATTTGACAAGGCAGCAACTGGTTGGGGCACTGGTACTGGTCGGGGCTGAGCTGCCGTTGCCGCTGCTACGGATGCCGCCGCAGGCGTGGTTTGTCGAGGTTGAGCAGGACGATGGGCAAGCTTCGAGGGCCCACCGCCTGGTCCACCAGGTCGAAGCAACTTCCCTTTCGTGATTGGTTTTGCAGCTACCTGCTTCCCTTTGGGTGTGGGTTTAGAAACGGAGTTAGGCGGTTCTCCAGGACCGGTATGGACGGTGCCACTCTTGTACAGATCGTCACGAGCAATCGCTGGATCCTTGACTGCCTTGACGTGGGCAGGTTTTCCAGGCTTCTTATTGTACTCAATTCTAATAGTTGTTAGTTTGCATACATGGCAGTGCTGCAGTTACTCACGTATCTCCAATCCTCAAATTTAATGACCCCCGGAGAACATTGGTTAGGTGTGTGAAGAACTCGGTCTTGAAAACGCAGTTGACAAGAGGATCTGGCTCCTGCGGCGAGCCTACGCCGATAGAGAACCAATCGTCTTTCAAGTTTGTGCAACTGATGAATTTGATGGCTCCAACAGGTATCGTCCGCTCCGCCTGGATTTGGATCTGCCGGTTCACAAGGACCTGCTTCACGATGTAGACGTTCCGTTTCGTAAGAATCAGTGTTCGTGGCTCAGGTTTACTCGAACGTCCGAGTTTGGAAACCAGAACTTCAGCCCTGCACGAGAAAGGAACTTCCTCGCTGGTGGAGATGCCGATAGCGTTCGCAATGACTTCTCCTGGCCCGCCCCTATTTCCGATACCAAGATAGTCACCCAGGAAACGGCGGTACCCGACCAAACTGTACGTGCGCCTCTCTTTGCGGCCTTGAAGAACTTTATGGCCTTGGTCACGGAGCTGAATGAATTCAAGCCCACCGTTGACTCGCCGCCAGAACCTCTGTATTCGGATAGCGCACTCGGTCCGGTAACGCAAGTAGTTCCTCCATGCCCGCTGAATCCTGATCGCCATGTTATGCCAGTAACGATCACGCATCGTCTCAAGCGCGAAGAGGGTTTCCGGAGTCTTAATGAAGACCTTTGTCACGCCCATCTGGAACTCTTCGGCAGGAATATTCGTATCCCTTAATATCTGCTTGGCGCCACTCTGATAATCGCCAGTCCACGTATACTCGCCGGCATAAGAGGTCTTAGGGGATAGCAAGAAGAATCGTTCAACGAATTTCTCGAAGGTCTGACGGGACGCAAAACCGGCACGCCGAATGCGTACGTTTTCCTGAAGACCCAGATACTTGATCTGATGGAGTACATTGGGTGAATTGTACTCAGTAGGTGACTTGTTTTCGTTTGGCTTGATGGTTCGAATATAGGAGGGCTGTGCTTTCATGAGAGTCGCTACAAGATCATTCGCAGAGGCTTTGATCTTGTCTCCAGCAGTGGGAGGCCGCCTCCGGTTATCCTGATCGACCTGATTAGGGAACAGCGTGTGAATGAACGTGTTAGAGCTTTGGCTTAAGAGGTTGAGTAAGTCTTTCAGCAGCTGATCCTTATTCTTGTCTGTCATTCCCTCCACAGCGTAGGACACATCACCAGCGTAGTGCTTGATGACAAATTGTCCCTGGCGGGGCTGGAAGTTCGGGTTCGAGGATAAGGCGTTCAGCCTCTGGACGAAGGTCTGGTCTGCTGCGGCCGGATCTGCGTGTGCGGTAGCACAAGCATCATTCAAAGCGGCGAAAACACCAGGCGGGCGCTTTTCCTCAATCAACTCGCAAACAACCTTGTTGTCAAAATATTTGATCGGTGTCCATTGAATCTGTTCTCTGGCGTATTCTTCTTGTTCGGCCTTGAGTGTCAGTTGAATGAAGATCTGCTGAAGTTTTTCGTTGACGTAGTTGATGCATAGCTGCTCGAAGCTGTTCCGCTCGAAGATTTCAAACCCATAGATATCCAGGATACCGATGGAGTTCGCGGTTGCGCCTCTTGCTCTTAGGGAGACGTTTACTCGCTCCACTATCCAATCGAAAAGGTTGAAATATATGGCCTTCGACAGCGCATCTCTTACAGCTGTCGCCTGTGCGATATTAAGAGGCACGTCGTACACCGAGCCCCTTCGCCCTCCTCGACTAGTCTCCATAACTCTTTGTGTAATAGCCTTGTTGACATGTGCGGCAGATACTTCGAGTAGGTACGCGACGAACTCGACCACAGACTGGTCAGCTACCTGTGCATTGCCTGAGTCATCTTCTCCGAAAGACACATTTCCAAGCCACAGGATAGCAGCGAGCATTCGGAATATGTTGTCCTGCTCAGCTTCCGAAAGACCAATGATCTTCATGGCGTTCAATGTCTCCTGGAAGTCGCCATTGTCATCTATTCCCTGGACGTCATAACATTTCGAGCGGCTTGTGTATACGTATGATTGTGGCTGCTGGACGCCGAATAGTTCTAGATCTGTCAGAAATGCAATGCCAACAATTGCGGGTGTACAAACCTCTGTATTTCGACGATGCCGCTTTCGTGAATTGGTAAAAAATATGAAAATTCCGCTCGTTGGTGATTTGGCCCACCACTCTGGACTTCTCCAAGAGATAATTGTTGATGTTCGCTCCGACCGGCTCACCTTGAGCATTGAAATGGATTTCCAGATACTTTCCGAATCTGGAGGAGTTGTTGTTTCGGAGTGTTTTCGCGTTTCCGAACGATTCGAGCAAAGGATTCGTGGCCAGCACCATCTCCTTGATCTCCTGAATCGACGAATTACTCCCGCCGGAAACATTCGCAATGTATTGCATTATCCGCTTCGCTGCCTCCGTCTTTCCAGCTCCGGACTCTCCCGAAATGATTACACATTGGTTATCTTTGTATGCGTTCATGTTGTAGTAGGCGGATTCGGCGATGGCGTATACGTGCGGTGGTACCTAATTCAATGAGCATGTTTCCGTGCTTATGATGCGCCTGTCGAACCTCGAGCCTGTTCTTCCCCTTATAGCTGTTGAGCACTGCATCCGTGTATATACCCACTATGAATGGTTAAAATGCAATTTGGGAATCGATCGCCTTCACATACAGTCTTTGAAGGGATTAACGGAGACCAGCACGTGGCCGATATATGTCTGCAATCACGTCAGTCATCCCTTCTTCGCCCCACCCCGCTGGCGCAAGCATTCGCCAAACTAGCAGACGCACATATATCTCTCCATTCTCGAATCGCTTCTTCAGGTTATCGTTGATAGCTTCGTTCGAGATCTTGCTGATCAGCGTAAGGTCCGAAACGCCAACTTCCTTCTTCTTGGTTGACTCGAAGACTGCCTTCTTCGCAAACTGTGCCTTCTGTCCTCCGGGGGCGGCTTGTTTCGAGGTCCCTGCATCTTTTTTGCGGCCAGCCCGCTTCGTTACCGCCTATGAAGGAGAGAATCAGCGTCTGCAATCGTATCGCGACGGTCGGAGGGGCCGTACCATGGTCGCTGCTCAGTGAATCACAATCCCCCCTTGGCGAAATAATAATATTGTATGTAGTGTAAAGAAGGAAAAAGCCGTTAGGTCCGGCTGGGGGAAGTTTGGAGAGTGAGGAGGCAGGCAGGTAGGGTTCTGTTCCGTTGTCAACGTCGAGGATTGAGTGCCTGAGGGTCTTGGTTAGGTTCCCACACGTCACGGCGAGCCTCGCATCAGCCACCGCCACATCTCCAGCCACAGAACACTTTTTTCAGGAACAGCGTGCGTACGCAATCTCCGTGCAAGTGCAGTCCAACATGAGTGCAGAGGGAGAAATCCTCGCCGCTGCTTACGTGTCACTCACCACATCTGACTTCCTCAGGCATAGCCAACGTAAAAAATGCAACGAGTCCTTCCTCCATTTGTCATTTGGCAAGTAAACGAAGAGAGCCGCAGGTGACTTGCTAATAATGCTGCGCCCAAAACAACATGACCATCATTATCAAAAAGTGATCGTTATGCAGGTAACAGGTCCATGTGCAAAGCCCGAGGAAGCCCGATAATCAAAACAAGCGCCTCGAAAACAACATTGACGCCATGCTAATGCTCATGCCAAGGTACGAATAGAACTCACGCATCCAACATAACGCCGTTGCTTTGCTGACCAAACTCCAAGTTCCCAAAGACATCAGAGGACATCGCCACCAAAACGTCCAACACTGGCCCAATCCAGTTTCTTGGTCTCTTCCAGCTGCTGACCTCCCCACTTGAATGTCTTCGGATCCGCAAGACAGCCTAAACCTCCGCCTTGGATCCAACCGTCAACAATAGACATGATAAACTCGAGTTTGGCGCGTAGTGAGTTGCCTTCGGTAATCTTCTTGATCGGGTCCGCCCTGTCTGCAGAACCGTACAACAGTTGTTGGAGAGATCCATGCAAAGTCGACCGGTCTCTAATGTGTTTCCAAGGGAGGTCCGAGTTGTTTTGGAGCCATTCAATGGCTTCCAGTGACAGGCAAGTGAAATTGCAGTAGCTGGCGTCCGATGCAAAGACCAGTTTTGTGTGGTCCGGGAAATTGACCTGTAGGAAGGGCGTTAGATACTTCAAGGAAACACTTGGGTAGGCCGTACCTGAAACGAGCCGTCACTGAACCCCCAGAGCCCAACGTTTCCTAGCCTTTGATAGAATCTCACGAAGGCTGTCTGTGCGGACCCATTCCTCGAATTGCGGTCATCTGCACCAAGATGGGCGCACATATACCTCCCAAATTTGTGCCAGATCTGTCGCAAATGCTCCCGACGATGCTTTTCAACCACTTCTACCTGTGCAAGTGCCACGTCCTCCGCCGGGGCTGCATAGAATTCTATGGGGACCTTTGACAAGTGAGCAATGTCTTTAGTGACCGCAAGAAGGTGTGGATGGCCATTCTGAACGATTGCCGTAGTGACGGGATACTTCTCTGTCGCTACTGTTAAACAACCGACGGTTCCGTCCTCAAGTACGAATCCAACACCATGCTTGCGAGAGTAATCCACCCATTTTGCCACGAATGGAAGCTGCGGTCGCTTTTCACTTCTTGATTTGGGAGATTTCTTTTGCAAAGCACGGGCGATGTTGTCTTTGAAAGTACGCAGCTGTGACAGAACTGATGCTGGATCGGAATACGGTATTTCAGGACCAACACTGCGAAAAGAACCAACCGTCCTCGCTCCTGAGTCGGCATCTGGCTTTCTGGCAACAGTCGAAGTGGATTTCTCGAGTCGTGTAGGTGCTCTATCTGTTGACGCCGAATCTTTTTCGCTGTCGAGCTTCGCTTCAGCGCGTCGGACGGACTTAGTTTCCCGGGGAACACGTGATGTTGCTGCGCTGGCCGAAGGTGCGGTTGCTCGAGCGGGATTCGAGACTTTTCGAACGGGTCTCATACGCGTCGGTGGTTTTTGTGAGGGCCTTTGCGGAGGCTCAGTCTCCTCCATCGGCTCTCTGTTTTCCTTCAAGGAATCCAACACCTGTTCTCTTCTTCTCGTTCGAGGTAAACGTCCCCTCACTCTGTCGTTCGACGTGGTTTCCACGAGAGCCACACCTTCTGATGACGATTCTTTCTCCTCTGAAATTTCACTCAGACCTGTACCAGCTTGGAATGGCCAATGCGTCTTTTCAGGGAAGGGCAGGTAGACGGTGTCCTTGGCGAATGGGATGTTTGGCTGCTTTCCGGATTCTATCTCTTTCTGACAATCTCTCGCAACGGTCTTGTTCCTCCTGCTGCCATAAGCGCCAAACGTTTTGCCAGCCTCATACTCCCCAACCGATGATGCTTTGCACATTGCAAACCATTCATCCGTATACCCTCGACGTATTGTCGAGGCTGACGGGGGCCGAACCTTGGGCCATTTAGGTATCTGAGACGTGCAGCTCTTATCGAGAGATAGGGGTATGTACCCCATTCTGAAATATGCATGGTTTACGATCTGGTCAGGGGTAGGACGCTCATCCTCGTGTACAAGTAAAAGCGACACTATATCTCGGAGGTCGTCGGTGATCTCGTTGGGGAACTTCGCAAGGTCCGGCCAGCTGTAGTCACGGGATTTAAGCTTTCGATATATGTCCTCTCTTTTAGCTGCATGAAATGGCGCTCTACCCACAGCGAGAGTGTACCTGTGCATGTTAGTTATTGTCGGTCCAATGATGCCAACATCGACACTCACATCATGATTCCGATGGCCCATAGGTCTACCTTCTCATCATGTCCCTTCCCCGTTTTCTCCAAGACTTCGGGTGCGAGGTAGTTGGGAGTACCGCACATGGTTGTCCGGCGTATGGCGCCGTAATCGTTTTGGGAGATGAGGAGCGCCGCAAGACCAAAGTCGCCAACTTTTACGTTCATGTCCTTGTCTAGGAAGAGGTTGCCCGTCTTGAGGTCGCGGTGCACGATATTACGCTGGTGAAGGTACTTGATGGCACCGCATGTTTGAATCATAAAGCGACGGATTTCTGGCATTGTAAAATACTTTCTCTTTTTGATTGCGTCTGCAAGTGACCCATTTGGACATAGTTCCAAGACGACGTATGTGCTGGCTTCGAAAGAAAAGGCACGGTAGAATTCGACAATGTTGGGATGAGCTAGTTTGGAATGGATTTGAAGTTCGGTTACAAACTGTACCAGTTAGCGAGAAAGAGACAACAAGCCAGTGTCATCGAACCTTTTGCGCCAGCTTTGGTGGCTCCATCTTCGATTTGACAATCTTTAAAGCGACTGTGTTGTTGCCGAGATGCTCATGTCCTAACAGCTTCGCGCGATGGCAGATGGCGAAGCCGCCCTTCCCGAGCTGTGGTCCTGTCTCATACTGCAAACCTTCCGGGTCCACTACCACCTCTGGCGGGGCATCTGCGTGGACTGACGATGCAGACATTTGATGGTGTTTGTCGATCTGGTAGACACCGTCGGTGTTGGGATGATGGGAGCTTCAGCGATGTCGCAAACAAACAAGCTCGCTTGTTGGCAGAGCAATCACGGGAGCCAAGACCGCGGCGACTCTCCGGTTCGCAGGGGTCTGACGGGTTAAGAACACCGTATGTTCAACCAGAAGAGGAACCTTGGAAGTGAGAGACGAGTTGAAAGTAGGATTCGCTTTTGACGCTGAGGAAGTAGAGTGCAAGTCGAAACATTTGGGAAGCAGTGTCTGTGTACTTAGGTAGAGCCTGTTTAGATAATTCCAGATCGGGTTTAGCGTGATTTTCGAAGCTCGGCATGAGGCTTGAACACAACCCATCCACAACCCATCCGTCATCAGTCGCACCTGCCTGCCAGAACGCTTTCGCGAATGGTCTTCACAGCCATGCTGTCGCTCTCTTCTTCTTTTTCCTTGTACAATTGAATGAAATATATCCATCACTCAGCGCCCCTGTAACTCTATCTTACCAGTCTCGTAAATCAGAAGCTCGCCATGTCCCTCACGCTCAAGATCACATCCCTCGCAGTGAGAACATTGGCAAAGCCAATGGCCGTAAGTCGTGCGCTGGAGGACATAAGAGCCATTGTTGAGAATACCACAGAATGCCATCAAACGCAACGCTCATGAGCACGAACGTTTTCGGAAAATATGTGTCTCATTCGCACAACGGCTTCATCGCATCGACATGAGAATGCGTCTCGGACTACTGCAGGATCCCGCCGTCATTGATAGACAAATCGCGAAGGAGGTTGCCGCGGCGGAAGCGGCAAGGAAGAAAGACGCAATACCTACAGTGAAGACCGAGGAAGAGACAAAAGCCGAAGAAGCTATGACTGAGAAAGAGAAAGAGGCGGCGAGGAAGAGATTAGAATCACGCAAACCGCGTATCAGGCCACTTTCCGAGGCGAAGGCCATTGAGACAGGCGCAAACTTTGTTGCGGAAACATTCATATTCGCAGTTGCGGTCAGCGTCATCGTATTCGAGCAATGGCGACAGCGGCGGAAGGCGCAAAACCAGCGCGACGATATCAGAGAAGATCTAGAGGAGATACAGAAAGACTTGAAGGGACTCAAGGCGGAATTAGAAGAGTTGAAGGCTCAACATGCACCCCACTCAGCATCTGAGAAACTTTTAGGTTTCTGGAAAGGAAAATCGGAACCGTCTAAGCTGGATGAGAGGAAGACCGACAGTCAGAAACAAGAAGCGACTGCACAGCAGGCAAACGTCAGCAATCCAAAAACCGCTAGTCCATCACCCCGGGAGCAGTGATGTGGAGAAGACAGTACAACAGGCCAAGCTCTTCCTCCATCATCGCCGAAGACGTCTCCGTTCCGCAATTTAAGATAGATCCCTACTCCGCCCATGATACCCATTACGGCCATGATCCCTTCATTGTACAACACTTTTGTAAATACAGGTAGATATGTAAGTAAGCGCATAGACAGCACAGAATAACCTTGCGTAACCCCCAGAAGATTGTTCCAAGAGAATGTTGAGATCTTTGAGTGCTTGGATCATGGACTTCTACTCGGGGTAACAGCAATGTAAGCCCTGGAGAGCTTGTTGCGCTGCCGCAGCACCCTCCACAGCTGGAAGAGTGCTTCGTCGTCCACGTGCTCACACACTTCCACTAGCCCAATCGAGCCTGAGAGGGCATATCGTATTTCAACCACACCAACGCCCCTGATCTGTTCCCTCTCATTTCGAGTGAGCGACAATTACTATCGACTACCGAACTCGTCCAAAGGTGGCAGTCATTACGCCAAAGGAACCAAGAGGTGGACAGTAGCTTGAACCATATCCTGGCGTGAACCTGACCGGATGCAGGTTCCCAATACTGATGCCTCCCTCTCGAGACCAACGAGCGACAATGAGCGGTTATCGCCAAGTAAACGGATCATCCAATCGTCTGAGCCCCTCCACTAATGACGGACATGGTCGGGTCCGGATTGAAACGGCTGGATACGAAACATTTCCACAAGTGAACGGCTCTCGGAGTCAACGCGCAACCACCACCTCCGCCTACTTTGCCTCCAGAGCGCACACCAAAGCACCCGCAGGCCTTAGAAATTTCATCCAACGCTCCGAGACTCCGCTGCCGCCAGCGCCGATCCTACACGAAGCTCTGGGCTTGCTACCATGGTGTACAACGCATATGCGTCTGAGTGACGGACAAGCAATTGCCCTGAGCGATGTGGGGAGCAGTTTGAGAGAGGTCATGCTTGTTGCTATGGCTGCCGCTGTGGATCCAGCGGCGAGAGAGGTGATTGAGAGGGCCGTGGGCAGGGAAGCTGCCATTGGTGTGATTGAGTTCTGGTGTGAAGAGTATGCTATGGACTAGGGACTGGCGTTGCTTCAAATTCGATGTCGGGGATTCCAAGGTGCGACAATGCGAAATATCACTGCCAGTCCATGTGTGCGACCATGCTTTGCTGCAGCTACTTTCGACATTGCCGATCTACATGTATGCGAGCCATCTTCGATTCCTAGCGGTCTCTCTTCTCATCTCTACCAGCCCAAGCTCGCTTCCTGAATATTGCTACTTAGAACAGAATCTTCAAGAGCATTGTTGAGCAAAGCACTGGTTGGAATCCACACCTCGTCAGGGACAGGGACAGACACAGCTTCCCTGATCAAGATCCTCAGTGACCATTCCGAAAACCGACCTGGTCCAAGGGCATGACTAGACTCTGTGTAAGCTATTCTGGTATCTCTGGAGGTACTTGTGCTGGTTGTGCAGTTGCGTTTTTGTTCTCCTTACCTTTTGCTGACGGTGGTTCTGGCGGCTTCCACTAAGCTTCCGAATGGCCCAACAGCATGGTCTGATCCTCTATAAGTTGATCTCCAGCCTCCGGGCCGTCGTTAACTGCTTGCACGCGTCCTTCTTCACCCCTTTTTTCGTTTTCTCGTACCTCCTTCGTCCTTTTCCAACCTGAACTTTCGGCCACATTCGTGTCACCAGTCACTTCCGCAGCGATCACTGCCTTGATGTCCTCTCCAATTTTGTCATGCTCCTCAGCCAGTTTGAGGTGATTTTCCATCATTTCCGTATGTAAGCGTATCAGCGCCTGATACCTCTGGATCATGCGTTCGTGCCCTGCCTTGTTCCAAGAGTGTATGGAGCTGATTCTGGCGTGGTCCAAGGGCTTGTGTGCGTACATCGGAGGGTGGGCCCAGCTGAGTGCCTTCAGCAACCCTTGATGTAGCGGAAGCGCGTCTTGTGCGTTTGCTAGGTCAGATTTTAGACGGAAGTGTATCTCCATTCCTTTCTGCAGGGTTACGTGCTTGGGCTCTATGGGGACTTGTGGGACAGGCGCAGCCTTGCGCTTTGCACGGTCAATGTAGCATTCGAGATCTACCAGTGGTACATGGTCAGTAGTGGTTCGCCTTTTGCTTCTTACACTACTGACCCCCAAATGTAAGTTTGGTATAGGCGACGGGTAGCAGGCCTTGGGCCTCCCCAGCGTTCTTATTGAAAGACGGACTGTTAGAGGCTGGATCGAAGTCGGGCCTGGCTGGATCGAGACGCGAAGAGGAGATGGGCCGCGTGTCCGTCATTGCGAAAGCCTCGAGGTATCCCTGTGTAAAATAGAGGTAGTGCGATGTAATGAATGTGCTAATAGAATCTATAACGAGCGAAGTTGCTTGTAGTTGCTTGTGATATGGATACGGAGTAAAAATGGCTGGTCGTAAAGGTTAGCGTTTGAGTTGCATACGGTTGCATATCTTTGGTGTTCACCTTTACCAGAAAGACGCCCTTCCCTCTGTAACCCAGCAACTTTGTTTATGTGGCAGGTGAGCCTGGCCTACCAAGGTAGCTCCTGAAATTTGTGCAGGTGCGAGCCAGACGGGAGATTTGGCGGGCTCTTAGACCATGTCTTCCCGTGTGTTTGGCAGTGATATATGTAAATCTCAAGCTTCAACTTTTCCCAACTCAGAATGCCCTGAAATACTTGTCTTCTTATTCAATAATAGTCAACTTCGATTTCAAAAGGCCAATGACCGCTGGATAACTTCGGAAATGTTACGAATTGGCGATGTGTCACCGCGCCGGACCTCAGTTTCTGAACGCACAGAAGCGTTTGCTACTCAAACGTCTATATAATAAGATCCGATAGACGTGATCTTTGTTTCCCTTCGTAGTATCATCTCCCACCCGGAACACCAAATTCCACCGGAGTTCGCCTGATGTGACAGTCCTGCTCGGGTTACTCGCAAAAGCAAGAGCCAGATACACCGTGTCAGATACCCTGTACTCCCCACATCATGTTGAGCTTTTCGGATGTGGCCACTATTTGCATATGCTTTTACGGTGCTTAAAAATTGAAGACGGATATTTCCCGGATTCATTGCCCGCATCCTCCTCCACCTAGGAAGTTTCAAGTTAGAAAAAGACCCGAGAAATTCAATGGTCTGTGAGGACAAGGTTTATGCAATAGATACCACCAAAAGGTCTGGCTTTCGGTCATGTATCCACCTACATTATCCCTTCAACATGCGTCTGCCAGACGTCATTTTCATACCACGGCCATGACTTCGCCAACATTGACGAAGATTACACTTATGGGGCCTGGTCCATGTGAAGGCGCTCTTGCCGTCCTTCTCTTTGGGGGAGAGCAATGCTTCCGATAAGGCGCCGCTCGAAATTGAGAAGCTCTCCGAAAGTGGCATGGCAGATGCTAATGGGACCTTGAACCGCCAAAACATTGGAACAACCTCAGGAATACAAGGAATGACTCTTCAGAAATATGTGAAGTTAGGAAATGGTCATTTCAAAATCTGTGTGGTGGCACTTGGATGTCCACATATTTCTGCTTTCTGAAATCATACCCTATGCTCAACGAATCGATTCATCTCCAATGTCGCAGGTCAAACGGGACATAGGTCCAAGTCCGGAAAGCCAAGAGTCGGGTCTAAAAATGATACCGGGGAGATCCGGAAAACCATCTATCTAAATCGGATTCAATGACACGATATCCCGACTAGTATGATTGTTACCTCTAAGGCTCTCTAAATTTCCGCTTTCAGTATGACATCTTTGGGTCTTAACCTTCAGCTTCCCCCAAATTGAAAAACGCCTGTCCCATGGTTCTCCAGTCCACGCGCAACAACAAAAAGGGAACGACAGTGTCATGTCTTGAGTCCACCGATACATTCTACTCGCCCATACTCCCAATCGGAGCGCCAAAGCATGATGTCTTTCATTACGCAGACCAGCCACCAACCTTAGAGGTACTCATTAAACACTAGAAAACACCGCGCAGAGAGCTCATGTCTTCCGGCATCCTTCCTAGTTTCTTCCCACACAGACCTGAATTCCAGAACCTACACGCGGAAATCTAACGTTTCCCTTCCCTCTTCCAAATTCTACGACACAGATTCACCATCTTTCTATTAATGTCTCCAACTCCATAGCAGAGGCAAAGGAGCATAAGACCGCACCGACATTGGCTGTTGCAACCATACCGCGAACACCGAGCGCCAATGACATGACTAGAAAATACCTAAAGTGCGTCGCACGATCCCATGTGCGTCTGGCATCTCCAATTCTAAAGCGTTTCGGAGTTTTCCATGATCTCCTCTGGCACGGCCCTCGGGATCTCGTAACAACAGAAAACATCTAATCTCGAAATCCATTGATATCAAACATGTCTGCAATTTGAGCTCGCTTCGTCTGCCCCCTAGCTATCGAACGAAAGACAACATCAATGCCGAGACTACAGCTCACCTCGTACCCAGAATCACTCATAGTCTTTTGTGTCTGATAAATAACCGTGTTTTCCAATAAGCACTCGGTCATTCTTCAACGTTCGTGCATCACCAGCATTCGCCGCATTGCACAAGTGATGCAGTCCAGAACGAATCATACCCTACGTGAGGCCATAATGTGCAGGTAGCATCAGACCAAGGAAATTGAACACAGACCGAGCTAATGTGCCTTGTTCATCTTGGTTCTCACCATTCATCTCAAGCACATCCCAAAATCTTCGAGACACCGCCATCGGGTCCGGCGTATGCTACCCCGGGACACTATACCACACCATGTCCGTAGTGCCAGAACTGCGTGATCATGTTATGTGCGTGCTTAGACATCTCATCCATCGGGGATGACCAAACCGCAAATCGTATGCGCGTCGGCATGTGCTCCAGATGTGTCAAAGACTCGAACTCCATTGCTGAAGCTTTGATGTCTTGGCCCCTTAGAAAAGCTTCTTTCTACAACCTATAAGAAAGCTCACGCAGTTAACTCACGTACCAAAGTCTTAGAGCGTACAAAAATGGTCCTTTTCCACCTTATCTGCAAAAGAATTCGGGTTATCATTTATGCTCTCCGCGGCCTCCTGGCTCTCAACACTACCTCCTAAACAGTACTTCATCCCCGACTTCTATGTCTCTCCGGTGTTTGTTCTAGAGAAGCAAAATGGTCTGGGATTTTCTCCATGGCACCTCTACAAACCCATACACCAGATATGCTAGAAAGGAGTGCGATCTTATACTTCTGCCTAGCTTTTTAAGAAGCTATAAATTCAAGGGTCTCACCTGGTGGGGGAACTGCAACTCCAGAGAAATGGACATCATGCCAGTATATTCTACAAAAGGGATACTACAACTTATGTTCTGTACAGTCTCTTTTCCAGAAACATGAATGGGGCGAAGCGTCGGGGAATACACAGGCAGATATGTTTCCTGGCATTAGTCCAGAGACCTCCAGAAGACAAACGATTGTCCCTAAGAGCACCTTTGACAGGCCCGGACCCCATCCGCATGAGACTGCTGGTCCCGCGGATCTACCCAAAGCAAGAGGGATACGAATGTGCGCCTGTGCAACCGCTGTTAATGTACTCCCTATAGCTATATGTGCAACCTTCAACAACATGGCCGCTCCACCCTCAACCTCTGTGTCTCTTATCACCAAATCTACGTACGCAGTTTCTTATGTGTTCCGCTTTTCTCTTTTAAGATTAAAGTTCTCGACTTTTGGGCCTATGATAACTGTAAAAAAGAATGACATGTTATGCGAATATCTGGAAAGCATCTTCGAAACCCCCAGCCTACCTCTATAAACTCAAACTCTCGCCTTAAATAAATAACGGGAGTTTTGATAGAGAACATGAGTTGGTGGAAATGCTCGTTCTATCCACACTCTCCAAAAGGGTACCTAATCCTGTTTCATGTCCACTCTGAGTCCCTTGGTTGAAATTCCCAAAATTAAGCGTCGGCGGCAAGCATGTCTCGTTCAGTTGCTCAATAAACAAACGAAATAGGCCTTGTCCTATGTGGTGTTTGTACAACACAGACATCAGCCAACTGTATAATGAAAAGAGAATCAATGTACATGAGGCATCTCAGAAATCGATTGCGAACATACATCCGTTGGTGCCCAACATGCCAGGAAAATCGCAGAAAGATACACAAGCCCTATGGCCAGTCGGAACTGATTGAAGCACCGGAACTTCCCTACCACACCATCGCCATAGATCTTATGACGACGAATATGCCCGCAGCTTCTAGAGAGGGATACAACCGCCTAACGTGCACTAACAAGCCTTTTGAAAAATTCTATCACTACTAGGTCAAATCAAGTAGTCTCTTGCTCGGTGGCCTCTGCATAGATCGACAAACTTTTTCAACTTATTCAACTAATCCAATGCGATTGGGGAATACCGGCATGTTCTCCGACCGGGATCCAAGATTCATCAAAGGACTCTTTTATGAGACATTCAAGAAGCTGAACATGGAGTTCCTAACCATAGCCGCATATCACCCTCAAGAAGACGGTGAATACGATATGACAAACTACGTGGAACACACCTCCCAGCTCGAACAGCCATCCGCGGACGAGCCTCCAAAGCTACATTTCTACAGCCAGAGCTGCAGTATTCCAACAATCGCGTCCAAAGGATGTATGTAATCCAGAAGTCATTGATTAGGCCGCATGGAGCAGGGAGACAAGGCACCAAAATGTCCAAACACGGATTCCATGTCCCGCACCCCTGCCCGAATCTCTACTGCTCGTCTGAAGTCTCCATTAAAGCGACTACAGAAGGCTAATATGTTGGTCCAGCAGCTCTTCAGGCTTAAAAGCAAGCTGTCTGTACCTCATGTTCCCGTCGCACATGTTTTTCTCCACCCTCGAAGGTCGCAAGACCAACCATTGGGCTTGCCGCTTGCATGTTTCACTCCTCCAAAGAACCGGTCTGCCACGAAATAGCATCAGTACAAAAAGCCATTGATAACCAAATACATGTTTCTGCCAGAAGTGCATTCCCAGCATCATAATTCCGTTTAAGAACCTGCCATGAATGGAAAATTCGAAATCAAGATAGAATCCAGAGCAGTTGTCCAATGGTGTGCAGGGCATTAAGGTGCGAGATGGGTACAAAAACCGCATCTCCTGGGATGCAGGGAGGAGACAACAAAGACGGATACCAAAGGCACTCAAAGAAACTACCGATGGTAAAGTCTCAGTGCAAACAATAGACGACAGACATCCACAATGTAGGCATCCTTCGAGAGGTGCAAAATAAATGGGCGCACTGAACTCCATTCCAAGGTTAGTAATGGCACTACACAACAAACCTACAGCATCGGCAAGCCACGACCATGTCCTGCATCCCTGCCGGTTCCATTCCTCAGCACCAACCTTGGAATTTTCCCATAAAACAGAATGGGTTCATGTCTAGGGCGTTGCCCTGAGCACGTTCTTTCCAGCGCTCCTGTCACGTCTTCGAAACTTCGACGCATCCGGATTCATGTTTGCGTACAGTCTCCTTTGAGAGAAAAAGCCGAAACATCGCATTCTCGCATATCATGCCAGAGTCCCTGTTTAAAAAAAAAAAAAAAAAAAAAAAAAAAAAAAAACACGAGACACATGCTCCCTCCAGTCTCCTTAACCAAAACGAGACTGAAAAAGTGGACTCTTCCGTAGATGGCACTTGCACTCAAAGCAGAACTGTACCGAATGCACGTATGGGAGTTATTACCTCAAAGCCTGTGTATCAGATGAGGATGTTGTGCCATCTATATGTGTCCTTAGCTCTCTTCCTAGCGTCTCATTATACGACAGAAGCATTTGACATTTCAGGTGTTTGGTTCAGCAGTCCTGTTATGAATCTGAAACAAATCACACTCACCGGATGTCCGTGTTCACCTATCCACCAGAAAGACCGAAGGACCCAAATACTCTGGCATATATGCCAGTGGCACATTTCGAAGCAAAACACGGATGAAAACATGTGTGTCTACGAAAACTACCTCCTAACTCTCAAACTCTCCATGATATGTGTCCCACGACTCCGTCCCTGGTCTCCTTTTTACCCCTCCTTACTATTTAAAAAAGACTTTCAACTACAGAATGTGCTATCCATTGTTCAAGCCCAGAACATAAAAAAAAGCCGCCGTACCCGCCGCCTATGGGAAGGACAGAATTGGTCTCTCCCTCAACAGCGAACAGAAACCGACATGCAGGGCGGATAACAACTGTACCTGGAACGATCTCCTCTGACCATCATGGTCTAGAAAGCTTCGTACAACTCCTCAAGTCTCGGCCATGTTCTTCCAGCGCCCCGGTTCGGATCCTACGCGAAGACTGAAAACCTAGAGGTTATAAATCGAGTTGATGTCTGCGTCGAGTGGTCGCCTCCGTCTACGTAAAGTTTGACCAGATAATTTCTATTCGCATGGCGGTTGTCCAAAACTCCTCTGGCACTGTGTAACTTCCCGGAGAGCTTCCTGCAACCGTCAAACTCTGCCAGAATGCCATCATGTCCCCTATCATCCATTCACCGTGGCTCCTCAACATCTTCAACAACCCCATACGGCTTCAGAATGTTCCTCGGCGCACTCCTATCTAGAACTTAAACAATGCCACTGGAATGATCATGTCTCCGACCAGTCAGTTCCCCTTCGACACGAGACCACAAATTCCAACTTCTCCTGGGAAGACGGCATACAAGTTCCTATTCTTCTGTCCGAATTCCCAAAACCTATCGGGAGAAGCGGTCATGGCTGTACCGAGCGTCTCCTTCGCCAAAAGAAAAGAATGGGCATTCATGAAATGGATCCTCTCGAGATAGTCTCCATCCAAAATGGCGGAGGATTCTCGCATGCAACGAAGCTTCCTCCGATTTTCTAGGATCTATAGCGTTTCTTCAATGTCTCAGCTTGACACGTCCCGCGTAGATCTCCAGCCCTAGGACTACTCGATTTTTCCCAAAAAAGACCAAGAAGCATAAGATGTTTTCCCCCAGCGCTAAGAGCTTGAATCCCCAACAGAATGACCTGTATCAGCTCTTCATGTCCGTGCCGCGTTTCCTCCGCCATTTGCAAGAACCAAGCTTCGCATGGAAATGCACCACAAGGACCGCATGAACAAAACGTTCAGGATGCCTAAAAAAACAAGAATTCAAACGCAGCATGTTCCAGGAAACTTCCCACAGCCCTCTGGAATACCCTAATCCAGCTCCCGCGATAACATGTCCGTGAGCCGCTCCTTCGCCTGTGATCCAGGATCTGCTGAACATTTCCCGAAAAAGATCGACCACAAGAAATGTTCCTTTTGGGGTATCACAGCACCAAGAGTTCCGATTCCTAAAACCAAAAAGATGCCGCAAAGACATCGATGTGTTCCAAGCGTCTTCCTCGTTAGGAAATCAGAAGTCCGCGATAAACCAGGTGATGGAACTATACACTTCTCTAAAAGCGACGATTCAAACATGAACATGTCGTAGGCGCACCAAACCCCTCTAAGAAGCCCCTTACCCAAGTGCTAGTGCTTCCCTAAGCCGCATGAGCGAGGATCATGGCGTTTCACCCCTTAACACTCAAAAGTATGCCCATCCAGACGATGTCTCTCAGTCCAGAACTCCCCTTAAAGCAAGAGCATCAAAAAGGAATACGCAGAGAAGCAATGTCTCCACCGGCGCGTACAGATTTCCCAAAGCAGAACACACCAGGGACAGGTATATGTCCGTCTCGAAGGTTTCCTCCACAACTAGTAAAACACAAAAGCTACAAAAAGACGTCACCAAAGGACCATGGCAGCTGTCCAAAAACCGCCGCTACCCACCCCATGGTTTTCCCCAGGACCTTCCCTTTCAACAGCCACAACTGTTATTGCTGCTCCGCGATGTTTGACGTTTTCTGGTCGTAGTCTTATTAGCGCATACCTGTGTCCTAAAAAATCCCCGAACAACATTATAATGTGCTTCATTTGCTCGATGTTTGGAATTCCCAGAAGAGGAATTCATGGACGGATCAATCCATGGCTACGCCGCGTCGTCTCATCGACCAACTCTGTAAAGATCGAACCTATGGTCCAGCAAATCCATGCAGAAAGTAGACCATCCGGGATACCTGGCTGTCCAAAAATCCGAAATTTCACCCCCCGCCGCCGATGATTCCACGAAGATCCTTCCCAGCCTACAATTCAAAAATCACTCCAAAACGAAAAACCCACTGGAAAATGTCCCGCATCTGATCCCCTCCCTAACCTCCAAGACTGGCAAAACACCCTCACCGTCACCATCTCCGAAACACTCGAAAACAAAAATGGCGAGCATTGATGTGTCCCCCTTCCAGCGACCACCGCCTCCGTTCACACATCCCAGTAAACAAACGCACACCGAGCCCCGTCCACGGCCATGTCCGTCCGCAGCCTCGTCTCCATCTCCGTCGCCAGAAGACCCATGGATTCCAAGGATATGTTTTTGCCGTTAGGTACCCATAGCTAGCGAGCACCAGCAGCTGTCCATCCACATCATTCTAACAAAAAACGGCCACACCAAACATGTATGGCCTCTGCTTTCCCAGCTTCCCGGGCGAACCAAAAACCAGACCTCTCTACACCCTAGCTACGAGATATACCAATGGCCAACTGTCCACCACAAATGCACGACTGCATGCCACATGATCAGTTTATCCATGCTCTCCGAAAACCCTCACAACCAAAAGCCAAAGTTCCCATAACTACCCCAAGGTACGGGGCAATGAAATGTCCACCACAAACGGGCAACCCCTTACCCTATGATCAGCTTAGCCATGTCCCCTGAGAAAACCCCTCGCAACCACAAAAACCAAAGCTCCCTGAAACAAAACTGCAACAAGATACAGCAATGACCAACTGTCCAGTACAACGGGCATCCCCTTATGCACACCACACGATCCCTTGACCATGCCCCCCGAGGAGGAGGGGAAAAACAGCAGCCCTCGCAAACGCCTGATCTAAACTTACCGGCCTTAACGCACTCTTCTCCTCCAATAATAACCTCCTTAGACTTTCAAAGGAATGCAAGAGGAGGATGAATTGTTTTTGGCTCCAAACTGAAATTCCGGCTCCCTAACAACAATGAGGATGCCATAAGACAAGGCTCTTATCAGCAACATGTTAACGCTATGCAATCCCGTCTTTGCCCAGCTCTCTCTCCTCTCCTTCACCGGAAATTCTTACACTCTGTTCTCATGGGATGCCGCGCCCCCAGCTCTCCAGCGCTTCCTGTCCGGATTGACTCCAAAAGACGCGATGAGGGCACACCATGGCGTTGCCTTTCCCAGAAACTAAATTCTCGGACACCCTTCACCATGGCAGGTGTCCCGAAGGGATAGGACCCAGCACCCCCCGATGCTCCAGAGGACTTTGCACAATTTCTTGAGGTCCGCCATGCAACGACACCCACGTTGATGATGATGATAATTATGAAGGCAATGATGATGATAGCAATGATGACGATGCTGCTCAATCTCGCTCTCCCCATCACCACCACCAACGAAAAACCACACACAGAAGAACCCAGGACAGAGTCATTTCATTGGTATCTAGCACCACAGTCCATACGCTATACGGAAAAGCCAAACTCCTCACTGTATACTGCATTTCACAGGTAACCCACACGGCCCCTCTTTTTTCCTGTTAGCTGGTTGTTGACCCGCCGCATTTCCCGTTACCGTTGTCGTTTGCTGAGTAGTCGCACCAGCCGCAGGCCCAGCCTCAGCCGGAGCCGCAGCCGGAGCCGCAGATCCCTCTGCGGGAGCAGCAGCAGCTACGCCAGCCGCCTCCTCAGTCTTGCCGCCATCTAGTCAGGCGAAAGCCTTGGAGACGACCTCGTAGAACGCCTTGCCCTGGGTACGAGCGATTTCCTTCTCCAGCTCAGTGGGTTGGCGGCTGCCGTCGCCGGCGGCGAAGGTGCCTGCACCCCAGGGGCTACCGCCATGGACTTCGTCGAGGTTGGCGAGAAGGGCTGGGAAATGTTAGTATCGCGGTTGCGAACATAGATGACGTGGGTAGAATTGGAGCTTACGGAAAGTGTACTTGTATCCCAGAGGAACGTAAATGATGCCGTGATGCGTCAACGTCGACATGGCGGCAATAGCAGTGCTCTCCTGGCCTCCACCGGGGGTGCCGGTCGACACGAACATACCGGCATACTTGCCCCAGTACTTGCCCGAGGCCCACTGTCCGCCGGTCTTGTCCCAGAAGGTCTTCCATTGAGCGGGGAAGTTGCCGTAGCGGGTGGGGATGCCGAAGAGGAAGGCGTCGTACTCTTCGAGGATCTTTGGGTCGTCGACGAACGGGATATCCTTGGGTTTCTCGGGAGCGTGCATCTTCTTCAGGACTTCTTCGGAGAGGGTCTCAGGGATCCTGGAGAGAGGTTAGCTGGTGTTCACATATTGGCGGGATTGGGAGAAGGATGTTGGTATGCTGCTGGTTGATGAAATGAGACTTACTGATAGATGTCGACAGATCCACCGGCTTCCTCAATACCCTTCTTCTCCTCGAGGGCCTACAAGTCCCATTGTTAGCTTCATTGCTCATTGCCCGTTGCTCTTTGCAGCTGCTATCGAAGCTCGATGTCGTCATGAGAACAGCGAGAGGAGGGGAGGCATACCAATTGCCTGATGTGGCCATAGGTCGAGTAGTAAACGATAGCGATCCTGGGTGCCATTGTTCAAGCGGTAATCCGTCTCAATTGCAATAGAAGCCTATCAATGGAGTCGATGGCGAAGTGTTGATGAGTGAGGGGCAGCGTCGGATCCAGGACGAAACTGTGACGGAATGAGGGGTCGGTCAATTGAGCGTCAGGAAGGACCCTTTATGTACTTCCAAGGTTCGCCGGACAACAGCAGCTGCCTTCCCTACCAGCCCCATACGGGACCCGTATCTGCACCATGGTTCCACGATTTCCGGCCTAGGAACCACTGAAGCAATCCACGACGAAGCTGTTGATAGCTAGCCGGCGAGCTTCACACCCCTCACTAAGCCGCTTACGTGCTCTTGGCGATTACGAGGGGATTTGTAAGGCGCTGGAAAGGGTGCGGCGGCCCGGACCATGGAGCTTCCGAGTATCACAACAGTGCGAAATTGCTGAGAAATCGCTTCCATGGGAACTGTCAGTGCCTCAGTGTTGCTGTCGCAGCAGCCGCAGTCGTGAAAAGCTTACCAAGATGTATCGGAGCCGGAAATCAGAGGTCGAAAAAGTTACGCGATGACTCCTTGAAGGGAGCTTTCCATCCCTTCTGGTGAGGTCTGGATTACTGCAGCGGAAAGATTCCGTGAGCTCTTGATTAGCTGAACATACATGGAGCAGGGCGTTCTCCGTACTCCGTACATGCTGTGTATCCACACCCGCCCATTGGCCGATCTATCAATTCCATTCTTGCATCGATTTGCAATTTATACTATCGAAGCTGAAATGCGACCCTCTTCGAAGTACGTAGACGATTCAAGTTTTCCAGAGGCACGTTTGCCGTTTGAATATTTTCATAAAAGGTATCGAATAATTATACATTCGTAATAGCAATAACTGCCCTGATAGCCCTGCGCTATAGGGGATGCAAAGTAGGGTATTCCTGAAAACCTGCGGCAGCTAGCCAGCTTTCGCATCCGCGGAGCAACTCCAAAAGGAAAGAAAATATCAGAATGCTGCAAACTTTTGTTTTTCCCGGATTTCCCTCCTCCTTTTGGAATGGTAAAGGTATAAAAGCAGAAAAATCCCTGTAGCCGCCTTTTGGCTGATGGCTCCGCCCCAGACTCCCAATGCCAATGCAGATATAGTCATAAAATCATAATTAATAGAGGTAGGAATGGTGATAGACAATGGTGAAGTGAAGAGTGGTGGAGTCGAGAGGGCAATGACCGACGGTTAGGTGGAGATGGACAAGAGCTTGCGGCGGACGCCGTACAGGAACTCGCTCTCGTTGATACGCTGGAAAGGTCCCTCCTCTTCCTTCTCGTAAAGACCAGTGCTTCCATACGGTCCCTTGCCGCTCGGTTCGATGCTCTGCGGCCATTGTCCACGGGAGGCAATCTGCGCGAGGGAGAAATCCCCGTGCACCGAAGAGAAGGATGGCTCGAAAATGCAGTCCGCGAAAAACAGCTCGATGTAGAGCTCCCTGGGGATCACGCTAGTGGCACGGCGCTGGACGAGAGAACGCGCTTCGTGAAGCAGCTTCTCGAGGGCATCGGTGGCCTCGTCGGTAGAACGACCGTGCTCATGGCCGCAGATGTGCAGGGCACGAACCTGGAGATCGCCGCTGAACTTTGCGTTGTCGCCACCGAACTGGACGTGCCTGTCGGAGAAGAGGTCGGCGCAGACTGAGGGCAGGGAGATGGAGAGGGTTTCGAGCTTGGGGCAGCTTCGGAGGAGTTCGCACAAATGCTCGGAGTCGCTCGGAGATCCTGGATGCGGGTGCCAGAACCCATCCTGTGAGCGCGGGCTGTGCTCCAGAACGCGGAGGGTGTTGCGCGACGCCTTCACCACAGCAACGACGCCGTCAATGGTGATGGTGGAGATGCAGGTGAGGTGGAACTCCTCGAGCCGGGTAGCCGTCCGTGCAATGGCGTACAAGTCGCGGTCCGTGATGGGCATGAAGGTGGTGTCGCCGAAGAACTTCAATCGTCGGAGCTCGCCGAAATTGACAGACTGGAGCGACTGCGCATCGAACTGGTTGTCTGGGTCCTCGGCTTGCTGCTTGGTGGGATCGACGGCAAGGAGCTCGAGCGAGCGCAGGGGCTTGCCACTGCCAAGCAGCAACGTCCGCCAAGCCGCGGCATCCCAGTGGCGAACCGTCGTCCATGGCAGCGAAACCGACACGAGGCTGATGCAATTCTTCAGAGACTGAAAGATGAGCCGGTCCGTCTCGGCCGTGTAGAAGCCGTGGAACCACATGCGCTTGATCTTAGCAGCGACCTGCGGGTACTTGGAGAAGGTGTCGACGGTGCGCTCGAGCGTCTGGAACGGGTTGCGGTAGACGGCGGTGCCGGTCGGTCTGGGAATCAGTTCATAAAGGCGATATTTGTCACGGCGAGTGGTGAGCTCGGCCCATCGCTGAAGTCATGGTTAGTCCGGTGGGTTCTGACGCAGAGGGTATGTGGGGACCTTACCTCTCCGCCCTTCCAGCGGCGAATGTAGACGTCGTTGAGAGCATACTCCAAGGCCCATTCATGCCACTGCCAGCAGACGAGCCGAATAGCAGAGGTAGCATCCCACTTCAGCAGCTCTGGAGGTACGGGGCCTCGGACATAACGCTCGGTTGAGGCCTTTTGGAGAGGCAGCTGCACCTGCGAGAGGCCATACGTATAGGTAGGGCCTTCTTGGATGTTGGCACGGGCTGCCTCCTCGAGGATCTTGGACAGGATTTCGTACGGAAGTTCCGTGATGTGCATTCCAGGCAGAGGGACGACGACGGTGAGATAGATTTCGGGATTGGGATGTGTATGGGTCGAGGGGAAGGATGCTTTGGTAGGCGTGGCTGCAGGAAGTGGGAGTGAGTTGAGGTAAAGAGGGCAGTCACGTAGTGGTAGGTCGGTGAGGTGAGAGCATGCCAGTATAGGGAGGATTGAAGTGACGGCGGCGGCAAGTGGTCTTATATCTCAACGGAGCTACACTAACAGTCTGTATGCGGTCGGCCAGGGGTCTAGAGACGGAGAAGACATCACGTAGCAAAAATTTCTTGAATAATGAACAAAGAAGGCGTGCAATTAGTCAAGCGTTGGACCAGAGCCAACACCAGTGGTTGCAAGACCAGGGGCCCAGCGGACGTATGCGGACACGGTGGAGCCGTCTGCCAGGACCGCCTAGGGGGGTTGAGGGGACGGTGACGAGGCAGATCAGCTCATGGACGGTAGCACGAAGCACAAAGGTTGGCGGAGTTCGAATGTCGCCGCTGCTGGGTCGAAGCGGAGCATGAGCCTGGAGTTGCTGGCTCGCGACGTTTCTATGACCTAAGGCCAAGCCAGAACCAGCACCTGCCAGGTGAAAAGCCAAAGCAGTCATGTGCACCGCATCGAGCACGTTGGCTCACTTTCACCTCTCGGCGGAGCTGCCAGCATGACTAACGGGGCCTGCTCTAAGGGGCTCGCCCGAATTCCCATTACCCCCAGAAAACCTCTTTCTAGATGTTGTTGGATGAAGTCGCCAGGCGTCATGCAGTCACGGGCCCACTTCCGACACGCTGCCCAGACCGCCGCGAGCCGCCAGTCGAAACTCAACACCAGCGTCATGGATCATAGCTCTCCTCACAATATTCTGGAGGGACCTTCAGGGGAGGATAAGCGCTTGCAAGCATTGCACAAATCAATCTTGGTGCAACGAGGACTGTTGATATGGCCGTTCCCCGTCCGTACTACATTCGCAATGGTGTCAGCACACGCAATCCTCACGTCTGAATGCGTCGTTCCATGCATCATCGTGCCAGTTCTTCCGTGTCCCATACGTTTGGTGAAGCATGTAAGACTGCTCATTATTGTCCTCTACCAATGCATTCTCCCCTCCACTGTGGTATCTGTCCTCACAAGCTGCCTATGAGCTTGTCAGCAGATGGGAAACAATGGTTGGGACCATCTATCAGCCCGCACATCCATGCCCCTTCTCCTGCACATCCTAGCAGCTTTCCTCGCAACTTCCCCAGCAGTTTGTCCATCTCCCGGCTGGATCCCGATTCACGTTGCTGGTTGTCACCAGTCGTCGCGATTCTGTTACGTTTGGATTCCTTTCTCCGCTGTTCGTCAAGCACGTTCCGGGGGTCCATGGGTGCTCTAGGACTTTGCTGGGACCGCGGAGACGTTCCATGATCCGGACAACAAAGCTTTTGCCGAAGCACCGACGGACAAGGCGGGGAAGAGCAGCATGCCTCCCCTCTACCAGTAGCTCCACGATGGTAGTCTCGGTTGCTGGTACTGTAGGCCTCCTTTACAGAATGTCAGAATCGTCTTCCTGCGCAAATGTGTCGATACAACAAACAATTGAAAGTCGCAATGCGAACCCAAACTGACGACGAGCAAGCTCCAAATAATTCCAACAATGCTGCACCTCTGACGCAATACCACAGTCGCGGGTCCTACACCGCTGCATGCTTATAGGGGGTCAATTAAACAAACCACTTACCGTTGTGCTCTGCTCTCCGACACTGTACAGCATGCGATGTGCCTGCATGCAACAAGCTCTTTCGAACTTTTCTTTCTCCGGATTTCCATCACCTAACAAATTGCACGCTACCCCGCATTATCAAATTCGCGGACCCACTACTGTGTACTCGGACCAGCGCCATGCCACTTCGCGAAGTATCCCTCCTCTTTGCAATTTTTCTCTCCCTTTTCCTTTCTCAGCGTCAGAGTTCATCAAGGGGGAATGCGGCCGAGTTCCGTCCCGCCAAGGGTCCAGCTACGTCCAGAGGCTGCACATGACCTTCAGACCTTTCGAACTCGGTTCCGCCTCGGGTCCTTCTCAGATTCGTCATCGTGACCACCTCTTTTGTTGTTGCCCTTGTACCTTTGTACATCAGCTGAGCATTCCTAGCCGCCTATCGTGAGATTGTAGGCGTCGATGTTGTTGTTGCTGTGTCTCCTGATGGAAGATGCTTCGCCTGGCTTTAGTGTTGGAGCATTGATGAGAGCGTGACAGGAGGCGACACAGTCATCGTCTCCAGGTGCGCTGTGCATGCACAGCACGTGTACTGTGCACAGTACCTCCAGGCCTGGCGTTCCCGGCGATCATCGTGAGACCTCTCATGTCACGGTTGTAACGAGGTAAACGGAGTTATAGCGACGGTTACTTCGACGTACGGATCCCAAATGATTTTCTGTGAACTCGATGAGATAGATGGTGGGATAGATGCGTCGTTATGTATGTACCCCATATCCCACCCACCCCGTCCGACTTCGGGTAGATACGTACCCGCTTTCCCGGACGGGTAGTGGAGATAACGATTGCGCGTGGTGCACGGCAACGGGTACTTATCAGTATCCATGTTCCTTTTTCTGTTACTCCATGGGATATTGTCATACCTAGGTAGGTACCGAGGCGGTAGGTATTGGGCCTTGGTGCCTGTTGTTGCTCAAGGACTACGGGACCATGATGTTCTATGATGATTGCATATGTGAATGGACTCGCTCTATGTTACATGCCATGTACTGTGTACGCATACTCACGTACAATCACTTCATATCATCAAACTAACAGGAGGTAAGAAAAGCGCCGAGAACAGTTTTTCACTTCTTCGTACGCAAGTGATATCATTCCATGCTGGACATCCATTCCATGCGTCACATCCCTATCTCTTCATACTGTGGTACGAAACCCAGCTTTATACATCCCGGTGCAGGTTTAGATCGCAACCAACGGCACGCTATCTTGCACCACGTTCCCCGAAAAACGCCCAACTACCTCCAGGAGAGACCGAACCCAGTGAAAGAAAAGGGGTATCTTAAGTGCACCAACGTTGCCATCCTCCTACCATTCTCTTTCCTATTCCCTCCCCCACCAATCCCAACGACCACTCTACCCCCTACCGTCCCCTCCTCCCAACCCCACTCCCCCCATCCAACCCATTCGCATGAGCCAACAAAAACTTGCAACAAGTAAGCACATACTTACACGCCTTTGTCCAATTCTCCTCCTTGCTCAGACTCAACTTGATACTCGTGTCGTGAATCTTGTCCTTGCGAATCTCGTAGGGCATCTTGTAATTCAGACTGCCCGGGTTCGCAGGACTAAGAGTACCATCGGCATGAGTTCCAATGCCTCCGCCCGCAGACTGCTGCGACGACTTCTCCGCAAACTCGCCGAGCTGGCGCAAGCATTCTAGGAAGGCGACCATGGCGGTGTCGAATTTCCTGTGCATGAAGCCGAGATTGAACGGCAGTTCGCCCGACGAATAGAGCTCGAGGCGCTGTTTCGTAACTGTGGGACGGCCCGTGGTGCCTGCTGCTGCGGTGCTGCTACCCGTGGCAGGCTTGGTGTCCAGCTTCAGGATGGAGGAGGTCGAGCCCATGGGGTAGAGCTCGTAGCCCTGGAATTTGTAGCCTAGACGGTCTGCGAGAGTCGCGAGGAGGAGACATGTCTGACCCCATGCGGCGTTTATTTCCGGCCAATCGACGTAAGGGGTAGAGAGGCGGCCGAGCCGGAGGCCGTTGATGGTGGCGTAGTGGTCGTCGTGAGTGATGAAGAAGATGTCGTTGTAGACGCTGCGGCGTTGGAGCTGGGTGAGGAGTTGGAGGTCATGGTTGTACTTGGTGGTGAGGGCGTCGCGCTCTTCCTGGAAAGAAGTGAGGGCTGTGGAGAAGGCGTTGCGGTGGGCCCAGAAGTCGTTTTCGGTCTTGTCGAGAGCGCGCGATTCGGCCTGTAGGGCGAGGAGTTGGGAGTCTAGCTCTGCTTTTTCTTTCTCCAACCTTTCTAGGTGGGCGAGGGCGGCGGCTTCGCTTTTGCGTGCGGCTTCGAGTTCGGCTTCGGCGGCTTTGATTTCCTCTGCGTTTGGGACGTCGCTGTTGGCGCGGCGAAGGTAATCGACGTATGCGTCGCGTTCTCTTGTAGCGACCGTCATGCGCTTCTGTAAACCCTCTACGAGAAGCTCGGTGCACTCGGTGCAGACGGGATGATCGATGTCTGAGCGTGCCGACAATATCTCGAACAAGCGATTTGTAGTTTCCATCCCGTCTGCGATCTTCCCACCTCCTACTGATCCCCATTTTCCCGTAGCACTTGCTCTTCGGGTTACCTCCGCGCCAGTTGGCTGTGAGCCGTCGGAGGTCTTCTGCTTCACCTCTGGGGATAAAGCGGGATCCAACATTGACTCCGACATATGCACACTGACAAATGACATCGCAGGGTTTTGTCCTCCACGTTGAGCATATCGTGCATGAGGTACGGTACGCTTGAAGGTAGGGTTTCTCGCGGATTGGGTTGCTGTCTCGTATGTCTGGTTTCTGGATGAGGGGTAGGGCGGACGGCCTTGCCGTGACAATGTCTTCTTCGTTGTTTGTTGATCGGGCGATACCGTCGAGTCTGTTCTGCTATCAGAGATTGCTCGATCAGATATGTAGCACTGTGTCTTGGACCTGTCAGGAGTTTGAAGGCAGCTGGATTAAGCTGGTCGATGGAGGCATCCACTTCGATGGGAGTGCGGCATTTCTGACAATACAGGCCCGCAGACGTTGTATCCTTGGTACTTCTTGCCGAAGTAGCCATCGAGATTGCATTGCGAGGGGATGTGTCCGCTTAGCAAATGGGAGATGTGAAAGGGAAGGGTAGCTGTATCAATCGATGATGTGTACTCCGTATGCATGTGAGCATCATGGTGCACGGGCCAGCCAAAGCTAGGGACGCGTTTGCGGCGGGGAGCTTCGCGAATCCCAGCCACGCGCTTTGTCAATGTTGAGCTCCAACTTCAACGGCAACCTTGGAGGAAAGCACCAACACCTACTACGCCTGTTCCGTCAACCTCAACCTCAGTCTCGAGTCCTGCGACTCGGCGCTGGCATTGGACTTTCGCTATGCAACGACCGAAGAAACGATTGCGCACAAGTCGACCCCTGGTATTCGGCAAGAACGTTGCGCACCGCGGACCTCAGACTCGAGAGCTCGAGGATGTTTTCCGAGACAACCAACACATATTGCCTGGTCTCGATCGCACCTTCGAGGCCCTTTTCGACAAATATGCCAACATGCCTGAGGATGCTGCCGACGTCGTGGACCTCGAAACCGAGACCCTTGTCGTGGACAACGGCCACTTACGGAGTCTCCAGCAAAATCCGCAAACCTGGGAGCGAGCGCAAATGTTGGATGGTATTGTCACGGGAAGCGGTTGGGATCTCGAGGAGGATTCGAAAGACGAATTGGCGCCTTCTCGATCCCCATCTCCAGTTGCGATTCGACGTACACAGGTTGCAGTTGAGCCAGCACCACCTGTACAGGTACGAGGACCCCGTCTACATATGTGGAATCCATTCTGATTGCGCCAGGCTCTCCGACAGACGGATTCTTCTGTAGAACAAGCATCTAGCGAGGCCGCCCCAACCGTCAATGAAGCTCAATTTTCAGATGCATGTAGACAGCTCTCTGTTGTTCAACAACCCGGGTCAACATCGTCAGTTCCGCCAACATCGGACGGCCTGCTCAAGATTATACAGCAGTTCGTCGACCAGTCCGTGGCGCAACGACTGCTACAACAGCAGGTTGTATCACAGCCTTTGGCGCAACAACTGAGCGACGGTCCCATGAGCACTCCGGTTGCCCATCAGTCGGGACCCTGGAGAGACCCGGTACCACCTGCTACGGATCCGAAATGGTACTTTCCGCCTTTACCACGGCTAGCGTCTACTACACCGCTTGCAGCATCCACGTCGGTCCCGAGACGCAGGAGGGTGTTCCCATCTCCACAGAGGATTCGGCAGCCGGAGCCTGGGAAGTGCAAGGAATCGCCTCTTTTTATAACAGCTAAGAGCACTCGAGCCACTCTCTCAAGTCCGATCATTCGGCAAACGCAGAAAGAGGATAATCAGACGGCATCCGCAGCGCCTCGAAGTTCCTTACCAGGAGGGAAGGCGCTTGACGATAGTGGTCTGGAGGAACAGGCGACAAGCGGCAACGAACTTAGGCATCCTCTGAGGTCGCATATTCGTGAGCAGCCGTTGTCGACTCCGTCGCTTATATACTCTGATGGCACAGAGTCGCATAGAGATATCGGCGATAGCGAAGCCAATCGCCTTAAACACGCCGACCCTCCGGTGACAATTTTCGACGAAGATATGGACGTATTCCCTATGCCCAATGACAACGACAATGATGCGGGTATCATGCAAGATTTGGAAAAAACTCATGCAGAAGATATTCCTCTGATACTTCCCTCCATTGAGAGCGACAATCCCTTCGACGGACTGTGCCGGGATCCTGTACAGCAGAGCCCAAGGAAGCATGTCCAGGTTGTGATACCTGTTAGAAGTCGTCCAAAGTCTCAGACCCAGCGGGCCCCGGTTACCTATGACTCAGAAGAAGGCCTTGTTCCTATGGACGAGGTGCAGAAACCGGAGGCTAAAGCAGCCCAACCGCCGATAGACGACGCGGAACTTCGCGATGAGCTTGATGCTCCGTGTACCCCAGCTATCAAACGCGAATCCCTGACACCGGGGCCGTGTTGTCTTCTGCGAGCTGTGCCTCCCGCGACACCGAAGTCAGCACCTCAGCAATATAAAAGAGATGTTGGCACGACAAGGGATACCCCAAGAGCGACGCCAAAGTTGAGCAAGTTGCAGTTGCTGCGACTTGCGAGGGCGCAATGGGCGAAGCAGGGCCGAAGCGGAACGCCCCAGACTTCAAGACATAGGAAGAGCCTACCCAGCCAGCAGAAGAAAAGATGGGTAGACGATAGCGAGGATGAGTTGGCGTAGCGGTGGCAGCGCAAGACTGCAGGTGGTCAGGGCGCCTCAAGTATGACTGTTCTGTGGGGTGGTGTAGAAGTGTTTTTTGTTCAGATACCCCTGGTCTATCCTTATACGGAATCATGAGAATTTAACAAGTGCATCTGGGAGTTTATTTTCTCGGGATGACGTAGTGAAACCTGGTAGCGATCGGCTAGGAATAATGGATCTCCGGGAAGAATTCTCGCAGCAACGTCGTCTATGTGAGTCACCAAGAGCGCTCACACTGAAGCCGCATTGGCAAAATTGCAAGTGCTAGTCGAATAACGGCTGCAGTTGGGGAGGCTTGTGGCTGGCCTCTGGCCGTCGGTTAGAAAATAATACCTGGCAGAAACAACGGTTGGAGATTTTTCTAGTCCGTGACTTGTTATGGATGCAGTCTGGAAAGAACTTCAATTTACAAGATCTCTTTGTTGACAGGAACTGTGGACTAGTCAACAGGTCGCCATGTACTCCGGAGATATCCAAGCAATATCTTTCCATACTCGCTGTCTTTCCTGGAGTCTTTTCTTCCCCACTGTCCTGTCCCCGTCTCCCATCCAGGGTGGATCACCGTGCGTTATCGGTTTGCATCTTTTCCAGGGCAACCTTCACCGCCCGGCCTTATCGCGGCATCGGCGGGCCGCTGATTGGCTGCGCCAAATTTCGCGACCTCCATATCCCCATCGCTCCCCGCGAGCCATATAGTCTGAATATTTCCCTGGAAGACACTCTTTTTTTGACTCTAAGTGCTGGGCCTTAAGCTCGACCGTCCTCAATTGACCTGCCCGCCCGCAGACTCGTCTCGCCGTCTCGCCGTGCCTTGTCGACGACGCTCTGGTACTCCTTTGCGCACCCGGACGTCAATAGAGCCTGCAACCTTTCTCAGGTACTGACCGCTTGAGACGCAGGCATGGCACTCTGCGGGCGCCTGGCACGCCGCACCACCTCCCTCGCGGGACAATGCAGGTCGCTGAATCCCTCAATTGCCTCGAGGGCTTTCACATCGCGGGCCTCGAGGCCGATAACAACCTCGTTGCGCACTCAGTATGAGTCCCCCGCTGCGTACAGACAATTGCGAGCCTTCTCCAAACTCCCTGCGAATTGGAATAAGACTCAGGAGGCGCCCAATGCCCAGGCATACCTGAACAGCGGCGCAATCGCCGGGGCCCGGGATCTGGTGGACGTGAAGAAGGTGCTGGTCATTGGCAGTGGTGGTCTTAGCATCGGCCAAGCAGGAGAATTCGACTACTCAGGTACGCACATTGAATAGCAATGCCCCTCCTAATGGAAGAAAAATTAGTAAATACTTACATCAAGGTTAGGATCGCAAGCTCTCAAGGCTTTGAAAGAAGCCGGTGTCCGTTCAGTGCTAGTCAACCCCAATATTGCGACCATTCAAACCTCGCACGTGCTCGCCGATGAAGTCTACTATCTCCCAGTCACCCCTGAATACGTCGAATATGTGATCCAGAAAGAGAGGCCTGATGGAATCTTCCTCAGCTTTGGTGGTCAGACCGCCCTGAACTTGGGTGTCAATATGAACAAGAAGGGCATCTTTGAGAAGTACGGCGTCAAGGTTCTGGGAACGAGCATCAAGACGCTCGAGACTAGCGAGGATCGCGATCTGTTCGCTCGCGCTCTCAATGAGATCAATATTCCCATTGCGGAGTCCATTGCTGTGTCTACCGTCGACGAGGCGCTTGATGCCGCCGAGAAGGTCGGATACCCTATCATTGTCCGCGCTGCCTATGCCCTGGGTGGCCTTGGATCCGGTTTTGCGAACAATCCGGAGGAGCTGAGGAACTTGTCTGCCCGCTCTCTGACTCTCTCGCCCCAGATTCTGGTGGAGAAGTCTCTCAAGGGCTGGAAGGAGGCGGAATATGAGGTCGTCCGCGATGCCAGCGATAACTGCATCACTGTCTGCAACATGGAGAACTTCGATCCCCTCGGCGTGCACACTGGCGACAGCATCGTCGTTTCTCCCAGTCAGACTTTCAGCGATGAGGAATACCATATGCTCCGATCCGCCTCTATCAAGATTGTCCGTCACTTGGGCGTTGTTGGCGAGTGCAATGTTCAGTACGCGCTTCAGCCCGATGGCTTGGACTACAGGGTCATTGAGGTCAACGCTCGTCTCTCTCGTTCGTCTGCTCTTGCTTCCAAGGCTACCGGATATCCCCTTGCCTATACCGCGGCCAAGATTGGTCTCGGACACACTCTCCCTGAACTTCCCAATGCTGTTACCAAGACCACGACTGCCAATTTCGAGCCCAGCTTGGACTACATCGTCACCAAGATGCCCCGTTGGGATCTGAGCAAGTTCCAGAACGTCAAGCGCGATATCGGCAGCTCCATGAAGTCGGTTGGCGAGGTCATGGCTATCGGACGTACCTTCGAGGAATCCTTCCAGAAGGCCTGCCGACAGGTCGACCCCAGGTTCTTGGGTTTCCAGGGCGACAAGTTCGAGAACCTCGACGAGGTGCTCCAAAACCCCACGGACCGTCGCTGGCTGGCCGTCGGTCAGGCCATGTTCCACGAGGGTTACTCCGTCGACAAGGTGCACGAGCTCACCAAGATTGACAAGTGGTTCCTGTACAAGCTGCAGAACATTGTCGACTGCACCCGCGAGCTCGAGGAGATTGGCAGCCTCTTCGGTCTCAAGAAGGAGGTCATTCTCAAGGCGAAGAAGCTCGGCTTCTCCGACAAGCAGATTGCGAAGGCAGTCAACAGCACTGAAGACGAGGTGCGCGCGCGCAGGAAGAGCTTCGGAATCCGCCCCTGGGTGAAGAGGATTGATACTCTGGCTGCAGAGTTCCCCGTGAAAGATTCGAACTACTTATGTCAGTACTCTCTACCATCCTTCAATTCACTGTCATGGTTCTAACAGGTGCCAGATGTACGTCACATGACCTCCCATTTCCTAGACTTCTTACTTTGGTTTTGCTTTTCATTTTCCTCTCCTTTCTGCTATTCTTTCCGTTTGTCACAATGTAGTTTGAGGAGCTCTCTTCTCTTATGACATGTTGGACGCCGTCCACGGGTGAGTTCATTGGGGTGGGCCCCGGTGTAGTGGCTCCTTCCCTCTCTGTAGCTCCTTCCACACGACGCGTCCTGTCAACGCTCCTTCCTCACGACGCGTCTTGTTATGGCGCCTTCCTCGCCAGACAAGTGGGGCCACTCCCCAATGTCGCTGGTGCCTTCAGGTTCTTCTTTCCTACACCTCCATCTGAAGCAGCCATCACCGGTGCATCGCATCACTCGCTGCATTCGAGATGTCCCTTCTTTCCTGGTTGGCTTCGGCGAAGAAATCAAGCGGCTCAATTGCCGACGGGAGCGTACCTTCCGCCCCTGGCGATTTTCATGGCACCAACAATGAGGGGCTCATGGACGTGGGCTCTGGAAATCCCGGGGACTCCATCGACGACGGAATTGACGAAGACCTTCACGAAGACATTGACGACTACCTTGACGACGGCTTTGATGGCAGCGTCGACGACGACAACCCTGAGCAATCCAACACGTCGGCCTTCACCACTCGAATGCTAGATTCCGTTTGGCAGTGCCTCCAAGATACGCCCAAGAATCAGAAGCATGTCTTGTACGACGAATTCCTCACCAGCCGCTCCGTCCTCAGTGACATTGAGGAGAAGCTTCCCATTGTCTTCGCCGACAAGTTCCAAGCCATTCTCCAGAGCGAATCGCCACCGCCGATTGAGGAGCTCAAATCTATGCCTTCGGACGCTGTCCAAGGCTGGGGTGCGTACATCCTCGTCCTTGAGAAAGACGGTCATACTCCAAGAGTCTATGTGGGGAGTGCAACGAGCGACTATCGTGGACTTGTGCAGCGTTTCAAGGATTACCAGTATGGAAACTTCCCATGCCATGTCGGCAAATCCATTGAGGAAGGATTCGACATCGTCCATAAGGGCATGGTTTGCTGGACCCCCAGCATTCCTCCACCTGAACTTCGGCCTCTTTTCCGTCTGCTGGTTGTTGCGCTGGAGTCCGCCATCGCATACATGCTTTGGGCAATGAATACCAAGGCCGTCTGGGGCAAGCTCACCTGGGGCAAGGATTATGGAATGGGGCACATGTCTGTGTGGGATCGAGATGCACTCCCGTATACTGGCCTATGTTCGCATTGCGCTCTGTACGAAGGCGTCAAGGGGGACTTCTCGTTGTCTGCTGAGCAGCTCATTAGTCTGGCTGCCCAGAGGAGAGCGAACACAGCAGCCAAGCAGAAGCCACGTAATGTTCGCTATCACCAACGTCAAATGGCTACCAACCACCGGGAATACATTGATGGCATGGCTCAACGCGGTCGTGTATACAGGGCCAAAAATCACGAGAAAGTCAAGGCGAGGGAACGAGAACTCAATGCGCAGCACAAGGAAGCAAAGACCTACTATTGCAACGCCTGCAAGACTGCCTGCCATAAGAAGTCCGATCTGGCCGAGCATAAAAAGACCAAAAAGCACAAAGATCACGTCAAAGCCCTGAAGAAGCCGCCCAAGGTCACCCGCTGGAGCTGCCCTCCCTGTGCCTACAAGACCGACAAGTCGAGCTCCTGGCGTGATCACTGTAACTCTATTCGCCACGGGCGATTAGTTGCTGATGCTCAGAGTGAGCAGCTCAACTAGTCAGCTCGGGGAAAATAGGGGAGGAAGTGGGAGGAGAGGGTGGGGAGTGTAACGTTTTGGACGGCCTCGAACATGGAAGGGAAGGATGCGTAACGTTTTGGACGGTGTCCATCACCATGGGAGGGAAGGATGTGAAACGTTTTAGATGGTCTCCATCAACATGTCCTTCCTTTACATCTGTTCACTCTGTTCACCTCTTTTTGTACTGCTTTTGCAACTCCTACCTCACGGCTCGCGCATTCGACCACTACTAACACCCAGCTTCAGACCACTTACAACGCCTCATCGCACGATGTCACGTTCGATGACCATGGTACCCTTGTCCTTGGAAGCGGTGTCTATCGCATTGGAAGCTCTGTGGAGTTCGATTGGTGCGCTGTTCAGGCTACCCTCGCCTTGAAGAACTTGGGTAAGAAGACTGTCATGATCAACGTAAGTCAAACCTTTCATACTACATTTCGCAAGCAAATGCGGATGGATGTGGTATGGGTGGGTGGATTGCTGGTACATGGTTTTCGCTTGCCCGGCGAAGCGTTGTTCCAAAGGGGATTCTCGCCACCCTTCCACCACCCAACCCACCCATCCACCCCTAAACGACCCCCAACCACTAGCCTTCACTCCTAGACCATGCTAACACGGTGAAGTACAACCCGGAGACCATGTCTACCGACTATGACGTCCCCGATAAACTCTACTTCGAGGAGCTCAGCTATGAGCGTGTGATGGATATCTACGAGCTGGAGTCCGCCAGCGGTGTCATGGTGTCTGTGGGAGGTCAATTACCCCAGAACATTGCACTCAAGCTGCAAGAGTCCGGAAAGGCCAAGGTTCTCGGAACGGATCCCGCCGACATTGACAAGGCCGAAGATCGTCACAAGTTCTCCTCCATTCTGGACTCCATCGGTGTTGACCAGCCCGCCTGGAAGGAACTCACCTCCTACGAGGAGGCCCAGAAATTTGCCCAGTCCGTTGGCTACCCCGTCCTTGTCCGTCCCTCGTACGTCCTTTCGGGCGCTGCTATGACTGTCATCCGCAGTGAGAGCGAGCTCCGCGACAAGCTCACTGCCGCAGCTGAGGTCTCGCCTGACCATCCCGTTGTCATTACCCAGTACATCGAAGGCGCGCAGGAAATCGACTGCGATGCTGTTGCCTCTAACGGAAAACTCCTCGTCCACGCTATCAGCGAGCACGTTGAAGATGCGGGTGTCCACTCTGGCGACGCAACCCTGGTCCTGCCACCCGTGAACCTCGACGAGAGCATCCAGAAGCGGGTCAAGGAAATCGCTGAGAAGGTCGCCAAGGCCTGGAACATTACTGGACCTTTCAACATGCAGATCATAAAGGCCTCCGATCCTGAGGGTGGCGAGCCCAAGCTCAAGGTCATTGAGTGCAATCTCCGTGCTTCCCGGTCCTTCCCCTTCGTCAGCAAAGTCCTGGGTACCAACTTCATCGATGTAGCTACCAAGGCGCTTGTCGGCCGTGATGTTCCCGAGCCTGTCGATCTGATGGTACAGAAGAGGGATTACGTCGCCACCAAGGTGCCGCAGTTCTCATGGACCAGGTTGGCGGGCGCTGACCCCTTCCTGGGCGTCGAGATGGCTTCGACCGGTGAAATGGCATGCTTCGGAAAGGATCTAATAGATGCGTACTGGGCATCTGTCCAGTCGACCATGAACTTCCGTCTCCCCCAGCCGGGTGAGGGTCTCCTTTTCGGCGGATCCATCGAGACGGACTCCCTTGTACAGATTGCGAAGTATGTCAACCCTCTCGGCTACAAGTTCTACGCCGCGAACAACGAGGTCAAGGAATTCCTCGAGAGTAAGGCCGGTGTCAATGTGGAGGTGATTGACTTCCCCAAGGAGGATAAGAGGGCGCTTAGGGAAGTCTTTGAGAAGTACGACATCAAGGGTGTGTTCAACCTTGCCAAGTACAGGGCCAGCTCGTTGGTGGACGAGGACTACGTCATGAGGAGGAATGCAGTCGACTTTGGTGTCCCGCTCTTCATGGAGCCAAAGGTAAGCTTCCTATATTCCCTGGGTTTGCAACGACGGTGAAAGTTAACCTGCTGCAGACTGCCGTCCTCTTCGCCAGATGTATGAGCGAGAAGCTCCCCAAGAAGGAGGGCATCCCCAGCGAAGTGCGGTCGTGGAGCGACTTTGTCGGCGGAAGGCCGTTATAAGAAAATGGTCCGTCGTACGGAGGAGGAATAAGAAGATAGAGACATTCAGCGAAGCAAGAAGCAATATACCCTGTGGGTATTAAGAGAAGAGCAGCATCCGAACAGCGAAAGCGTTCTTGTACAAAACCATTGTGGGCCAGTTTTTCCTCCAAGTTTCCAAGGTGGGAGTTTTGGAGCCTTGGTCTAAACGATCTGCTAAAGTGTAGGTAGGTAGCGAGGAACGAGTGTTACTTGCGGGTGTATGTTTATGTAATTCTGATATCAATACATATAAGTATGGTCAAAATTGACCCTGTCCTTTGCTCGTTCTTTGTAAACCCTTTTGTGTTGAGAGGGCCACCGATCACGTGTCGCGGCGCACGTCCTGCTGGCAGAACTTCGGACTTCCGAGCTCCGCAATGCATGGCACCGGGCCAGCAGACAGGACGACGGATGTTCCACCACCACGACCACACGCCCCCGGCCGTTCGCAGACAACAATGCGATGGCCGCGGCCTGGCGACGACAACAATGACAAGCCGACGAGCAACACCACGTCGTCTCATCGTGCCCTCTCCTGGACCGAGCAGGCACACCCAGCCAACTGGTCATGGCCGACCCTCAGGGACCCCGGCACGCTCCTCCCCACGCTTGTCTTCACCTTGACGACCATCTCCGCAGTACGGCTATATAAGTCGTACTTGAGACGCATACCGAGCGTGAATCATATCAAGCCTGGTTATTTCCGAAGTAAGAGTTTATTTGGCAAAGTCACGAGTGTGGGCGATGCGGATAACTTTCGCATGTTCCACACGCCGGGAGGACGGTTGGCCGGGTGGGGATGGCTGCCGTGGAAGAGGGTGCCGACAAGTAAGGAGGCGCTGGCGGGGAATACGGTATGTTTGGTTTGTGCTTTTCTGTGTTCATTTGGAGGTGCCTCGGTTCTTTTCAATGAAATATAGGCAACTGTATACATTGGGTTCCGATGAGTACATTGGAATATCTCTACTTATTGGCATGTGTGTTTCTTGGAAGCATCAACTGACTCAACCCGCCAGATCCATATCCGAATCGCCGGTATCGACGCCCCAGAGCTCGCCCATTGGGGCCGAGAAGCCCAACCCTTCTCCAAAGAAGCCCTTGACTGGCTCACAGGCTATATCCTCAACCGGCGAGTGCGAGCTCGCATATTCCGCCGCGACCAATACGACCGCGTCGTCGCGCAAGTGTACGTGCGGAGATGGTTCTTGAAACGTGACGTGGGGCTCGAGATGCTAAAGTGCGGCCTCGCAACTGTCTATGAAGCAAAGACAGGGTCGGAGTATGGGGATTTCGAACAGCGGTATCGGGATGCGGAGGAGAAGGCGCGGGCGGAGAAGGTGGGGATGTGGACGAAGCCGGGGCTTTTGGGGAGGTTGAGGGGGGAGAAGGAGAAGAAGGTGGAGAGTCCGAGGGAGTATAAGAATAGGCATGCTGCGATGGAGAGGCAGAAGAAGAGTTGATTGTGCATGTTTGGAGTTGGTTGGATTTGTATTTTGGGCGATACGCAGCAGTATATACCCCATCCCAATTACGATGACGATACAAAGTTCAGCTTGTTAAGCACTTGGTTGTGCATTATTCTATATCATCGTTACTAGGCTGGTTCATGGATAAGCGAAGCGTGGGAGATGGTTGTTCATCGGCACAGATCGATGACGGGAACGTACGGGGTTGTTCTAAAACGCACATAGTCTGTAACCCAGTTAACTAAGGAGCCACTACCGCTGGGCGGTATAGTATCTGACTTACCGGCTTACGTCTTTATGCTTGAGTGGAATTCATCCCTTCCTACAGCATCACTGCGTCGTCCTCTTCATCAGTGGAGTCCCTGATCTGTACACTTTCCAATGACGAGGAAGTATCCACCATCGTCTTTACACAGATTGCTGCATTCTAATACATCTTCAGGGAATTTTGGGACCACACAGAGCGTCCGATAGCAAAGTCTGCAAGATTGAGGTCTCTCGAAGGCTATGGTGTGGTGTACAGTTGATAGATGTCAAGGATTGCTCAGACCAGCCGCCTGTACGGAAACGGAATGGTCCGTCGAGGATCCCACCTTCTTCGAATGTTCGCCCTGGAGAGGACCAATTATCCGACCATCGCAGCATCAACCATCAGATATCAAATCCTCCCATGCGTCGATTTCTGGTGCTGATTTATCCCCCCTTCGTTGATTTCTGTCGACCCCGCCGAATGGTCTATCGTACTCCTTAGCGCTCTTTCGAGTCGCATCAGGTGGTCAATGCCATCCTTCAACAGGACCATCCATCATGTACTCAACCTTCGCTGCCACCGCCGACGCCGATTCATTCGATGATAATACATTTGGCTTTGGACAGGCGAAGGACGATGTTCTATCAATCCCAATGTCGCACGAGAGCGCACATACACATCTGAAAGTCCCAGCTCCCGATATGATTCCGATCACTGGGCTTAATAGGATGGTATATGGACCATACAATGAATCAACCACATCGTCGAGCCAGTACGGGTACACACGAGATGGTTCCGAGGGGAATGATAGCCACCTAAGTGGCAGAGAAGATCGTGATGGGTCGATATCAAGTGGATATGTGAATGGGCAGGACCGCAGTTATGCGCCTTCTCCATTGCATATTTCACACACCGCACATCCGACCTTTCAAATTCCATCGAACCTTCCAGGAAACTCGTATGGAGCGCACATCTCAAATGACAACCGTTCGCCTCTTCACCCTGCCAAGACAACTACCATCTCACCTACTACAGTATTACCAACCTCAAACAAAGAGCACGCAATTCCACCGAACCCAGCATCAGAAGTACAACCTTCCCTAAAGGAGAGCTCGATGGTCTCTCCAACTGATCAAGGGGCGCACTCCCACACACCCCCTACTGCCCGCCAATCTACAAAGCCCGCCTCTATGAGGAAAGCCCCCGAGTTCAGGGCGAATTCATCTATTCCGGCAGAAATGTCATGGCCTGAATTTGCGAGACAGGGTATTTTGGGTGCGGAGAGCTCCCGTCTGAACCCTTTCGCACTTCATCCCGAGGAGTACAAACTTCTCAGAAACCACGTCACTCATGCACAAGTTACGATCTATTTGAACATAAGGAACGCCATACTTCGATTATGGACGCGAAATCCTTTGGTAGCCGTTACCCCAGAAGAAGCGGCAGGGTGTGCAAGGGACAAGCGATATTTTGGCCTTGCCCTCGTGGCATACAACTGGCTTCTCAGGAATGGCTACATAAATTTTGGTTGCGTCGAAGTCCCGAATACTGCAGGCCCAAACCCGCGTTCCAAAGCGAAAGCGGGCTCACAGAAGACGGTGCTGGTAATCGGGGCTGGAATGGCTGGTCTTGGATGCGCGAGGCATGTGGAGGGTCTATTTTCACAGCTTGGCGACCGCTGGGCTGATGAAGGGGAACTTCCGCCTAAAGTCATCGTGTTGGAGGCTCGGCGCCGAATCGGTGGTAGAGTGTACTCCCATCCACTTCGAAATCAACAAAATTCTACCCTTCCACGAGGACATCGATGTACAGCCGAGATGGGCGCCCAAATCGTGACGGGTTTCGAGCGCGGGAACCCCATGAATGCGCTCATCCGCGGACAACTAGGTATTCCTTATCATGCTCTTCGCGACAACACCATATTGTATGATCATGACGGCACAATTGTGGAAAGGAGTCAAGATCTGCTTGTGGAAAAGCTATACAATGATGTGTTGGAACGTGTGAGCGTGTACAGGAATAAGCCGGCCACTTTCCGAACCGTTGAAGGCGATCGTAATATGATATTGTTCGGACGGGAGCCGAGCGATACAGGGGGACCAACCGTTGCAGAGCTGGAACAGTCCAGTGCGCCGCTTCCGGCTCATGCGAATACAACGGCATCAACAACTGAGGAGAAGCCGTCATCAGGGGTGGAGAAGCTTGCAGGGCGCGCATACCAGCTTACCGCAGGCTTTGATGCCGATATACCTGCAGCGGAGGCTGTACGAAGGATGGGCTGGACGCTCAAACCAGAAGCATCATCATCACAAACACTAGAGCTGGATACGATAGCGAGATCGGTAAAGCATCCAACTCTTGGACCTACCATGGATGAGGGCATTAGGCAGTATCAAGACCTTATCAACCTCTCCCCTAAAGACCTCCGCCTCCTTAACTGGCACCATGCGAATCTGGAGTACGCGAATGCCGTCAGTGTGAACCAGCTAAGTCTTAGTGGCTGGGATCAGGATATCGGTAACGAATTTGAAGGCGAACATACGCAGATTATTGGCGGTTACCAGCAAGTGCCTCGCGGACTATGGCATTGTCCGACCAAGCTGGATGTACGATTCAACTCAGCGGTGAAATCTATACATTATAATATGCGGGAGAGCGTCGTCGGCAAGGCAGTGAAAGTGGCATGTCATAATGGCGAGGTATTCGAGGCAGATGAGGTGGTTTTGACGACACCCCTTGGTGTGCTCAAATCGGGAGCTATTTCATTCAATCCGCCATTACCTAGCTGGAAAAACGAGGTCATCGAGCGCATGGGTTTTGGGCTGCTCAACAAGGTTTGACTGTTTTCAGCTTGCTCGATCATAGCTTGCTGACAAGGAATAGGTCATATTAGTCTACGAGGAAGCCTTCTGGGAGCCACATCGAGACATGTTCGGCCTGCTAAATGAAGCTGAGCGTCAAGACAGTCTCGACACGAAGGATTATGCCTCGCGCAGAGGAAGATTCTACCTCTTCTGGAACTGTATCAAAACAAGCGGTCGGCCGACGCTCGTAGCCCTCATGGCAGGCGATGCAGCACACTATGCTGAAGCGAGTACCGATGAACACCTGGTTCAGGAGGTCACCTCTCGTTTGACCAAGATGTTCTCACCCAAGCCCGTCCCGCTGCCCTCCGAGACCATTGTTACTCGGTGGAGCAAAGATCCCTATGCCCGCGGCAGCTATTCTTATGTCGGACCAACTACACTGGCAGGCGACTACGATGTCATGGCTAAGCCCCATGGACTTCTACACTTCGCAGGCGAGGCGACGTGCGGTACACACCCAGCAACTGTCCACGGCGCATACCTCTCCGGCCTCCGCGCAGCAGCAGAAGTCGTCGAAAGTATGATCGGCCCCATCGAAGTTCCCACCCCTCTAGTCGAAAAGGTCGAAAAGAAACCCATCAAAACTGACCGTTCCTCCACCCCCATCACCCTTGCCGCCAAACACAAGCTCGACTCCACGGACTCTACACCCCCTTCTTCTTCCCAAGATGGCGGCCGCAATGCCGCCCGCAAGCCCGGCCGGGACGAAGCGTACGAAGCCAGCATCATCGGGGCCATCCTTAACGAGATTGGCGAACGCCCCATCAAGCCCGGTCGTAGCACCGGCGTGAACCCTTTCCTCCTCTTCACAAAGGATAACTGGTACGCCTGTAAGGAAGAGTGCGACCAGAAGCGACAAGCCGCAACCGGCGACCCCAACGCCAAGGCCAGCAAGACCGAGATTCGCAGCGCCATAGGTCTGAAGTGGCGCACTGCGAGCGAGGAGGTGAAGAAGCCCTATCTAGAGCAGACGAGTATGGCCAAAGAAGATGCAGCAGCCATGGCGAAACAGTTCAAGGAGAGTGTGGAGCGGTGGGATAGAGAGGCGGAGAGGATCAGGAAGGAGTTTGTTGAGAAGAATCCTCCGCCGGATGGGGATGTCGCGTTGTATGAGGGGAGGACGGCGATTGAGGTTGGGGGTGGGAAGAGGTTGAGGAGAGGTTAGGCGCTTCGGTAGCGGGCGGGGGACGGGTGATGGGATTGTTTTGGCGTTTTGGTTTTTGGGGTTGGTGGGATCTTTTTTTGTTATTTATGTGTGCGAGTATTGTGGTATGGAGATGATGGAGTGTGGTTTTCGTTCTTTCTGCATACCCTGGTGTTTTGGGGGTCGTACGCGTCTTTTGTCCTGGGCTTTCACTTATTCGAAGCGTTGGTCATGTAGGACTGTGAAGGGCGTACGGGAGAGATATGGACGAGCGTGAGAGCAATGAATGGAAGGGTGTTATTCCGCTAGATGTAATCAAAAGTCGTCGTGGACCAGACTTAATTGGAAGTGAGGTCTACAGTGGGAGGTCCCGCTCTGATATATTTCAAAGTACAAAAGGTTTCGCGAATATTTCACATCGAGCACAACATATCCAAATCAACAGCAATTGGAATTCTGATAAACGCTGCTATTAGGCCGGCAGACCAACCGCCGCCCGTCAAAGAGCCTAGGCACAGGCCGAGGATGATGAGCCCAGGCAGACCCAATTCACTCTATCATGAAAAAGAATACGCAGTCAGCCCCACGAAGCCTTCAAAAAAGGATTCATCTCTGCCCGCCTGTCAAAAAAGGGAAAATCGAGCGGACCCAGTCCGCGCCAGAGTCCCCTACCCCATCTACGCCTTTTATGCCCAAATGAACGCCTACCGCTCTCCGCCAACGAAAAAAATAAAGCCGAAAAGTACAGTAGAAGAAGCGTGCTCCCAAGTTAACTCCATACTCAGGAGAACTTCCACCGATTGCCGCAGTTCATGCACTCGCAGAAGGTCGTCATCGGTTCGTCGGCACTTCTCGTCTGGGCCTGGCTATAGCTGACCTTCTTCTGCTTGCACTTTCCGCACTCGAATTCCTTGGAGATGCTCTTTTCTACCTGTGCGACCATAGCCTCGTTCATGTTCTCCTTCTCCAGACGCTCGTCTTCCTTGCGCCGCGAGTCGGACTTCATCTCGTCGTGGGTCATCGTCACAAAGCGGTTGGGCGGGATGTCGCCAGAGAGTACGCGCCGACGGAGTTGCTGGTTAGATTTGTTTTTGAGGTTCTGGAAGAGAGACCGGATTTTTGCGCGGTAGGCGGCGTTGTCTTCGGAGCCGGCATTTGCCCAGGCGGCGTATTCCACCTCCTTGGCTACCGTGAGGATCTCGTCGGGCACTTTTTACGATCATATTAGTTTCTCGTTAAGGTTTGGTAGGCAAGAAGGCTACACTCACGATCCTCAGACATGAACGCCAAGCCATTGTACATGAGCTTGATGCATCCATCGCGCGCTTGTATGCCATACACCTGCCACTTGACACCGTCCGTCTGGTCATTCCTCTTCGCAGGATCCACATGATGCTTCCTCTTCGCGCCCGGCGCGGGCGACGCCGTTCCCGACGGAGGCGCACTCGACGACGCCGCGCTGGCAACGGGCTTCGGAGTCCCCGCGCCTGACGCCCCCGTACCCGAAACCGCCGCCTTCCTCTTCGCCCGATTCACCTCCTCTTTCCACTTCGTCACCATCGTGTTGGCCAGGTCGCGGACCGCGGGGTCCCGGTGCTTGCCTAGGCGATTCACAATCATGCCGATTTTGGTGCCGCGGAGCAGTTCCTCGGTGGGGCGCACGCCATCTTTCAGGTCCGAGAGGAGTTTGAGGAGCGAGGAGGCGGGTTCGTCTTCGGCGACGGCTTTGCTGATGGCTTTGCCGCGGAGGAGGACTTCTTTGGCGTCCATGGCGGAGAGAGAGAGAGAGGTGGTCGGTTCGGTTTTACACGGTTTGATGTGTTGACGTGCGGGAAGTGAGAGAAGCGGTGGCGCACACTTGGGACCTGGCGAGTTGAGGTCAAGCGATCGGGCAGGAGTTGGAGAACTGGAGATGCTCCTTTGCAGGTTGGCCGTGGGTGATATGAAAGAGGTCGCTCGAGCAAGTTGCCAGATGCGGTCCTGGATGCCAAGACCTCGCTAGCGCGGAAGTAGGGTGGTCAGAGCTTTGGTGGAGTTCCTACCGCCGATGTGCGACTTCACGTCCAGCAACAAACCGACACGAACAAACTACGAACGTATACGGAGGAAGACCTATACCACACCACAACCGACGAATAGATTAATATGACGGAAAATATCCCCCCTTCCAACGGAGTCAACAGTGCGGCTCCAGATGCATCGCGCGGTCTGCCGTACTACGAGAAACTCCGGCGCGACCTCCGCGAATCCCTACATAAGAAGAGGCAAATAGATGCAGCTCTGGTGCGTATTTCCGGCCATCAGTCCTGCTGAAGTCACATTCACTTACATCACGCGCAGGCACAAATCGAGGAAACCATCCTCGCGCGCGAAACCGCCTACCTCGAAGAGACAGCAGCAGGCAACATCATCAAAGGCTTCGACAACTACATCAAAGGCACGACGGCAACGACGAATGCAAGCGGGCAGGGTACGGCGACGCGTCGGAAAGCCGTCATCAGTGACCATGATAGGATTTTCAGTCGTAGTTCGATGAGCTTGAAGGTATGACGCCTGCATGATGTTTCACGGAGAAGTTCCACGGGCTGATTGCTTGTGATAGGACTCCTTAAACGGAACTCCGCAAACGACTCCCTCCACTGCAACAACGCCCGCGTCATCGTTTCCGACGAGGGAGAATAGCATGTCTGCGACGAATCCGCTAACGGTTGGGATGGGCAGCGTTAATAAGAAGAAGAAGAAGGCAGCGGATGATGATGATTCGGAGAGTCAGCCGAGTAAACGTGGGAAGATTACGTATGGGAGGAGTTCTGAGAATCTTCGCTAGAGACGGAATCTGGCTGTCCCCCCACTCTGTGTAGGGATGAAAGGAACCACAATAGCTTGATCCCTCTCCACCGATCTCAATGGCTGGCCTGAAAAAGTGCCTGGCGGCGCATTTCCTAGGCGACACTCGAGAGCCGATCCGTCAGAATCCTGATCCGAGACTCTCCTGCCGTCGAACAGCGGATCTCAGGAAGTAACGCGAGTTGGGCATGCTTTGTCGGGAGGATTTCACATCAGTTGCGATACGGAAGTAGGCTTGCCTGGGTGTTATCATGAGACATAAGCTAACCAGCATTGTTAGGTCAGTCCCTAAATGGAAACTGCGCGCCCATGGGTGTATGCAATGAGTAGCATCGGCTCGATACCATAGGAGTCGCTCCTGGGCCAAATTGCTATTCCTTTCGGCCTAACCGGCTCACACTACCGCGACATGGGAGTATGCTCGGGCCGTATGTACCATAAGCGCAAACTGGTGGTATGCGAGTTCTTAAAATTCGAATCCCATGCGCAGCGTATCGGAGCGCTTTCAACACCACCTTTCCCTTGGCCGCACACGGCACGTCTTCTAAATCACGAATGGGATCATGGTGGAACTGTCAGCAATGCATTTGCTTTTGCACATCACAGATCGCGACGATTGAAGAGTAACTTCGAACAACCTCGCCACCTCAATTCTAGCAACTTCAACTCCACCTTCAATAGGCAACCCCTACCTTCTGGCATAGAAGGAAAAAGATCCAGATACAGCCATTCCACAAAGTCCGCAACTTACTACCCACTCCATACGAGCTGACCGTGACCGCAAACCGGCGCTGTGAGTGGCTGTACTTCAGCATCTCGATATTCCACCTTTCACGAGTCATCTTTCTCTCCAGAACTTTCTCAAAGAGAAGGCAGTGATATGCAGCCTGATTCGCACCCATCCCGACATTGGGCCGCAATGGCATGAACGCATCCCCGACAATGAAAACCTTACCGCCGAAAAAGAGGGCATTTGAAGAAGCCGCATCGTAAATCTCGGTCACGAAAGGTGCTGAACTCTTCTGGATGATATCCGCTATACCTTCCGGTAACGTTGCAGTTGCAATCGCTTTTCGCTTTTCCCAGACTTCCGACCGCAGGAGACAACGTGGTACGGTACCGTTGTGCAAGTTTTCCATCTATGTCAGTCCTGACTTCGACATACTCTGAAGAGTTCTCGGGGATGGTTGTACCAAATCCAATCGTCGTCGACCATGTTCTCCGCCACGGTTCCTCGCCATGCCACATAGCCAGCATACTGACGCTTGACTTCCGGCATCAATCTCTGGCGCAGTGGAGAATTAGACCCATCCGCTACAATAACAATATCTACCGTCAGAGCTGCTTCCCTCTCGCTCATCAGATCGGTATATTGAACAATCACCTCGTCCCCCAAGTCTTTAAGGTCCGTGACCAGTGCTCCGTTCTTGAAGAGGGCACTTCCACTACTCCTGCTACTTTGGGGAGGGACCTCCGGCACCGCCTTACTCGTCATCCCGTCGAAATTCGCTCGCAGAATACTGACGAGAAGCCCCCAGCTCGTCGTCTCTATAGGCCTTCCCAGCAGACCAGCTTGCCTTTCCCTCCTGGTTGATTGTCCTAGGAGTCAAGCAGCTGATGGTTTGGGGATGCTTCACTTGATCGCATTTATCGAGGAAAGCAAGCATATCGAGACCTTCCTTGACGCCTGCGTCATAACCTCGGCAGATGGGTGAGGTGTCTTTCTCTAAGATGGTGACATTGAAGCCATGGTGTTTTAGGAGGATGCCGTGGAGGAGGCCGGAAATGGAGCCGCCGATCTAGATAGGTGTGAGTGGGTACTATTGGTGGATGAGGGTATGAACGTACGATCACGGCTGTTTGGGAATATGTCATTTCGAAGACTGCTTGGCAGATACGGCATTTGACATGTAAAACTACGTCTTTGTACTCTGCAAATGCTTGAGTACGACATCTATGAAGGATTCTTCTCTGCTTGTGGATGTGGCTATGTGCTGTGCCGCAACTAACATAACTTCCATGGCCACGCGGCTGACGCCGGTATGAGGCAAAACCACTCTGGAAATTAGATCGCAACCAACTGCGATGTCTTTTAAAGCTATGGGGCCTCACTGTCCTATGTATCTAGCCGATGTTGAATTTGGGAGGCACCCAATGGTGATGGTGGCCATCACCAACGGACGCCCTGATGAAACCTCCGCCTCTGTCGACAGATGGGGTAATATTATTAATTAGTAGGCAATGTGTCTTCATTTTAGAGACGGAGTTGAGCAGTCGTACAACTCATGTAATTCGTTATCATCGTCACAGCCGCCATACATGCAACGGATCAGCTTTTTTGAGTATGCTTCATCGCATGTATATCTTTTGGACTCGCGACTTTCCAGAGCAACGCTAAACATGCGGCGTCCGCTGGGGAATTTTTGGAACATCATTCCAGACACTGATTTTTCATTCTGATGACTAGCGAAAGGTAATCGTAGAGAAAGAGAGATAGCAACGGGGATGCGGGTTTTTATAGCATGACATACGACGTGGTATCACTTGATCATGGTTCAACAGTCACAATATGGAAGTCAAATGATGATAAGGATATGGGTACCATTTTCGATGTCGTGTTCCGCCGGCGTTTCCTGAGAAATTTTACTGGGTGGCTGACCCATATGATATGCACAAGACTCTTTTTAAGAGAACATCACCAGCCAATTTCCAATTTTTCGATGTTTGATGTATGCGGATGAGTGATCGTAGAGTTTTGGAAGGAGGAGCGCGCTTATGATAACACTGCGTTATGTTTGAGCTTGACTTTAACCCTTGGGGATGGATTAAAATTCAGTACGCTATTTTCCAGTATCGCCCTACTGGCCAAATGAAAATGGATACTGCACGGTCGGCGAGCACAAATGGGAGGTCAACACCATTGGGTTGAATTTTGGCCGTTGGGAACATTTTATGGAGGTCAATTTGAATGTACGGTAGAGAAGCAAGTTACCTAGAGACTTGCGAGGTTTATATATTCCGCTAGTCACCTAGGACCTTCATCACTGTATCATTATCATCACCATTATCATCATTATTACCGATGTGTGGCTTCGACTAAAAGACAACGTGTTACTCCAAAATTCACATAGCGTGCTCAGCACTCTGTATACAATCTTTCCCTTTTTCTACAACATGCGAGCCTTTGGCGCACGTTTTTATTGAAACCAATTCACAGAAGTGTCAAGATAATATAGAAATCAAGTCCCCTAACGACGCAATCTGTGCATTATATATCGTTTCAGTATGTCAGCAATGACGAGGCTTACCAGTAGTATTATCTCTACGCTCCCGTGGCGACCAAACAAAGCTAGACCACTAAAATAGAGGTTCAATCAAGCCCATTGCTTCATCGAATAGAAGTGAACCCAGACGCATGTTGGAAGAAGGTTGTACTGACAGGAAATCTGTTCATTTACTCCGCAGCGGATCTACGAATGACGGTAAATGTCATCATCACCATGATTACACAGATAGGAGCAAAACCCAACAATGCTTGGTCCGTATGATGACTGGAGTGGACCTCGGGGCACGACTCCATGGCCATTTCTCGACTTCCTTTAGAATCTCCTCCACGGAGGGGTGTAGTAAGAAGAGAACAGAGCAGGTGAACGAGTATTATATACCCCTCTGGGGACTGGCAAAGCCCACACCTACACAAGCGAGGATCAAAAGACATTAATTTGGAGACAATAGTGGTTGCAATCATCATCAGCGCTATCCCGAGCTGACGGGGAAATAAGAGTCACAATGTTCCTGTAGGAGAGAAAGAGCACATACAATCTCGAAGTCATCGTTTTAAGAACATCGATGTGAATATACACAGTTGAAGCTTCTAAGAGCCTGAAGTGCAGAGGCCGAATGCTTAGCAGCGGGAAAGGGTTTTATATCCTAATTTCGCAACTTCGCTCTTTTAAGGGCGCTCGCTGGCTTTTTCAAATAACTTGCAGAACATGAGCCCACTCAAAACGGTTGAATCATTTAGTGATGATGAACGGCATCTTGAAATCAAGAAAACGCCTATCGAAGGGGCGGCCTGGCGTAGTATGCCACATCAGTGCCGCTGGAGGCTTTTGACAACATGCGCACTGTGCGGTTGGGGTTTTAGAAGTGAGGAATTCAAAATGTGAAGAACAAAGCGAGAGAGCAGTTAACAGGAAGCTGTAAGCCTTATATAAAAGCCGGCTAAGACCTAGAACCAATATAAGGAGGACATATGACGCCATGCTAATGATATTGGCGTCAAGGCTTCAACGAATTGAATTTTGAAGAACAAAGTTAATGAGTGAAAGGGAGGGAAGATTATCTGTGTGAGTTGGCCAATAGTAGCTGTAGCTATGTACAGAGAAGAGGTAGAGAGAAATGCTACTGATTTCTGACCTACAACCTTGCTCTCAAAGTATTGCTTTTCAGACCGAATGTCGTACCTTAAGGTAGCATCGGATCACTGCAGCCGAACACACACATTGGCGACACCAGTGGCTCTCACAAACCCTGCAGCTGAAAGAAGTAAGATTTCTTCACTACCGAAAACTGTGAACAGTGAAACGTCACTCTCCCTAATCGAAGTGAGCCTGTGGCCGCTTCGGCCCATTACGCAATCTATATAGCAGGCAAAACGGCGAACCCCACCTTTCCTAATTCTCCTCTCTTTCACGAGAACATAAGGGGAGTGGAAAGTGATTCTCTAAGAATGTCAAACTTTGTTTAGGAAAAGGAGGTCAACTCCGGCAATGGGTCATTATTGCACATTGTCACCCACCACGCGGCCACATGAAGGTCACACGAACAGTACTTTGAAGATAAAACACTTCATTCTCTAGTGTCTGAATTCGAATGAACTTTGGAGCGCACATGTGATGTTTTCGAAGAAGAGAAGAGTACATGGATAGAAAGTAGTACTGTCCCTCATGAGACTATAGTAGGAATTCTTCTAGGTGTGAAGTGAAGAAATAGGCATGCGCCGAAGACAACCCTGACGTATAGGGTTGCACACTAAGAATTTGGTGACGGTGATGGCTACACCGAGAGTTTTGCTTCTACACGAAATATGCCTGGTCTCCATATTAATGCAAGGCCAAGGCCATGAAGTTACGAAGTTCTTTTGCGCTTTGGAGATGTTCATAAACACATGTACAATCATAATGCAATCGACAGTCTGAGTCGTGTGGGGAGCTGCAGATAGTTATAATTCAGACGGCAATTGTTGCGGCGCCAATGTGGCACAAGTTCCACCACGGATTCTCATCTCATGCCCAATGAGATAGGATGCGTGCATCCGACGGCTTGTTGCAGTGAGCCGATACAATACAGTCTCTAGGCCAGTATCTCAATGATGTGGCCACCCCATATCCCTCGAATCGCCACGCATTGATCCTCCAGGCTCGGGTGTCGCTGCTCCCCTCCACGCATCATCGTTGCTCTTCCTGCCTTGCACCGCGGATGTCTCTCTCACCGGGTTCTCATCCCCAGGCGCTTGTGTCTCGTGGTTCTTGAGTGAATTTGTGCGTCGTCCAAAATATATATCTTGTTCCTCGTCCATTATCGACTCATCCAAGGACGAGGAGGTAAACAATTAAGATGGTGTTGATGAACATGAGCGGTACTGGTGGTAATGATCAGCATGTCGTTCACAAGTCCGCGTCTGCCAAGCTGTTTTCTGCGCATCTCCTCTTCACTTTTCTGCTGATCAGCCTCCTCCCGCCTCCACCCGCTTTCAACTCTCCTGTCCTTTCCACGCTCCCCCGTTGTTCCTCTCTTCTGCTCTCTCCGCCTTCCATCCACGCCTCTCTTATGCAACCAAAGGAGGGAGACTTACTCCGCATCAACGTTCGCACACTAGAAACAAATTGCACCAATCTCGCCTTTACACTCGCATCGTCCCGCGGGGCGCCAAAGCCGGGGTCTGCGGCTGCGGAGGAGGTCCAGCCGATGCGGGCAAGGAAGCGGTCCTCGGAAAGAACGGCGATGGCGTTGATGAGGAGGATGGACACTGAAGAAGGTTGTTAGTGAAGCTTGGGGTTGATGTGAGGGTGGCAGAGGCTAGTGGTGATCATGCAGGAGGGGAAGAGAGGTTATCGGGATGATGGATGCTTGTAGGAGCATTCCAACCATGGAGTGTAGGCAGGCTTCAGAGCTGCCAACGTACCATAAAGAAGACCACCGAGACCGAAGAAGACCATTCTCAAGAAGGTAGATGATGCGCTGCTAGAGACCGGATTCTTGAGGGCAGAATTGGCTAGGGGAAAGCGAAGGTAGTGCTGAACTGCGGATTTGCGATTGACGTCGAGCGGCCAGTTGTTCGATATCCATGCTGATCAATGATCTCGAAGACGCCAAGAACGCACGTGCAGCTAAGTAGAGCCTCCCACCTCAACCGACCAACTGCAAGCTTCTATTAACTCAATCGCAACGACCACCCTCAGGCTCTCACAGAATAAAGTTCATTTCCGATTTCTTTCTATCCCAAAGATGTGGTCACACCCCCACCTTGTTTCACTGCTTTCTTGGAGGCTGGAGCCGCGCATCTCACATCCAAAACCTGAAACGGATCCCAACTCCCATGTTGCAAGGATGCAGCCATCGGGTTCTAGATGCCCATCGCCCGTCTATCACTACCGTTCATAAACGCTGATCCGCCCTGCACGAAACCTTGGTTCCTTTTCCTTAAAGTCTCTTCTATTCTTCTCAACCTCTGCCCTCCACCGTCTTTCCGTGAACTTCTACGATATGGTGACTCGGTGGTTCGTGTTGCGATATCGACACTGCTCAATGCGGAAGTAGCGACAGGGGTCTGACTGAAATCTCACGCCACCTTTCGAGGTTCGATAAAACGAACGATATCCCCGACGATTCTCTGTCCATGAAACAAACGGAGCGGTCACAGCAAAAGTCTCAATTCAGAGGAGAATATGGCCCACGATGACAGCCGATAGGAATTCTGGGATGCAGCGACCAGATCGGACTTCTTGCATCACGGCCGTTACTTGTCCCTACGAATGAGGCTGACAGGCGTTTCCTTACCCATAATCAGCAAGATTGCAGCATGATTGAAGAGCTGAAAAGAAGGGTACCTGAGACCAATGGCCCGATCTCTCCGATCTTTCGCCATAGTGGAACATTCCCATGACTTCCACGCTTCCCAGGCGGCTAGGAGTATGACCATATGCTTCAGGACAGGCTCTTCTTTCTCAAGCAATCCCGGGAGTCTTCTCTCCTAGTTTCAAGGCATCTCTGGACCCAGAATGGAGTTTGAAAACGCTAGACTTCCGGCAAAAGGCCGTACGGTGGGACAAGCTCGTTGAGCCAAACGAAAGAGAAGGAAGGCAAAAGGAGGATTCTCATCGAGGGGATGGTCCGCGTAATTGGAAAGAGGCTTGAACGTGCCCATCATGATGTGGGGTTTTGAGAGAATTGGAATGAGGAAATGGCATAGTGTCGTCGAAAAATGATGTTGGCGTGAATGCGGAGGGCCGGAACGAACGGTGCACCCAAACCATACTCCTGCCGGTGTGGAACTGAGCCGAGTCCATCCCGAGGGATCCAATGTGTCCATTGTAGCAATTCCCACTCACAGTGGACGGTGCTCACTGGAAAAGTACCATCTTCAGTAAGAGAAGGAATTGGGGTGTGATGGGAAGTGAGAGGCGATTTGCATGCTATACTAACGCCTGTACCAGATGGACGAGTTCTGCGGGTCTATTGTTCCCACTCTTGATCGATTGTATTCCGATGTCTCAAGTCCGTTGGAGCTCCGCGATCAACGTTTCTACACCGAAGGCATCGGCGTCTTGCAGTTCCCAATTGCATTCTAAAATGGTCGCTCCTTCTGATATCCACCTCACGGCTTGGATATCGAAGCCGGAAAATGAAGCCGATACAACATACATTGAATGCATTGAAGGATACACCAACACCCCAAAGAGAGCTTCCGCAGATGACGATTTCAGCGACCATTTCAGTCACAGAATTACTTTCGCAGTATGAGAAGAAGAAGAGAGGCGCGGGTCACGATGAGTTGAGAAGATGGCCCACGGCAAAGTTGATCTGGAAATCGGGCAACACCACGCTGCCGGAGGATATTCCACTCTTGGACATTTCCGGCGTACACACTCGCTTTTCAAGGGACCAGCAAGTTGGCAGTCACAGGTGCGGCTCACCTGATTCCGTCCCAGCTGCCTCGTACGGGCCTAGTAGTGAGAATTGGCTGCGATTTCAGAGTTTGCTACCCAGGGCGAATATGGGACGGGACAGCCCAGGAGCATGGTTGCGAACCCCTTAGTCACGTCTCCGTCTCGATATCTCCTCGGGATTGAAACCGCTCCGACGAACTCAGCACGCGCTCTTGCTGGCTGCTTTTCCTTTCTGCATTGACCAATTCGGGAATTTTGCCTCCACTCGGGAGATGGGATAACAGCGACCTGGCAGGAGCACAATTCCTTGACCTGCTGTCGGACAAGTTTACCTCTGTTCGAAAAATGGAATCTGTTCATCTCTGAGTTTGGCGCACGGGCCATGAACGGCTCCTCCAACTGCCCGACGAAGCCGCGATATCCACGGTAAATCTTTCCAAGAATTGGGTTCCCTGCCTAATCTGAAACAATGGCTCAGCAACCCGCCGAGACGGCTGAACTCGGCCACCAGCACGGATGCGCACGGATGCCCCAGTTGACGGTAATGAAGCAAGCTTTCATGAGATGATTTCAACCACCGCCATCATGGGACCCTAGGATGTATTTTGTACGAACCTTGGAAGGGAAGGATGGCAATGGCCACCAGTCTGGGGAGAAGTCGATGCATCAGTCCGAGCCCGAGGGTTTGTGAAGCCCCACGAAGAGTTCACCGCAGCCATACCAACCCATGTCCGGGTCTGCTTCATCAACAGAAAACAGCGCATTATTGGCACTGAGCATGACATTGAAGGGTGGAAGATTCTTGCAGTCATGCGGCAGGTAGTCCACGCCTGGAGCACGTGAATAACCATCCGCACTGCAGACTTCCAATCCGTCAAAATTGGGCTCCGAAGACGCTCAGGAAAGTTTGCAACGTCGAGCTGGAATACCACCGTACCGGGAAGGGGCGAAACGAAATCAGCTGGTTCTTCACCGCAGTTTGCATTTTATTACCTTCTGGACCAATGCGACTTACCCTCGGCGGCCGTACCACGACATTCTTGAGGATACGTCCACAACATTATTGTGGCTCATGCTTCGTGGACTGGTTGAAGTCCCTTTATGGTTGGGGTGTGGTCATGGGAGGGGGGAGAGGTCGGCGACCAGAAGCCTCATTTTATTGGCACGGTTAGCTAGCTCCCGCAGCTTAGCGCAACGCCCCTGGATGCGACTCATGGTGCCTGCTTTCGAATGGCAGGGCGAAAGGCAGTGTGACAGACGTGAATTTGTGCATGCAGCAGCTGCGCAATTCGTCTTGCGGATGCATCCCTATGCCGCCTCTGCAATTGTGACTATCGGTCACCGCCAAGTGCCAGCAAGACACGACACGATATTGGATTCTGATTCCCAAAGCGTAACTTGCTCGTTCGGGGACTTTTCATGATCAGACGCAATGTCGATTGGATCTACGATGATGGCGCGCTGGGCGGATTATCTGGACAAATACAAGGATCCGGCTCCATGTGCTGCATGCATTTCACTTCATGCAGCAAATCAGCGTCGCTCATATGGGCATGATATTGGGTGATTTCGAGCTTATATCATGCAGAATTGACCGGAACGTCCTCATCTGCACGTACAACGATTGTTGGATATGGTAGAGAGAGAAGGAATGAGACCTTGCAGCTTGCGAAATCAGAAACGGAGAAATCGCGGCACAGCAACAGCAACGGAGAGTCTACGGAGCGTCCACGTTTTTTTACGAGATTATGGATGGAGGCCGCCTGTAAGGTGCCATCGATTTCGACTCTTTAGCAGCTTGACCAGCATACAAAATATCGAAGCCATGCCGTCAATGATTCTCTTCACAGTGCGGCGAAACGCTGAGGGTGAACAACGTGGTACACCTGGGCAGGCGTTCGTCTCGCTCGTCTCGCTCAGATCCTTGGGTTTCGTTCATGCCGTACGTCAGGTTTTGGTCGCTCTCTGGAGGGAATGACGGTCGACAATTCTCCTGATACCGATAATGTGCCAAGCGAGCCATCCTACCGGAAAGTTCAAAGTCACACACCTACTGTACTGACCGGCCGAAAAAGGGTTTCCCTATTCGCAGGATACCAGAGAACGGCGGGCACGAAATAATGATCACAATAATGTCACAAGCTCATGCGGTTCGCTTTTTAGTCACTATGCAGGGTCTGGTAGTCGGCGGCGCATGAGGCATGAGACGGTTATCATCCTCCAGCGGCCGGGCGGAAGGGTGGTTGATGTGGAAGCCAAATCACTTGATCCAAATTTCCCCACGCCCACTCCGACACCAAGACTCACGGCGCCTGGTTTTGGGCCATGCTTGCCTTGTAACAGAGCAAAGCAACGGGAAGCAAGTGGCACAACAGTGGGTGCCAATTGTCCTTTGCAGTGGGTGGAAAGGGCTCTGGGTCTCGAGTATGCAGTCTGACTATTTGTCGACTAGAGGTGAAAGCACATGCACAGAAATGTTTGCACTGTGCACCTCCGTACACCATTTCGAAAGGGTTAGTTGGGATTTCAAGGCACGATGGGGCTTGCAGATGCAATGCAGTGTCTTTTGGCCGTTGAGCCGCCACTCACAGCGGCCAGCGCGCAAGCCAGGTTGCAGTTGTCGCGGGCCGGTTTCTTGTGACGGTGGATTCGCGCTTACGAGCACAACGGCGAACAACAAGTCACCCACAAAAGAGCCTGCCTTGGACGCAACGAACTTGAAGGAGCTCGGAACCGGAGTATCTGCTTCTTGTTCCCTTCCTCACAGTCAGTGCCTCCGGCGATAAAACCCACGATGAAGCGCTTCTTCTTTGGGGTGGAGTTGGAGAAATACTGTGAAGTGTAAAGACGCTCGGTCCATGTGCTAAAGCGTCATCATGCATGGCTTCGTATCCAATGGCACGGATCGATGTCGTCAACTTTGCGCTCGCAGCCCTCACAACGCTGACAACAGCCCACCCTTTCGCGCCTTTGTGAGACCGACTTCGCTCCCCAACACCATCGGCAGCGGCTTGGCTCTCATCATCGTGTATTCCACAGTATTGCTGGCCCGGCTTCGTTGTCCTCCATCGCTGCAAGGCTGCGGGCCCTGCATCAGCCAAGAGGCGGCAATTCCTGAACCCCATGGCCACCCAGCTTTTTTATTATACAGTCCGCACAGTTATCAGAAGGCCACGCTCTGCCGCAGAATGATTGCAATAGCGACCAGGGTTTCGGTGCAGGCCTGCCCGATGGCGGAATTCCACCTCTTCTGCCCACTCACCCTTTCAGCAGCTGGACAGCTCCCATTGGGTGGTCTAAGACGGTTTCCATCAACTGTTTTTGCACGCTATCAAATCACAAGGTGTTTCTCTGCCGAGCGCACCGGGGCAGCAACGGGCCAGGGGAAACTGCAGGAGTGTGGATTTTAGGGCTTGACCAGATTGCCTAAAAGGAACATGGACGGCGATCAAACGCTTGCCTCACTCTGCGCAGCGGCCAATAGGCAACGGAGAAGGCAGAGGTACGGAACGTCGAGGTACCATGTCTCTGTGCAGTCTCAAGACGTGCTGCGTACTCGTCGGGACACAGGAGTCTGTACTGTGTACACAAGTTCCCGACGGATTGAACCCGGCGCGATATAGGGGCGGCACCGCTCGTGTGAAGATTATGTCACGACGCTGCTTGTGAAGGAGTGCAGGTCCTTCCTCTCGGGGCGACTCGTGCTTGGTGCAAGACGAGTGCGATGAGTGCATGTGCCCGGCAGCCAACGTGGAGAGCAACCAGTTCGCAGGCAAGGAAGGCCGAGGATGCGGCCGAAGTACGGAGTACTGTGGTACTCAGATGTGTGCACTCGATGTGTGTGCAGAATGGATTGCAGAATGCGATGCTGCCCGTTGCGGGTGGCGGATTGCCAGAAGGGGAATTGCCAAGTGCCGAAACAAGGACGTCGCAGCAACTTGCTCCCGCCTCCACTGCGCCGTCATCCGTCTGTGCTGACAGCCAAGCAGCCTGCAGAAGTGTCTCCGCTTCATCACACTAACTGCTCGATCTCGCACACCACCAGCATCGAAGAGAACATGCCGTGGAAAGGCCGCTCATTTTGGGCCTTTTTCTTCACACCGTATGTCGATATCACGGTTCTGCTTTGTCGGCCGTGACGTGGCCCGCGCTTGGGGGAGAGAGCCAGTCTTTGCCCTCACACGCCGGCCGCATCTCAACAGAAAGGTGGATGCTCCTCCCCCACAGATGCTCCCCCTAAACAAGTTTATTACAGTGAGGATGCCCCTAAATTCCGGTCCTCCAGGGGCCGTGTCAAGTTGCAGGGGGGCTTGCCAAGTTGCGGCGCTTTCAAGATGGACGGCCGTGCCCACTGCTGCCCATCGCTACCCCCCATTGCCCCTGCCAGCAAGTTGCAAGGTTGTGCGCGGGCCATTTTCTTGGCGCTGGTCAGGGTCGCCCGCTAGCCCGCTATCTTCATGTGGCTTACTGTACTAACCTGGGCCCCCTGCTCACTCTCCCGGTCTTGGCCCAGCAGCCTATGATGAATGCTACGACGTCAAAACCCCAGCAACTCGAGTTTATCAACCGCTTCCTCCTCTCACCCAGTTGCTGCCACGCTGATCGACTCTCTCCACCGCATCCCACAGTATCCTTCCTGCACTCACCAAGCATACACTCAATCCACAACCGCCCGCAATATTCCCTACTCACCTCTCTCCACTCCTCGCCTACCTCGTCGCTATTTACTTGTGATATCTCCCACGGCCAAATCCACACTCCTTTCACTCCCCGCCCGCTTTTCTCGTTTTAGTCGGGCTCTAGCTTCGTTCGTTTGATTGTTATTCGCCGAGGATCCATCAGAGTGCTCCCGCTCATAACCCGGTACACACCACACCTGTGTGGGCGCCCTGAGCCAATTGGCAGCCCTGGAGCCTCCTCCCCACACGCTTGCTCCTGACTTGAAACGCTCGAGCACCTGCCTCTCCGTCACTCGCAACCGTCGCCCGCCCACCATCCGAAGCCGCATTTCCTTTCTCGCTGGTCCACCGCCACGGGCCCACGGCTCCCTTGTCGGCCCTGGATTTTCGATCGACATCTCTCACCCGTTCATCACTACTCCATCGGGTCCCTCCCCCAGACGGCCTGTCCCCAGCTTGTCAGTTTGAGATTCAAAAGGCTCGCAGATCCCACGCCTACCTCCCACCGATCGCCTATCCCCACGTTCCCCAACCCTCGAACTGACTGTCTCGCTCGTTGGACTCCGTGAACGTCGTGGCCCATCCGAGAGCGTTCCCTACTCTCAAAGTACTTGTACCTCGTTGGACCTTTCAGTCCGAAACGGATTCGCCTTCCGCCTCGACTTCCTCACCGATATGGCAATGGCTGTCGACAATCGCCAGCAGTCCCAGCTAAACGCCATGGGCTACGACTCTCTCCGCTACTCGCAACCGCACTTCACGAACCCCTGGGTGTCGGCATCGACGACAAGCTCGCATCCGTTGTACTCGACGGCTGTTGCGCCGAATCCATCTGCTGGCCTCAACAGTCACCCTGTCGCCCACGCCCACCAAGTGCAGCGGCCCACTAGCATCGCACTCCCTTATCATGGCCTCTCCGTAACAGCGCCTCCCATGGGATCAGGTATTGTGCTCGCGGAGGGATCAGTCGTGTCAGATAGCTTACTCGATGCCTCGCAAGATCTCCTCTCGCGGAGTTACACGGGCGCATACGCACCTGCCACCACTTCGGCCTCGAATTCGTATGCTCCCACTTCGGCCCCATACTCGCATGTCGACTACGGGACCAGCTCACGGGATCCCTACGTCTACCCTCAGGACACTGGCCGTCGCTCTTCTCACCCGTTAGTACCCTCGCCACCGCTCTATGACGACGTTATGGACACGCAAAGACAACGCCAGAGCTCATTAGTTGACGTTTCCAGAATGAACCAAACCCACCGCGACAGCTTCAGCGACGCCCTCGATGCGAGTCGAGGCATGGTGTCCCTGAGCCAAGCAGATATCACCCCCAGGAATATCTATGGCACGGGATCCGCCCGCGGCTCCGCCGACTCGTACGGCTTCCCTTCGACCCACTCGGCACACTCATCCATCTCCTCAGCCAGCTACAACCCGTCGTATTACGGCGGGGAAGGCTCTGTGACCGACTACAGCTCTGCATCCGAGTCCGTAGACCTGAACCGCACCCTGTCCCGTCCCAATGCGGTCATGAGCACCAGTCTTCCGCCTGCGCCTGCCTCAATGATGAGCCAGTTCAGCTCCAAAGTCTCGTCTAGCACGCAGAAGAAACATAAGTGCAAGGTTTGCGACAAGCGGTTCACGCGCCCTAGCTCGTTGCAAACGCACATCTACAGTCATACCGGAGAGAAGCGTAAGTCGCGTAACCCTCGGTAACGGTCGCCTATTGACTTTGAAAACAGCATTTGCTTGCGAAGTAAAGGGCTGCGGCCGCTGCTTCTCGGTGGTATCCAACCTGAGGCGGCACCAAAAAGTCCACAGAGGGGAGAACATGAAAGACCACCCTTCGCCAGATGATGAAAAGTCGGTCGAGCAGTACTGAGCGCTCCTGAAAACTCTCTGGAGTCGGCATTTCAGCGTTTTCGGTTCTCCGTTTATCCGCATTTAAGATATCCCCCGTGTTGCATGCATCGCCCGACACAGTTTTCTGGTTGATATGCTAGAAGTGCGATGTTCTGACGACGGCGATACGATTTCCTTCTTCCAGCCACTGTAGGCCGGGTTTCCTGTCGCCGCCCTTTTTCTGTCGATATCCACGGGCCGGCATGGTGTTTTGGAGTCCTTGGATGCGCTGGTACCCCCTTCACGGGCAGGGTTTGGTATGCCCATGTGTATCACTACGTTTGCTTTTGGATTGCCGTTTCTGTTTCCTGCATCTCGTTTCCTCGCAGTCTTGCTCTCACGCTTCTTCTCTTCAAGGGGTCCTTTTCCCATGGGCCCGGTTCACTCGCTCCACGCCACACGCATGGGCAGGAACATTCGTTATATGTCTTGTAATATTTTAGACGCTCGTTCGGGCCGCATGGGATTATGCTCCGATGTGAGCTCATGATCTTGTACAGTACAATACCCATTATAGAAGGAGCTGGAGACGCTTCCGAGAGTGAAGCGGACGGTTGGGATAGATGGTCATGGTCGCTCGTTTTCAAGGGACTACGAGGAGCTCCAAGGAGCGCAAGATGGCTACAGCTCTGAAGGGAAATGATAAAAGGCTCAGTATCACGATTCACCCTTTGCATCGTCTCGCTGTTCAATTCGGCCAAGCTTTCATTCCGGTCCACTTTCATGTCAACCTCACAGCACCTCACCTGCAATCAGCAACTCAAACGGCGTCCACTCTCATACGGCCAGCTCGACTGCTTTTGCACAGGAGCCACAGGCCAGAGACGGAGTTCACCGTTAATGGACCATGGGGAGAAGCGGTTAGGGACATGCAGGGCACAACAGCACCACCACCTTGACCCAACGGCTTCCGTCTCCTGCAAGGCTGCCAAAGCAAAGCAGCCCGAGTGGCAAAAATGCCCATCTGCCCGCTCCCCTAATACTATGTGCATAAAGCAGGAGCGCAGAGTGAATGCAGGCTGGTAGCGACCCCAAACAAGCACACTCCGTACGGCTTTACCAGTTTCCCGACGACATTCCCGGTTGGAAGCCCGACAACCAAGCCTCTGACGTCATAGTCTTCTTGGGTCCCCTGGCCCTGGCGTGGACCCTGAATGAGCAAACTCCCAGCCTGGCACGGTGCACCGGCACAAAAACTTGTTGGGAGCAACGTGAACGTGAACCGTGTGTGGATGTCCCGTGCGCGCGGGCCCCCCTCTCCACCCCACTCATAATCAATTCAAGTTCCTCTACCAGTTTCCGCGCCGGACTCTCTTTGAGGATAAATAATAGGGGAGAAATAAATTATGAGACCCCTAAACCGTTCACGGCAGGGGTGGAGGCCCTGATTGGGGCCGCGTGGGCTTCGACGTTACATTTTTCAATTTTCCGAGCGAGTTCTCTTTTGGGCTGCGGAAGCACGGTGCCGTGTTTCATGTTTGGTGCGAGGGGGATCAGGGATTCGGGAAGGGGGAAGGGGAAGCAGGGCAGCCAGTGGCCAGCGGTCAGCAGTCTGGAGGGGCTTGTGAGTGGTGGGAGGGGTGAGGGATGCTGGGGGCGTTCGGAAAGCGGTGTGCGGCGTGCCCCTCGTGGACAAAAAACGTTGGAGGGAGATTTCGAAGTGTTCGGCGAGGGCAACAAGGTTGGAGAAGTGGATATTGAACTACTCCGGGTGGAAAGCGGTGGGGTCGCCATACATAGTAGAGTTTGTACCTACCTACCTATCGACGGGAGCTTACTGTTAGGCAGGAACCGCAGGAATACCCAACTTCCCCAAGGACACTTTGTCGAAGTTTATTGATGCAGCGTCATTATTTCATCATCTTCGTCCGTCTACCACCGCAGGTCTGTTCCGCCGCCTTGTTGAAGGATTGAATCATCATGGAATTATGGCATTACCAGCTCTAACAGTACCCCATCCAAATCCCATTCCCATTCCCATCTCCCGCAGCAGCAGCAGCAGAAAGAAAAGAAGAGGACGAGGCGTGCGGCAGAATTCCGTTCATTCAGCGCACCCAAAACCGTTGAGAAAGGAGATGCCCATGCCCATGCCCATGCTCATGCTCAAATATCCAGGTATGCGAAGTTCTCAGCACGACGGATCCGTGTGTCCGTATTCGCCTGGGACGAAATAAGCACCGTTGGATGGAATCCGTGCATGAGGGGCGAGGGGCATCCAAGTTTCAAGGTTTTGGGGGTCAGGGCAGGTGGAGCCGAGCGGCTGCTGGCAATTACTACCGGTTATTGGTCAGTAGTGGTCACTTGCTCGTGGGGTAGACTACCCGGGGGCACGTCCAAGCTCATCAATGCACGTTTCGGGTTGATGAGGGGAGGAAGGGTAAAAGTTGGGCAGGGTATAAAATGGCTGCTAGAGTGATTTTTTTCTGGAAAAGTGATAGAAGGGGAGGAGGGTTTGCAAGGAGGGGTGCAGGAGAGCGCAGGGCAAATTCAAGTCTTTCGTGCATATGATTTCTGCATGTTGTATGCGAGGTTGGGATGTAGGTAGGTGGATGGAATAGGAACGGGGGTAACTAGTTGGACCCTGTGAAGGATGCTGGGACGGGGAATGCTTGCGAGTCCCTGCCTAGGGGTAGATAGTTGAGGGAGGATATTAATACACAGTATATCCATACCACTGTACTTGTATACGGTGGTACGGGATATAGTATTTACTCAAGGAAAATGTCCATGTATGAACATGTCCAAATGCATGCAAACCCTAGCGACAGCGAAGAACTGCGATGTCGGGAGAGGTTTCTTTGCAGAGTTTTCATGCAGGGAATGCAGGGACGGCTAGGAGTATGTACACTTGTGTACGGAGTACGGGACATATAGTGTCTATATGCACTCTGTACGTATACATGCAAAGAACCGCGATGTCGGGAGAGGCTTTTTTGCAGAGTTTTCTTGCAGGGTCTGCAGGGACGGCTATCTGTAAGTATACTTGTGTGTACCGAGTACAGAATAAATAGTATTTACTGTAGTCAACGTACGATAGATGCATGCGAGGGCGCAGCGAAGAACCGCGACGTCGGGAGTAGAGGCTTCTTTCTCTGCAGGGTCTAGATGCAGGGACGACCCTTTTTCTCCGCGCTTCGTACTCCTTTGGGAGCATTCGGCGATTATCTTTTTTCAGGGTCTTTGCCAGGGTTTTCTTTTTTGCAGGAACTTTCTCTCGTTCCTCGTGTTCATTTCTTTTCGCCTTTTTTTTTTCTTTCTGCTCTTCCTTGCACTTTCTCCCGTTCTTCGTGTTCTTCCTTGCTCCCCGTCGCTTAGGAGAATTGTGAGGTAAGGGTACTTCGGTGAGCGAAAGGTACGTTATACCCTAGGCCCTAGGATCGTACCCTAGGGTACGCTACAGTTACCCGCCCGCTTTATATAGGTAGGTAGGTAGGATTCCCACGTCCACGGCGGCGGGTTCTCGTGTTTTCGCGTCGGCGTTGGTGGTTCACGTATTTCGTGAGTAGGGAATTGGACGGGTGAGGCGTGTCAGCAGCGAGGTCGGAGTCGGAGTCGGAGTGCGCTGGAGATGGAGGCGATATCGGGGGATGATGGGGATTTGGTGGGAGGGAGGTGAGTTGGGTTGAAGGGAAGGGTGACTGTGTATGGAGGGAGTACGGAGTACAGGGCTCGAATGCATGGTGGATCGATGTGGTTTACCCTAGGGTAGCATGTTCGCTGCTGTCGGGGGAGTAGCCAGGAGGGCATGATTGATCAGTTGCAATTCTTTTAGTAGCACTTTTGCCCTGGGTAGGTAGGGGAGGGCGAAGGGTGTCTCGGCGATGAGATTCTCGGCAGATAAACAGATTGCGGGTGGGAACAAGACCAGCTAGTGCTGCTTAGGGAAGGGGCTGAGGGCAAGACATTAGTGCGGTAATGGAAACGGTACGAGATAGGTTGCAGGGAGTACGCTCAAGAAGTGTCTGCAAGGTAGGCCTTTTGAATCTGTTGAGTGTTTGTTGCACTGTAGTCGCTTGGTTCGGGCTGCTGCTGATGCCATCTGCTTCTCTTATACTCTTTCTTGGTTCTGGTTCTAGATGAGTACACCTTCCTCTTATGTGGTAGTGCTCGCCGTTTCCGTGTTGTTTCAAAGTTAGAAGTTTCAGGATGCAGGGTATGATCTCTCGTGTCCGTTTGCCTCGATGGGTGCGGTTGTTCCAATCGCGCACGATGATAATAGTAATGACAATCACCACGTAGGAAACATGCTCATGAAATCTGCATTTTGAAGTTTAGTACAATTATTCTAGAAATTGGACTCACCAAGAATCCTTCTACACTGTACCGCGTATATAAACCCCTACCTAGCTATATTCTTCTACAGAAACACTCCCTTTCTTCAAATCAAAAGCGGCAGTATGGAAGCGCATGTCCGAAAAACAATTTCGAGGTTTCACATGTGCCGAGTATCGATTCGATTTTTCTGCGTTCTATTAATTTATCTAAAATAGACTTGGGCGGACTTATGTGCGTATCTTAGACAGGGCCTCTATAATGGTAGTATTCTGTACTCTCTGATTTTCTTATATCTAAAACTTAACAATGTTAGCATTTATGCCTTCAAATCAAATTGATACAGTGCGATGTGTGTGCGTGCTCTGCAGGTCCTTGCGCTAAGTAGCGAGTCACGATTCTTAAATGACGTCCAAGGTCCATGTCCCTGTATATCAAAAAGATAACCAAATTACTTTATGTGCTCCTAGGTCGTGATGTACCCTAGGGTAGAGAATAGAGGCAGTATATAAACCCTACGATTTCGCCTTGACTAGGCGGACTTTCCCCTGCACACTTTGCACTTTTCTCTTTTATTTCTAAACTTGCTGCCAAAGGTGTTATGTTTTGACATCAGACTGATAGCATGCGATGTGTAGCTAGTTCTGCAAGTTCGTTCAAAATCGACGACACCTACTCGTTGATGTGCTTTTCTAACAACTAATTGTCTTGGTTGATAACGCTTTTTTGATTTTTCAGCAACATAAAGCTAAGACTCTAGGAGCGGTATATAAGTCTCTGCTTCCCGCAAGACTGAAATACTACCCCCCCACGCAAAATTTACTGTGTTCCTTGATCAAGAGATACATGGAGTGTGCATGTGCCAGCGTTGTCCCCCCGCAGTTACATACCCTAGGTAGTGCCCAGTGCTTAAAAAGACAAATGAGAACGTTGGCTGCTGTTTAATCGCCTCGACGAGAGCGCTTCCCAACTTTTGAGCTTTCTGCTCATCATATCCATCATGGTCAGAATCGAAAAATGCGGGTTTTTTCTGCATGTGGATTAGGGGTTATGGGCGTCAGAATATTCGTTTGAAAATGATCTCAGCATACGGCATGTTTGAAAAACGAGATTCGAATTACGACTTTGCCTTCAACATTCTAGTGGTGGTACCCCTAGATGTCGAAACCTATATAAACATCTCCGGATTCCGCACAACCTCGCCTTCTTCTCCCATGCTACCCACAGGGTTGCTTCTAAATCCTGAAAAATTCAACATGCGCTCAAAAATGTTCTAAAAACTTGAACTCCCTTCTGGAATGTCCTGAACGAAAGACTCTACCAACGCCTATATGCGGAGATAGATCGCTGACTGCGCCGTCTTACTCAAGGAGAGAAACAAAGGGAGAAGGGAAAGCGCTGTTAGTGGAGGTAATGTTTGCAAACGGCCATTCAGAGTCTTGATGAGAACAGTTGCTGTTTGCTAGGGCAGGAGGCTCGATGCGATGACGTGTAGCTGTGAGAAAGAAACGGGTCGGGATACAAACATTTCAACTCCTCAATAAGACTGCGACTTCTACCTCCGCATCCTTCACGGCAAAAAGGAACTTCGAGGTTTCTAAAATGACAGCTCTCTGTTCCATGTGCCCAAACTTCACCGACCTTCAGCCATGGAGCAGTGCAGGGTGGATTCCCCCCTGTGGACTTCGACCTTGCATATTAATAGGGAGAGGAAACATTTATAAATGTCTGCAAAGAAGACAAAGAAGACCTCGTTTCTTAAAAGAAATTCGACCGGGCTATTGCATGCGTTCTAGTGCTTGTGCAGCACTAGTGGCAGAAAAATAAGTCTATGAGCTCGCGCGAAATCCCCCGAGACGGCGATTTCTACACTAGAGCTCTCTAGTATGTGTCTTCTAAACAAATACCACGCGTTTAAATGTTGAAAACACAGCCTTCGGGCATATGTATCTAGGATAGCAGT